GCCTTCAGCTCAGGTCATGATCCCAGGGTCCTGGGATCGAGTCCCACATCGGGCTCCCTCCTCGAGGGGAAGCCTGCTTCTCCCTCTCCCACTCCCCCTGCTTGTGTTCCTGCTCTCGCTATCTCTGTCTCTGTCAAATAAATAAATAAAATCTTAAAAAAAAAATACAATTTGACAAAGCTAAAAAACAAAAAAAGAAAATCCACAATCATATTGAGATATTTAACCTACTTCTCTCAGTAAATGAAAGATTAAACAAAGGGGGCACCTGGGTGGCTCAGTCCATTAAGCATCTGCCTTCTCCTCAGGTCATGATCCCTGACCTTTCTTCGTTGGGAAGAAAAAAAGATGTCCACTATATCACTTCTATTCAACATTATACTGAAAGTAGTAGCCAATGCAATAATGCAGGAAAAGGAAATAAAAGGTATAAAAACTGAAAAGATTTGCAGATGATTGTGTACATAAGAAATCTAAATGAATCTACTAGCTATTAGAATTAGTTAGCAAAGTCACCAAATGCCAAGTCAGTACAATAAAATTAATTATACTTTTATATACTGGGAATAATTAGAAAATGAAACTCAACAACGTTATCTCTAAAAAACATCAAATATCTAGGAGTAAATCTAACAAAAGAGGTCTTCCATACCTGTACTCTGAAAACTACAAAACACTGTTGATAAGAATCAAAGAACTAAATGTTCCTGGGTTGAAAGACTCAATATTGATAAAATGTTAGGTTTCACCCAAATTGCTATATAGATTCAATGTAACCAAAATTAAAATCCCAGCAGGACTTGTGTGTGTGGGTGTGTGTTAAATTAACAATTTGATTCTAAAATTTATATGGTAATGCAAAAGTCTAAGAAAATGTAAACAAATCTTGAAGGATAAAGTCAGAAGACTTACACTACAAAATATTAAGACTTATTATAAAGCTACTGGAATTAAAACAGGGTAGAATGGACTTGGGATAGGCAGAGAAATTAATAAAACAGAATGGAAAACAAAAAATAGGCCTAGGCCTGATATTCCACAAAGATGACATTGCAGGGCCCACGTGGGTCAATTAGATATTCACATGGGGGAAGAGTGAACATTTGCCCACTGACCCCTACCTCACTCCATACAAAATAGTCAATCCCTGTGAACTGTGGAGGTGAATGGGAAATGTTACATTATAAAGTTTCTAAAGGAAAACATAGGATACCGTTTTCTGGACAATGGGGTAGATATAGATTTCCTAGTAAGACTCAAAAAGCATTAACTATAGAAGAAAAGATTGACTATTAAACTTCCTTACAACTAAGAAGTTGATTTTCAAAAGGAATCATTAAGTGGCTGAAAACACCAGCCATGGACCAGAGGTATTTATAATACATCTAACTGACAAAGAACTGGTATCCGACCAGAAGAGACGAAGAATTCCCACCACTTAATAAGGAAGAACCCACAACCCAGTTTAATAACGGCCAAAAGACTGGGACAGATACTCCACAAAGAGCCCCAGAAGGGAAAGTAAAATGGAAACCACAGGGAGGCGGCCCCCACACCCACCCAATGCCCAGAATGAACAGGACGATGCCCACTGTTGGCCTGGACGTGGAGCAGCTGAGACGCTTCCCCCGCGCGGGAACATAAAGCTGAGCAGGAGCCCACCCTGGACCCAGTGAGTTCGCTCTTAGGTATTTACCAAAGAGAATGAGCGCCCTGGCAAAAAGGCGAGTGCACGGGTTTACTCAGATCTAGGAAGGGGCTCGCCAGGACTTCTCCCGGACAGCGCCCTAACGCGAGCATCTGACTTCGCACCACTTTGCCAAGTTGAGCTCCGAAGTCGACCGGCTTGGCGGGCAGAGAGGTGGAGGGCAGGGGCCTGGAGGATGCGGGGGCGGGGGGGAGTCCGGGGAAGAGCGGCCCAAGCACAAGCTCCGCGGCCAGGGTCCCCCGACCGCCCCGGCGGGCCTTCACGCCCCTGGACGGCCTGAGTCATCCCGGGCCCCGCGCCTCGCGTCTGAGCCGCTCGCCCCCACCCCGTTCGCGCCTCGACCGCGAGCGGCCAGAAGGTGGGCGAAGAGACTGACTGTTCTCTTCTCTCGGGTCTCCTTCCAGCGAAGCGGACGAGAGCCTCTTCCTTCCTCCCGGCTCCATTCCGGCCTCCGGCAGCTCACCCCTCCTCGCGCCTGCTTGCGCCCCTGCCAGGAGACGGGGCGTCGGCGAGGGCTCGCGGCCCGAGGTCATCCCTGCGGGGCGGGGCAGGTCGGCGCCGGGGCTCTGAGGCCAGGTTGAGGGGAGGGCAGGTGTAGGGTCTCGGGGCAGGTCTGGGGGGAGAGGGCAAGTCTAGGTCGGCGGGTGGGCAAGGCTGGAGCGCCAACGGGAGTGGGAGGCGGGCGGAGCGGGTGGGACTAAGGTCGGGGCTCCCGGCAGCAGCGTGGAGAGGTGAAGGGGGAGCGTTCCGAGGAAGAGCGGTTCTGGGGTTCCGAGCAGGACGTCTAGAACCCTGGGGCGAGGGGAGGGGGTCTGGAGCCCCGGGACGGGGGCGGGCGCGTCAGGGATTCCCGAGGGCTCAAGCAGGGCCGGGCACAGGTCCTGTCTGGCATCCGCAGGGGCGCAGGTCCGGGGTTCCGAGGCGCGGGGCCAGGGCTCACCCGGGATCGGCCCCGTGGCGCGCGCTGCGCCCCCGCCCCCCGCCGCGCCGCCGGGTGTCCAGCGGTTGCCCGGGCCAACGGGCCGGGGCTGCGCGGCGCATTGCGCAAGCCCCTCCCGCGGGGGGCGCGGGGCGCGGGGCCTAGGGGCCGCGGCGCGCCGGCCAACGCGGGGCGTGGGGCTGCGCGGGCGCGCGGGCGGCGGGGAGCGTCGGGAGCGGCTGCGGCGGGGCCGGCGGCGCGCGTGGGGCGCGGATCCCCGGGGGCCGCCGTCGGTGGTGGTAGCGCTGGGCCCGGGGCCGGGGCCGCCGTCCGAGGCGCGGGGGCCGGGGCGCTGGGCCATGGTGTCCTCGGGAAGGAGTGGGCGCGTCGCCTCCGCCCGGGGTCACGCGGTCACCAGGCCCAGGGCTGTTGGGGGCCACACAGACCCACCCTGGCAGTCAGAGGCCCCCAAGTCATAAAGAGCCAAGAGTCACAATCGGCCCCGACCCCACCCCGGGCCTCCCTCCGACCCTCACTCCTGGTGCCTCCCAGCGCCGGGCTAGGGGAGCAGAGACGGAGAGCGCAGTCCCCGGGGTGGTGATGCCAGGCGGGAGCTGTGCACTGGGTGTCCCCTCGTGGGCCGTGGGCCATCGGGGCGAGCGGGGCAGCTTTACCGTCCCACGGAGGAACCCGACGTGGCCTTGGTGTCTCCGGGGTCCTTCATGGGGGCCTGTGCCAACACCCCGCGAGTTCCAGGTGCACCCAGGGTCCCACGCCAGCCAAAGTCCCTGAGCCCTTTGCGTCCTTCTTCCTCCCTGCCTCTTTGTGGAGGGAGGGGAGTGTGGGAAAGACCCACCCATCCTATTAATGTCTTTGCTCCCAGTAAATTTCGGAAACCTATTATCTTTATTTGGTTTTAAATCATCTTTATTTTGCATTTAACTTCCCAAGATAACCCAAAAGTGAGGTTCTGCTCTCACTCTGCATTAGCTGTGGGGGGGGACGGGGCAGTTCCCCTGGGCAGGGAGGGGTCTTTATGCCCCTTTCCAGTCTTCACTAGCAAGCGCTCACCAGTCCCCACCTCCACGTGGCCTCACATAAATCACAAAATAAAGGATGGCCCTCACCTCCACCAGCCCTCCTGTGCTTTACCTCTCTTTTTCAGAACCTGGGCAAAGAGATCCCTGAGAGACCCAAAATGAAAGAGGCCGCATTTACATGTTAGCGTTTATTGCGCAGGAGATACTAAACAACATCAGACGAAAGTGAAAGTGGACAGACAGAATTATAAATGTCTAAAACCCCACTTGTCTGGGTTTCTCAAGCTCTCAGAAATAAAGTACAAGCCGGTGCTAAGCCCCCAGGCGTCTAATTCCGTCTCTAAGACTCAGACTTTCTGTCCCCAGGACATCAGCATGGCCTACGCTACTTCTCTGGCTCCTGTCCCAGGCTGCTGAGCAGATCCCCCTGGCCTCCCAGCGTGGAGGCCGCAGGAAGGGGAGGGGACCTGGACTGCGGCAAGGGGCGCGCACATGTGCGTGAACAGGCTATCGCTGCCATTCGGAGGACAGTCCCCCTCTCCTGTGTCTCACCTGCTTCCCTCCTGTTTCAAAATGACCCAGCTCGTCATGAGGGCTCGTGAATACGGGCAGCCAGTCACTTGGGCTCAGAAATGAGAAACCAGGGAGGACCCTGGAATCCACACCTAGGTCTACACCCAGCCAGCCCCAGGCAGCCCTCACTAATGGGCTACCTCAGCTCAGCAAAGAGCAAATGTCGGCACCTTTCAGCAGCGCAGAGCGCGGCCCGCTCCTTCTACGGGGAGAAGAGGTGGGTAGCCTTGTGAATGAAAGCACGGCCCCAAGACAGTTCCTGGAACACTTTCAGAAGGTGCTCCCAGCTCACTGGGGATTTATCAGCGCCCGTATCAATTGGGAAAAGCTAACTGTGCTTCCCGAAATTCGGGTATACTCGGGGACGAGGAGATGGCACACAAACTAATTTTGGGCCATGACTTTAACTAAAGCAGATGTTATTCTCACACCCACCCTGTCTCTGCTGTTGGGCGGGGGCAGTGACAGACGGAGGAGACCCCCGGCCTGGGCCTGACCTCAGGTGAGTAAGGTTAGGAAATGGACTGGGCTGGAGCCTGCATGGAGACGACCCTGTGAGGGTTCCAGGGGCATCCGTCTGGTATCTTGAACATGGTAATGGGAGTGGAGGCAGAACCCATGACAGGAGGGAGGGACCCACCGCACCCGCATCACCAAGGCCAATGGGACCGGGAAATGGAGCCCAGCTTTTCCAAGCCTTGGACGTGGCCCCACCACAAAGAACACTGAGCTATAGCAGTGGCTAGGGCCACGCCTAGTGTAGAAAGCCCCTGGTGCAAGTGCAGACGGCCAGTGCTGACGTGGGTCTCTGCACACCGGGCAGGACAGGCACCAGCGCCACGGAGCAGGCAGGGTCCTTCCGGAATGACCGGGTCAGGTACAGAGAGAGGGCAGGCATCTGGGCACGTGGGCTTCACAGAGGGACAGCTGTGGGTGTGGGGCTGCCGTGTGCCCACAGCCCTGGGGACGAGGGGCCCCCCGGCGGCGGGGACACGACAGGAACATACAGCTGTGCTCTCTCGTCAGAAGCAGTGCTGGGCTCTGGTCCAGGCGCATCTCAGGAGAGAAACCCCGTAAGACCTGTGTGGGGCTGCGCACAGCACGTACGCGGTCTGCTCAACGGGAACAGGCCAGGGAAGCCGGCCAGGGGCTGGAGGAGCAGAAGGGGGCTGTCCGCACATCCGAGCCCACGTATCAGCCCGAGAGGGTCTGGTTCCGCACGAGCCCGGCCTCACCTGCAGGCCCCACTGCTTGCGAGGTGGTGCCTCGGGAGCCAGGAACCGACAGACTGGTAGTAGGCAGAATTAAACTACTCTATGAAAACGCCACCTTGCAGCCTGGCCTGGTTGGACGGTGGTAGCCAGGCCGGGCCCTGCTTCTGCCTCGGTCTCCCTGCCCCACGCTCACTGGGCCATCTGCACCACGACAGCCCTCCACGCTTTCTCCTTGTCGAACTCCTTCAGGGGGCTTCTGGACACCTGTGGCCAAACAGGCAGAGTGTCATTTCTCCTGCCCCCGCCCCCACCCCGCGGCAGCAGGCAGGTGGGAACCTGTTACCTTGAGAGCTTTTCTCAGCCTGTGACAGCACAGGAAACAGCCCTGGACTCCTGGGAGGGGGCACACGGACGTCCCTGACCCTCTGCCACCCACGTCCCCCCAGGAATGCAGCCTGAACAGGGGTGGGCTCTGGGGTGGGTGGGGGGCCACCATGAGCCTCTGCCTGACCGCTGAGGACACGGGGGCTGCATCCCAGCAGCAGACAGAGAAGCATCTGCATACAGCAGGTGCCCAATAAATACTCCCTGACGGGGCAAGGATAGACACCACGGGGCGGGGTGAGGGCCTCCAAGCTCTTCCTGGGGGCAGGGGACCGGCGCCCCCACACAGAGGGGGCCTGTCAGCCAGGGAAGGAGAAGGCTTGAGGCTGAGATCCCCACACAGGAACGGGGAGGCCAGCTGCTGGACCCTGAGCCTCTGGACCTGCTCTTCTGGAACCCGGAGGGAGGTCTCATTCACCAGACTCAGCGCGTTGCTGTCCCCACCCAGAACCAGGTGGGTCTGTTACAGGGCCTGGGGGCAACGCCGACCCGCGGGAGACCAGCCGTCACCGGTAAAAACAAGGAGAGGACACCGTCTGCAGATCTCAGGGAAGGAAGGCAGGCACGGGACAGGATGGAGAGGCCGGGGTTGCTGAGCAAGGGCCGATGGCGGGAGCAGGGTCGCGCTCGCACAAAGGCCCTGGAGGACCCTGCAGCACCGGGGCCTCCCTAGTCCACAGTTGTGAACACCTCTGGGGGGCAGCTCATGGGGAGCACACTGACCCCCAGCCTTCCAGCTGTGGGGGGCAGAGTACGGTCCAGGTGGCCTTGAGCCCGACAGACAGGCTGACCAGAGGTCACTGATGCCACACCTGTAGAGGGCTGGGTGGGCCCCCCCCACCGAGAGGGGCCAGGGAAGGAACTTCTGTGGCCTGTGTGGGTCCTGAGCAACTTCTTGTCCACGTCTGTAGGAGTGAAACTGAAGGCATTCGGTCCATAATCCTTTCAGGGGTGGATCTGTATGTGGGGCCACCCCGCCAGCGCAGGGCGGTCAGGGCGCCCAAGGCCACTCACCTCCCCCACCGGGCGCTCCTGCCGGCCGGTCTGCGTGGCGTCCCAGGACGCGCCCAGCTTGAAGCGTACACACTGGATGACCGTGCCAGTGTTAAGACTGGCCTGCAGCAGCAGCTCCAGCATGAGCAGCAGAGGGAGCACGTCGTAGGACTGCTGGCGAGAAACGGGTGGTGAGCCGGGCAGCCTGCCGGGCCTTCAGCCGCCGGGCCGCGTGGGACGGGCCGCGCCCTCCAGCCGAGGGACGCGAAGGGACGCGACGCAGGCAGCGCCCCGGGCCCCGCAGCCTTCCGAGAGAACTCGGCTGAGTTGTGTGAATCGATGCCGGCTACGCGCACGTCCGCTCGTAGTCGAGGGAGTGGAGAAAATCGATTCTGCTCTAAGTTCTGTTGTCCTGGGTTTAACAGATGACATGAAAACGGCCCGAAACAACCACCAACAGAGCCCCGTGTGGTGACAGAGGGTGTCCACGTGGGGTGAAGCGACCAGGCGCGTGTGAGCAGTCTGCCCCGCGGCCCCTGGGCAGAAGCACGCGGACGGCAGCAGCAGATTCTCCCGAAGCGGAGGCTGGTGGCTGCTGGAGGGAAGGCGTCTGGGGAGTGCCTGGCACCCGCGGGGGTGATGGGAAAGCAGGCGGAGCCCCCTCCCCTTCGGCTGAGACACAAAGCAACCAAATGTTAACACAAAACTCCAGCTCCGTACAGCGTCACTATGGAAAGAGCTCTCCTCAAGTTAAGGTACAAATTTAACCACAAGCCCAGTTTAAGGAAAAAAGTGCTTTCTGCCACCAGGCAACCTGAAAACGTACACAGAAAAACAAACATGCAACAAAAGTGAGGTAGCCCTGAGAAGCAGTGACGGGTAATTGGGCAAGCAGTGGCCAGCTGGTGAAGCCGGCCGGCAAACGTCCACGACCAGAACAGGGTGGCACCAGACTACGTGAGAGACGTCGGGCGCAGAAATGGGCCCCGACAGGGACAGAAGCTCAGCTGTCATCAGGGCAGCATCTCAGACGGGGGCGGAGGAGGTGGGCGTTCCAGTCAACGGAAAGGCCGGCTGCCTCGTGCTCTGGGGCAAACTCCTGCCGGACACAAGCACTAGCCTTTCCCATCGCCAGGGAAAATCCAGAAGCAATCAAGCAAGATACTGACAAACTTAACGACATAAACAAACAGAAACTTCCTCGGGACAAAAATCACAGCTGCCCCGCGGAGGCCTCCCAAATCCTGGTCGAGCTCCAAGCCCCTGGAAAGTGGGCAGGGCACAGAAGCGAGTCCACCGGGAACGAGGGGTCAGCACCGCCAGGCGCAGTCCACGGCCACTCGTGTCCAGAGAGACGCCACGGCAGCCACACTGAGTGCGCGGCCTCGCCCGCATGACAAAACCGTGTGGCAAGCCTCCGTGCCAGGCTGTGGACGAGGCCAGCACTGGGCGGGAACACGGGACCTCCTGTGAGGGGGACTCGTCACCATCTAACAGAACTACAGTCGTGTCCACCCTCTGACCGGCAGTCCCTCTCCGAGCTCACGTCCTAACGATGCATCGCACAGACCCAAAACCTCCCGTGAGCACTGAGCTGTTCCTCTCAGCAGATGGCTGGGAGCGGCCCATCCCCGCCCCGACGTCATCGTGCGCACGCGTCATGAAGACACGGGAGGGCTCCCAGCCTGGGTGGTACAGACAGAAAAGGTTACATTTGAGCACTTTTCCAACACACAGCCACGCCCAGAGAAGGGGTTACTCTATCGAGCAAGCGAGGCCACCTCCTGAGTGGGGTCCGAGGAGGCTGCAGACTTTCTCGGCAGGGGTGCTGCCGCTGGTGGCCCTGGTGATGGGCTTGCGAACATTTTACGTGCGTTATAAGATAAAACAGTAAACACGTTCAACGTTATCAGGAAACAAGATTTTTGGAGAAAGAGAAAAGGGATACAAATATAAAATAACACAAGTTAACAAAACCCAAGTACATGCATTTTGAATTCAGGATCTTTAAAATCTAGATTTCTCAGCTCTGTCCACTGAAGAGGCTTAGAAGCAATGATGCCCCAGCATGAATGAGCGCACAGAGCCCCCAGGTCCTGACTCGTGTGTCCGGTCCCCTCTGACGGGGCCTGGGATCGCCAGGGGCAGGGGGCAGGACAAGGTGACTGCGAGCGGGGGCTCCCTCTGGCCATGGCTGGGCCAGCTTGGGCACTGGAGAAAAATGGCTGCAGCACCGTTCAAATAATGAAAGCCCGTGTGTCCTCGGTGGCGCTCAGGAGGAAAGGGCACCACCGGTCACACCGCGTGCCAGCTCATCGGGGACGCGGGACACGAGAGCCAGGCATCCGTCACCTTTCTTCACCCCTCAGTGTAAAACAGCGGCTCGGGCAAGGCCAGCCGCCAGGGCCAAGCCCATGCGAGGTGCTGGGACGCGGCATCTGCAGGTCACACGGCCGTCACGGTCATTTCCTTCCTGCGAGAGCCCCCCCCCCCAGCACGCCGGCAGCTGCTGCCAAACCAGGCGGGAGGTGACCACACGTGGTCCTGACCCCGCTCCCACTGGCACCACGGGAAACAGATCCACACGTGGGACCTTCTCACAGACACGTGGCCTGGACCCCAAAACGTCAGTGTCATGGGGGAAGAGGCGGGGACTGTGCAGAGTCGAGAGACTTGAGGGCAAGTTGTGGCCCTCGGCTGGGCCCTGCTCCCAAAGCTTCGGCCGTGAGGCACGCTCTTGGGACGGTCCGCGCGCACGGCTGAAGGCGACGCTGCGTGGGGCTGTGGGGAGCGGAAGCAGCCCCCTGGGAAACGCTGAAGTGTTTACAGGGAAGGGTCCCGTGGTCGGACACCTGCCACTGCCTTTCAGAGGCTTCCTAGAAGCGACACGCGTGTGTGCTCCCAGCCGTCAGTGTAAACACGCGTGTACAAACAACACGTAAACTGCTGGGGAATCTTGGTGTTTACTGCAGGATTCTTTCCGTTTTTCTGTATATTTGAAACTTCTCATGATAAACATTTGGGAGCAAATACCACACATACGGGTAACAAGGCAAGGTATCTAAGCGATAAGCCTAGTGCCGTGTCTGAGCCCGCGGAGAGACTCTAGAAAAGTCCTAGTTATAGGCGTGTTCATATGTGAAAAGGCTCTCAATTCTCCTCAAATTTATCTATAAACCTAACAGATTCCAACAGAAATCCCAGCAAGGTTGTCATGCGCCTAGATGAAGAGTGGATTCTACAGCGAGCCTGGAGGCCCCACGAGCACCGAGAGGAAGGGTGTCCAGGCGGGCTGTGAGACCGGGCAGAATAGCCCACGCTTAGAAAAAGGCAGCCTGCGCGGAGCAGGGCTGGGGCGGCACGGGCAAGAGAGCGGAGCACAGACCCCTGGCTGTCAGAGGGAAGGAGTGAGGTGCAGCTCAGGCCGCAGGCGGGAGCGGCTCCGGCAGGTCGGACGCTCGGCCGGGCCACCCGTCCTGGGCGACTCCTCCCCCGGGCAGCGACACCACGTCCGCACGGAGTTCCCAGGACACATACCTCGATGGCCGGCGGGTAATCTTTGAAGAGCTCCAGGATTCTCATGATGCTGAATGACAGGTACCCAGAGGCAGTGAACAGCAGCGGGGACGTGAGGCTGCAGATGGCGATCAGCACCTCCACCTGATGGAAGCAGACGCGAGCTCCGTTCCAGCCAGCCCGCCGGGCCTGGCAGCCGCGGCCTCACCGCCGCCGCTCCACATCTGCGTCTGGGTTCTGCCTGAGGCTCCCGTGAACCCCAGGCGCGGCTTGTGTCCCGCGAGTTCCCCAACTTCTACACAAGCATCCCCTCCGTGGGGAGGGTGACGCGCGCAGATGGCCTCTCCCCGCGCCCTCGCCAAACCCCGCGCCCGTCAGACAATGATGCCGGCTGCTCCAGGGCACACGGCACATGGGTGCTACAGAGTACGAATGCAGGGCGATCGGGCTGACTGAGCAGCTGTCCCTGACGCGGGGACGCAGGCTGAGGCTGGCGGGCCGCGTCCCCCTCCCTTTGCTGCGTCCCAGGACTCCCCTGACTCTCCACCTGTTTCCACAGGCAGTCCGCCCTCGTTTAACGGCTGTGGCCGGGGGCGCGAGCCCGTCACGTGGCAGCCGGGAAGGGGGCCGGGCACCTGGGGACAGGGCCTCACTCACCAGGCACTTGCTGGGACACTCGGCTGTGACGTGACTGGCAATGGCACTCGGAAAACACTAGGAGGAAAGAAAACACGCCTCAGAGGGGATGGCTGAGGAGGTCGGCTCCCACACGGGCTCTCCTCTTTCGAGGGGCGGCATCCTCGGGGCCGGCGGGGCCAGGCCGGGTCGGGCGGAAGCGGGGTGGCCTCCCCGAGGCTGCAGAGAAGCTGGAGGAGCCGCCCCAGGATCGCTCCACCGGCCGAGACGGGCCGCCTGCCCTCCGCAGCTGTGCGCGCGCCGGCTGAGACGGAGGCGTTCTCCGGGACCCCTCAACCAGCACCCACCGGGGAACTTTCACACGGATTCCACAGTGCAGCCCGTGTCCAGAGCCTCCCGATTGTCATAGGCGCTCTTTGTTCCCGGCTCAGGACGCAATCAGTGACCCTGCTTTGCGTTTAGAGTCTCCTTGACCAGAGACCCTCGTCCTCCGGCCGACGCGGGGGTTTCTGAAGAGCACAGCAGCAGGCTGCAGAGTGGCCTCGGCCGGGTCGACTCAGGGAGCCCCGGGACCAGCCACCACGCTGACCCTGCCCCACTGCACAGCACCCCTGCCCCTTTGCAGCTGATACAGGTCTGCTGCGTCTTACTGGACGGGACTGGTTTACTCTCACGCAATCCCGGTCACGCAATCCCAGAACAGGGAAGCACGGCAGGAGGACGCGTCCTTCCCGAGGAGCCCGGTGCCGGCCCGCTCAGCCCGCTGAACCCGCGGCCCCAAGTGTGTCCAAGCTCTACTTGCCCAGCCACGTGCCCACACAGGAAACGGCCATGCCCTGCGTGGGAGCGGCTCGGACCCCTGGACGCTGGGAGGGCTCGGGCTGAGGCTGAGCGGGACACGGTAGGCTCCGCCGCAGGAGGACTGAGAGGGGAGCAGCACTCTGAGGGTGCCGGCATGGGCACGACAGGGGAGCCCCGTGGGGCCGGGGTGTGGGCATGGCTGCAGGGGTGGGTGGGCCGGGCCACCAGCCTGCTCCTCTAAGGAGCGTAGGGGCAAAGGTGTTCCAACAAGCTCTCTGGCTGGAAGCAGGGGGCACTGTGGGTGCGGAGCGGACAGTTAGGAAGAGACTCGGTGGCCCCAACAAGCCAAGAGCGGGGCTCAGATTTGCTGGATGGCTCCTCCAGCCCCAGGCCCCGGACTGGCAGGAGACCACACACACAGCCCGCCCAGGGACGCTGCAGGGACAGGCTCTCAGCCAGGCCCCAAGCCCTGGACCCCTGCCTGGTCTATGACTGGCCTCTCCCATTCCCGGACCACCCCTGGATCCTTTCCTCTCCACGCGCCCCCCCCCCCCCCCCCGGCCAGTTCTTCCACAGCTGGGGAGAAGGCCCAGGGAGGCCGGTCTGGGGGCGACGGCCACGTCCTCTGTGATGTGTGGTCACCGAGCATGTCAACGAGGCTGCTCAGGCGAGTCTCTTCTCCACCACAGCAGTTAGGGGTGTGTTAGGTCTCTATGCTCAGTAGCCCGAGGCTGTAATCCCAGGTCCTCCCAGGTTACACACGCAGCTGTGCTCGCAGGCCCAGGCAGACCCGAGGCACGCTCTCTTCTCCGCAAGCCCTACTATGCAGTAGCAGCCAGTGGCCAGGTGCGCGGCTCCAGCCATGTCCTCTCTCCCCCCAGGCTCCAGTCCTCGGGGGGCACGGCAGCTGGTTCCCAGGGCTCGGCGAGGTTGGGCACAGGTGCCCACGGTGTTGCTCTGAGCCCTGGGACGCAGCAGGAGTCCAGCCCCGGCGTCTGGAGGAGACACCAGTCCCAGCCTTCCTGCGGCTGAATGCACAGGCCATCGGGGAGCACGAGGACGAGGCCAGGGATGCTCACTGCGTCCTGTCCGCTCACACGGGATGGCCCTGGACAGCAGCGTGGGACAAACCAGCCCCTCCTGCAGGGACGCGCTGAGCAGCCCTGGGGTGACCACGCCTGGGAGCACGGGGCCTGTCACATGACGGTGCGACTGCGGGCATGCAGGGTCGATCTCAACCGTTCCACGTGGTGGTGAGGAGCCCACACCTGCCAAGGCTGCCTGTGGCCACGAATGGGAGGCGCTGGGCATTTCAGTTCAACACTGAGCAACGTTAACTTCGGTAAGCGACGACAGAATTGCTCATCAGACAATGAGGCCCCCAGGGTGTACTCACGGCCACTAAGATCCAAAAGAACGTCACTGAGAGGTGCGGCCCTGAGACAGCGTCATCCACGTTCAGAGCGATGACCCCACCCAGGACGGCAGAGACACCGGCAATCACCTCGATGACCTGGGGGGCAGAGCACACAGGCGGGGTCACCCAGGGAAAGCGTGTCGTGTGCGGCAGGTGGACAGGGGGCGTGAAGAGGGCAAAGGAGCCAGCATGTTGAAATGCTGATGATAACCTCTAAGAGAACATCGAAAAATGCCTAGTTTCCAATTCAAAATTAGTGGGAAAAGGAAAAAAGCAGAAGGAGGGACGACGCTCCCACCAATTCAAAGACAGGTGGGAAAGGCGGCAGAAGGCAAAGAAGCCAGAAAACAGAGAGGTGGCAAAACTCAGTATAAACGTGGCAGTGCGGTGACGCAGGCCCCACGTGAGGATCTGCGTCCACGAGGCCACACAGAGGGTGGCAGCCCCGGGCTGCTGACAGAAGCGCCCCCAAACACAAGGGGAGCTGAGCGTCGGGGCAGGAAGACACAGCACGCGGGGCCAACCGCTGACCCAGTCAACACAGACTTTACGGCCAGCACCTGCAGCAGATGCAGGGTCGCTAAGCGACGCGAGAAGGAAACTTGTACGTGTCTGGGGACACGGTTCCAAACCCCAGCCAGAAGCTCCAGAGCCAAAGCAGAAACGAGGAACGCCACGCTCAGAGCGGGGGGTTATCAGAACAAGTCTGGGAACACAGGCAAGCAGAGAGGGTGGCCACGTCACCTACCCTTCCAACCAGGACCCTCCTGGCAGGAAGAGGGTGAACTTAAGGACTCCCTGGGGACACAGGATCACTCAGGACGCTGTGTCATCACGGACCTCCCCCACGTAAAGGAAAACAACAGGCAGAGAGGAAAGATTATCTTACTGAGTAGGACTTCAGGACCCGGGCAGGAAATGCCACTTCATACAGAATGTTGGTGCTCTCCAGCATGGGACCCTGAAAGGAAACAACACGTTTGGTCTGGTGACTTCGCAGGTGCTGCGGGGGGGCGGGGGGTGCACCCCAGGTGAGCTGCCACCCCTGCTCTCGGCACCGGCTGGCTGTGCTCTGAGTTCAGATGTTCTCCCTGCCTGTGAAAACGGGATTAACCGCTGCAGTCCTGGTGCTCAAGGTGACCTGCTCAGCGGACTTGGTCTCTCCACGGGAAACGCTGGGCTCTGGACCAGAATCACATGATGGGGAGGTCGTGTTGCATCTTCCACTTTGCCTCCCTGAGGCCATGAGCCTCGTGACTCCCTGGAGATGTGGGGCTGCATGGGGCGTCCTGGGGCAGCCTACCCTCCCGCGGACCCGTGCTCTGGGGAGCCAGGCGTGTGCCCCGCGCAGCGCAGGGCTGGACCCACCTTCTGCTTACAGAGCATCTCGCTCGATCGTGCTGAGATGATCACCGTGGCCGCCATGAAAAGCTCCAACAGAAGGAGCAGAATCAGATTAAAATTTATCTGCCAAAAGAGAACACATATGTCTATGAAACAGGCTCTTTTCACTTTTATTCTGTAAATATAGACAATCCCGCGGACAGGTTTAGAAGTCTGTTCAAAGCTCCGGGCAGCTTTTCCTGTCAAAGGCCAGATGCTAGGCCCGGGGGCCTCACACCCCCTCTGACTCTGAGTCTCTCTCTCTAAACCATTCTTAGGCCAAAGGCTGGCTTTGGCCATTGAGCTGTAGTCTGCTGATCCCTGATCTAAACCTTCCTTAGTGGTTTGCCCCTCCTGGGTATTTAAAGATACAAAACTTAAGTTCATATCAGCGAGCCTTTACACAGCTCTATGTATAATTGCCAAAAACTGAAGAGACCGGGGCCTTGGGGGTGGTAGAACTGTTCCATATCTTGATTGTGTTGGCAATTATAGGAATCTATACCTCTGTTAATAACCATAGGACAAAATGCTAAAAGAAAGAAAAAAAAAAGTTAATTTAACTGTAGAGTATGCAAACCAGCCGACCCAGAGCCCCGGCCCACCACCCCCTCTGTGGGGCTCCCACCCTCGGCGCCTCCCTCACCTGCTCCCACCACCCAGGGCAGGTGCCCGACAACCAGGGGAGCCCAGGAACCCACGGTCGGTATTCACGCAGGCCAGTCCTAAGCCTGTTCACCTGCCTTGTCCGTTCCTTCCTGCGGAAACCACAGGAATGGCTCCTGCCCTCGTCCCCCTCCCGCTCTGCCTGCTGGTGCTTCCCCCAGCGGCCCCCAGCCTGGGCACAGCGTGCCCCCTCCTCCTGGGGGCTGTGAGTGATAAGCTATCTTCCCGATGGCGGCTGTCTCCTGGTCGCAGGCCTCAGCACACCTGAGTGATAATAAAAACCTACGTTTAAAATCAGATGAAATTAATATGTTTGATCTACAGAACCCTACATGCAAAATAAAAGAGAACGTTTGTTCTTTTATAGTATTTGGTGGAACGCTAACAAAAACCTGACCATCTATTAAGCCACAAAATAAAGCTTGGTAAATTCCAAAGAAACTACACTACAGCTTGCACATTCTGACCATAACAGTAACATCAGAAAACATCAACAAATGGAAGACTTTAAAAAATAATCCCATGGACTGTTTCATCAGGTTCCTGGCAAGAAGCCCAGGGACAGCCACGAGGAGGGACTGGAGGAAGTTCAACCAGAGGAGCCGGAACCACGGGAAACCTACCAGGGTGGCGCGACCAGTGAGGACCTGGGAGGGAGGGAGTGGCCGTGAGAGGGACCCAGCCCCCATCCCACCACACTGCGGAGGGCTCGGACACACTAACCACTCGCTAACGTCCTGTCTCCCTCTCTCACAGGCACACATGCCACCTCCCTGGCACAGACAGGGAGGCAGTGCGTGGGAAGTGGGTCTGGAGGGGCAAAGCAGGAAACGTGCAAACACCTAGAACCAAACAAGGATGAAATGCTACGTGTCAAATCTGGGATGCAGCTAAGCCGGAGATGCAGCTAATCTGGGCTGCCAGCTCACCACGGACACAGCACACCGAGCCCCCCGCCAGCCGACCCAGAAGCAGCCCTGGAGACACGGGAATGACGGCCACCAGTAAACAGAATGGCAGCCACGAACAAACCAAAGAAGAGCTCGTTCTTTGCGAAGATTAATAAGATAGCTATAATAAAGACATAAACGGAATTCTGGAACGAAAATGAGAAATTATAGATAGCACACATAAAATAGTGAGCAATTTACAAGCTACTACATGCTCATAATTTTGAAAAACTGCATGATATGGAGAAATTTTTGATCAAAAGAGAAAAGCCAAACTTTGGCACAAGAAGAAACAGAACTTCGATGCTAATAATGACGTCCTCCCTCGGCAACGGCTCTGGGGGGAGACTGTACAGGTAAGTTCTACCCAACCTTCAAGAAGCCGTTCGCCCTATCGCGTTGTTCCTCAACATGGAAGAGATCAGTGCTGCCTAGTTTACTTTATGGCCCAGTGGCAGAAGGAAACCTAGGCCCATCTCACCAGGTGATGCAGAAATCCTAAACACAGTACCAGCTATATATCTGAATATCTACAAAAACACCGTTGTCATCAGGGGAGGTTTATTCCAGGAAAGAAAGGCTCAACACCAGAAAAATCTATCCATCTAATAAATAAACTAAGCGAGGAAAGATCATCTTACATATGCAAAATTAAACTATTAAACTTCAACTCCTGTTTATATTTTTAAAATGGAAAAACTCACGGTAAACCAGCACTTAAAGAGAACATTATTAACTTGGCAAGAGTTACACATCAAAACTATAACAGAGACTCTTTGGATGCAACTCATGTGGGGACAGGAATAAGACAGAGACGCCCCACTCTTTCCTGCCCCAGCTCCACAGAAAGAGCGAGCCAGCCGGCGGGAGGACTGAGGGGATGCTCGCAGGTGATGTGCTCACCTGCACAGAAAAACCCATACAACCCACAAAAACTGTGAAGAATAAGAGAGTTCAGCAAAGTTTCCAGACATGAAATCAACTGATGAAAGACCCTTCTTATTTAAAAACTGGTACCATTTGGCTCAGTCGTTAAGCGTCTGCCTTCGGCTCAGGTCATGGTCCCAGGGTCCTGGGATCGAGCCCCGCATCGGGCTCCCTGCTCCGCGGGAGGCCTGCTTCTCCCTCTCCCACTCCCCCTGCTTGTGTTCCCTCTCTCACTGTCTCTCTCTCTGTCAAATAAATAAATAAAATCTTTAAAAAAATAAAAATAAAAACTGGTACTGTTTGAACATTCACCTAAGTGAATATTCAGCAGCAAAGGTCAATCTCTTGGCTGATTATGTGGGACGCTGTTGCTTGGGGAACCTGGGGAGGGGCACACGGGAACTCTCCTACTATTTGTGCAAATTATTTTGAGTCTTAAAATATTTCAAAATAAAGAAAAAATTAAATCAATCCCGTTTCTATACTCCAATAATCCATCTGAAAATATCATTTAAGAAATAAGATACCCTACTAGCAACAAAATCTGTAAATGATGTAGGGATTACTTGACCAAGAATACACAAAACACTGAGGCCCTAAGACAGGACCCAGAAGATGACCTGAATACATGGAGGGACCACGGAGGCTCTTGCCCAGGATGATTAACATAACAAAGATGTTACTTGTCACAAAATTATTTTATAAACTTAAAATGATCATAATGCAATCCCAGGTGCAGCTGTGGAGGAACTCGATAAACCTGTTGTGAAGTATTCTTGAAGTCCGAGAGCTTGGCTTTGAAGGACGGGGAGGGGAGCGTGCCCCACGGACAGACAGGGCAGGGCGCAAGTCCCGGGCTCGAGGAGAGAAGGACAACCTCAATTTACCGATTTCCCAGTGGGCCGAGGGCGAGACCGGGCAGCTATCGGGGCAGGAAGCTCAGGAGGTCAGCAGAGAACCAGGTGCTCAGGAGCAGCGGGGATGAGACCAGGGAAGAGAAGTAACAAGCAGCTGCCACTGGGGTGCTCCCTGGGGCACAGCAGACCGTTGGTGATGCCAGACGCAGGGCAGCTTGTGGGATCTGAGAAGCCTGAGCAGGCAGGGAGGGCAAGAGCCGGGCCGCTCCTGTGCGTGTACAGGCAGAGTGTGCTCCTTGGAGTAGGAGACCCCGCAGAAACACGTGGACATGCCCCACTCACGGCAGCTGAGCCACCTGGATCCACCCCCGAAGAATGCTGGGGAGACGGTGCCCCACTGAGGACATGGCACAGACTCACAGGGAGCTGGATGGGGGACGGCGGGGAACAGATGGGCTCTCCTGCGTACACCGTGTGGGGACATCAAGATGTGCTCACCCAGGGCCCGGCGCAGCAGGGATGAGGCGTGTGGGAGCCCCAGACATCATGTCCCTCCCGTGGCTTCCTATTTCCGCGTGTGTCTGTGTGTGCCCGTGTGCATGCATACACGTGTGTGCGTGCGTGTGCCCTGTGCGTGCAAACATGTGCATGTGCGCACGTGTGTTTGCGAGTGCATGACTTGTGTGTGCACGTGTTGTGTGTGCGTGCACGTGTGTGCGCATGCACGTGCATGTGTGCGTGCACATGTGTGCATGTGTGCCTTGTGCGCATGTATCTGTGTGTGCCATGTGCGTGTGTACGTGTTTGCGTGTGCGTGCACTTGTGTGTGCGTGTGTGCGCATGCACGTGTATGTGTGTGCGTGCATGAGTGCGTATTCACACACACACGCATCCCCAGACACTGACGGTTCAGGCGTTAGAGCACGTGTCCTCAGTACCACAAACAGCACTTGCAGTGCACTGTGGCTTGACCCTCACATGCCAGGAGCCCCCCGAGGGCCTGGTTACCCATGATTCCTGTGCGCTGGCCGGGGTGGGGCAGCGACTGGGGTTCCAGCTCCAGGACGGGCGGCGTCGCAGCCACTGGCCATGCTGGAGCAGAAGGCTGGGTGGCGTGGGGCTCTCCGCCTCCATCTACCCAGTCTGTGTATTGGGGGGCACTGTCCAGGAAATGGACACCAAGTGTCTGTTTAGGTTCGGGGTTTTGGGCCCCAGACCCACGGCTGCCAGAGCCACGCTTCCTGGCCGAGTGTGCACATGTTTCCCTGGGGTCTGCACTGTTGGGGGGTTGTGCACGGAGTCCCCGTGTGTGTGTTCCTCAACGTACCAGCAGACGCCAGACTGTTTCCAAAGGGCATGAGAGTCGTCCCAGATGGGAGGCAGGCTCCTTCTGCCTTCCATGGCTTCTGCCCTGCGATGCTGGAGACGGCATCTCCCTGTGGTTTCCTTGACCCCCTCTGACTGCAGCAAGGCTAAGTGCCTCCAGCCACCCGGGGCACTGTGCTTTCCTCCTTCGCCCATGGATCCACAGCGGGAGCACCCCACATGCCCTGGGAGGGGTTCCCCTTGCAGCATGAGCTCCTGTGTCTGTCCTGGCCGGGCTCCAGCAGCACCAGCAAGTCCCACATCCAGGGCTGCAGTCTGCACGTGTGGGGCTGGTCCGGGCCGGCCCGGGCGGCGGGGGCTCCCCTGCCTTCTGGGGACGGCTGTTTAAGAAGTCCTGGTTATGGGGTGAGTCCCCAGGTGCTGTCCAGGGGGCTGCCGTCCCTGGCCCTTGGTCACGATACGCGCTGGGTCCTGCCACCATCGAGAGGCGCCCCCACACACACCTGGTGGGACTGATTTAACGAAGACGCCCTGGTTCTCAGTAACACTTTATGATTATGATTCTCGACAGATCAGCCTCGCAAACCTTCTGATTTATTCCCAGGAACTTCATGTGTATCTCTGTAAAATGATTTCTGTATTTAAATTACTTTTCCAAAATGTTCTGCTGCTGGCCCATTTGTTGTACGCTGATTTTCATGCCCAGCGACCTTGCTACGTGCACTGAATTTAAGGTAAAGTCAGCGGGAATGCCCTCGTCTGCAGATAATGGTGACAGGAGTGTCCCTCCCAAGTCCAGGGGAGCGTGTTCATGTTTCTGCCTCAGGGGCCTGGCTGACACTTCCTCAGGGCCACCCCATCCTCTTCCTGACCTTGAGAGAAAGGAGTTCAACATTTCCCATAAAACAAGGCTTTTCTGTTTGTTTTTTTGAGGTATCTCTGATGAGTCCTCTTTCGTAGGAGACTCTTCTCTTCTGGTATCATCGCTTAAATGGGAAGGTTTTTCCACTTTTCTTAGCTGTACACAAAGTGACTGTACCATCCAATCAACAGCATCACAGATTTGATGAAATACGTGGTAAAAAAGACATTCAAGATGTTATCGACAAATCCATCCACTGGAATCGATGCAACAATCAAAGACCACTCTCAAAAGCATAAATAAAATTCTCAAAACTTGCTGGACTCCAGAGCTAGGACGCTCGTGTACCTACCGTGTGACTACTGCACATTTCCAACCCAGCGACAGCACCCTCTCAGGCCCAGACTCAGCGGGACCAGAGCCCCCGGCACCCGTGGCAGCAGGAAGACCCACGGCCCCACCCGGGGACTCACGTCTATGGCTGAGGGGTTCACCACCAGTTTGCACCCAAACCAGATCAAGCAGGTAGTGGTGATGGCGAACGTGGACACAAACAGGATCTGAAAGTTAGGGATCTGGAAAACAAGACAGGGGTCACTCTTTTTTGCATAACTAAAAAATTAAAGGTATCGTTGAACCAAATTCCAGGTCATTAATTTAAAAATCCCAAGAATATGACGCATAAGAATGTGCAGTGGGCAGGGGGGGGCGCCTGGGTGGTTCAATAGTAGAGCATCTAACTCTTGATTTCGGCTCAGGTCATGATCTCAGGGTCATGGGATCAAGCCCCACACTCAGCGGGGAGTCTGCTTGAGATCCTCCCTCGCCCTCTGCCCCTCCACCCTCCCATGCTTGCACTCTCTCTCTCTCCGTAAAATAGATAAATAAAACTTTAAAAACAACAACACAACTAGCCAGGGAGGATGCCCTGCAGCCCCTCAGGGTCAGGGGAGGGTACAGGAAGCCCTGTTGTGGGGGGCACGGGGGCTGCCAGCAGCAGAGGTGCACCCTTCAATGCGCGTGTGCGCAAACACACACGTGCACACACATGTACACGCACATACACGCTCTCACGCACATTCACACGCGCACACATGTACATGCACATACACTCACACATGCACACGTGTACACTCACATGCACATGTGCACACATGTACATGCATATACACAATCAAACATACACGCACGCACACATGAATATGCACACGTGCATGCGTGCACACGTGTACACGCACACACGTGTACGTGCACATACACTCACGTGCACATGTGTACATGCACATACACACTCACACATGTACATGCACACGTGTACGTGCGCACACATGTACATGCACATACATGCACATACGCACACGTGTACATGCATGCACACACATGCACATACACACATTCACACGTGCACGCGTGTGCATGCACATACACACATGCACACGTGCACGCATGTGCATGCACATACACACATGCACACGTGCACATGCACACGCGCACACATGTACATGCATATACACATGCACGCACTCACACGCGCACACGTGTACATGCACATACACACACGCACACATGTACATGCATATGCACGCGCACACATGTACATGCACATACACACTCACACATGCGCATGTGTGCGCACACATGTACATACACGCTCTCACACATGTCCATGCACATACACACCCACGTGCATGCACATGTACGTGCACATACATGCACTCACACATGCACACGCGCACACGCACGCACGGGTGGGTGCCCGTCAGCCCCGCAGCGGCCTGGCCTGCTTCCCCAGCCCACGGCCTGGCTCATCCTGCCCTCGGAGACTCCCCCATAGCCGTGCTGCGGCCCCCACACCTGCAGAGACTGCACGGAGGCTGGGACTCACCACACTGATGTTTCTCCGTGAAACAGCGAAGCTCACGATTGCTGAGGGAAGGCACTGAAAGGAAACCAGAGCTCCGTGAGCCAGCGGCGAGCCACCTGGCGTCCCTACCTGCAGTGCTTACGCTTCCGGAATGACCCAAGACCTGCTGGCCAAACGAGGCCACCCGCCGGCAGGCACAGGGCTGCTACCAGCAATGGAAGGTCTCATGCCTTTCAAAATGATTTATTCTGGAAAAACTTTAATTTTTCTGAAAAGATGAAACGGGCTGAACGCACTTAGAGCCGGACTGTCGCCTCTACCGACTGCATAAGAGTGAGTTTGTCTTAGCTTGAGAATTACCCCAAGAGGGAAACGCATCTGTGTGTGAATAAGTGGAAATGTTCTGGAGTCCCAGAGCCCCGAGGAGGTTCTTGTTGGAGACCCTGCAGCTGATCCCCACAGAAGTGGAGGACGAGGAAGAAGGCAAGAGTGAGGGCAAGCGTGGGGTGTCAGGGCAGTGGGGAGGTGGAGGGAAGGGCACCAGCCTGGGCATCGTGGGCCGTGCCAGGTGTCGCCCCTGTGGGCACCAGGACCCCCACAGACCCCTCGAGCTATGGGGACAGAGCCTGCAAGGGTGGAGGGGAACCGGTGGGGCACGTGGCTTGCCTCCCCGGCCTGTCACTTGGAGGGTGAAGGGCACCACCGAGGATTTTGCTGAAATGTCCAGCCTAGGTCAGTGCTGCCCGGGAGCATCTGGGCCAGACATCACTGGGACCCCCAAGAAGGGCCACTCCAGTGGTGACAAAGGGCCACCTAGAAGGCTCCAGAGAGAACAGCAGGGGATGGGTCAAATTCTTTCAAGGAGCTTTGTCCTAAGGGAGCAGAGACCAGGCGCCCTGCCAGCTCACGGGCAGCACGCAGCTGCTGGAAACTCAAGGGCCGTTTCCCAAGCGGGAGTCTGTGGCGAGAGACTCAGACGTGCATCAAATCTTACCTGAAACTAAAGTCAGCAAGTGATAGCAACACGCAAATCTCAGAGCAAAGAACTCAAATGCACAACCTCAAATCCCGGTACTGAAAGGTGCAACCGAGGAGTGATGCTTACCGACCCCGCGGCACAGCGTAAGTAATCCATTTCCGAGGGAAACACATTTCCCAAATAGAGCGAAAACCCTGAAGTCACAAGCAGACAGCTCTGCAAAACAGCAACACAGTTCAGGTGACCACTCGGGCATGCCGGGACATCAGGCGCTCAACGAGTCCTCTGACTACCACGTAACAGAACGATGCCAACGTGGACACCGAGATCCCGCCACACCTGACTCCCCCCACTCTTTCCCCCGCAGGGTCAGACTAAGGGCCTCCACATGTATTTGGGGGAGGGAGGGAGAGGCCTCTGTGGAAAGTTCAAGCAAGAAATGGCGCTTCTCCCCAGAACACACCCTCACCCCAACACGTGCAATTTCAGGAGCCTTAGCATCCCCACCCTCAGGGCCAGGCTCGGAGGCTGGGAGACAACTCCGTCCTGTGCTCTCTGCAAAGCTAATCCAAGCGGACGGCCGGGAAATGACTGCAGGGCCAAGGGCCTCCCGGCTGTGAGGGGCGCCCAGGCCTCACGTCAGGCCTGGGATGTGGGAACACTGTCGAGGGCGAGGCTCTGGGTCTGGGCCGGGGGTCGTGTGTGCCCCCCTGTGTTGGGAGCACAGGGGCCGGAGGCCTGGGGAACAAGGGAGACCATGAGACACACCCACATGAGGCGGGGATGAGCAGCATTACGCGCCTTGGCCACCGGTGGCTGTGGCCAGTGCACAGAGTCCAGGGCCCGGGGGCCGGGAGGAGGGGCTTCCTCTGCACCCCGGGCCGCTGGGGGTTCCAGTCTCAGTGGGACGGGGTCACAGCTCAAGGGAAGCCCAGTGTGGAGGGAGGGCCCTACCTGGATCCTAGCTTCAGCCCTGGCCACACAGAGCCCTGGGGTCCGGCCTAGAGAGAGGTGTGTCCAGTGGCCCAGCCCCAGGTGAGCCTGCTCTCGGGCCAAAATGACTCCTTCAGTGGTCAGGTGCCCACCCAGGCACGTCTGAAGGGAAAGGTCCCCGACCCCAAGCCTGCGTCCTCGGCCCGGGGGCTTCCTCCTGCTGCGGGCCCTGGCTTCCCGCCTCGGAGACCCTGACCCACTCTCCAGTCTGCCCGAGGCCTGCCCTCAGGGCACAGCCCCTCCTCCCATCTGTGCAGCGCAACTCCAGACCCCCAGGGGCACAACCCATGACCCCGCAGAGGGGCAGCATGGGTCCTGGGCAGTCCCAAGCCTGGTGGAACACGGAGAAGCCCCGAGGCTGCGGTAGAGACTCCTGAGCTGAATCCCGAGCACACGCGCCAAGTAAACAGAAGCAGAAGCAGAAGCAGCCCCGGAGCTGCGCTCTCCCAGGCCGCGTGGATTCCCAGGGCCGGCTCGCCGTGGACGATGTGGACGATGCCGCCCTGGTCCTGGCCAGGAGCTACTCACCCCCATCAACACGGAGAGGACCCACGTCCTGTGGCTGAGGCACGGGGGCAGCCTCGTGGTCAGCTGAAGGTCGCTGGGCTTGGCGTCGGGGGCGTAGCTCCCGGCCTCCGGCCTGCCCCGCTCCAGGGTGGGCATCCGGTCGTAGCCGAGCTCCTCCCCGCACTGCTCATCCCGCGTCATGGCGCTCGGGCCGTAGACACTGGCATCAGAGGCCCGGGGACAGCAACACCTGCGGCCTGGGGTCCCCTCGGCTGCCACTACGCACCAGCAATGAAATAATGGTTCACTTGGGACCACTCTTAACGGAAGTTGTCTTCGGAAAAAGAAATACCATCCATACCCAGTGCAGTGAACCTGAAGGAAACAAGCAGCACCTGAGTCCTCTCCCAGCAACACACAGCCGAGCAGCGTCAGCGCCTGGGCCACGCGGCCCCGGCGCCCCCCGGCGCCCGCCACAGCCGCCTCGCTCCCGGCCCCACGCCTGCTCGGATCCGGGCGCGAACGCAGCCCCAGAGCGCAAGCGGCGCACACGCCGGCGGTGCAGCCCGCGCGCTTACCTCGGCGGCGGCGGCCCGAGCGCCCGCGTCTGGGCTGCTCGGACTCAGCCGGCTCTGGGCTTCCAGCCGCGGCTGCTCGGAGAGGAACAAAAGCCCGGCAGAGCCGCGCTGGCGCCGGGCGAGGAGCGCCGCTTCCCGAATTTCAATGAGGCCCAGAGGTTCTGGGGTGGTTGTGCAAGCGCGGGCGCCCCCGCCCCGGCCCAGCTCCGCTCGGTGCCGCGCGGGGCGGCCGGTCTCGCCCGGCGGGCCTCACGGCAGGGCAGCGTCCCTCCCCGAGCTCGGAACCGGGGGCGGGGCGCTTGAAACAAGCAGCTTCTTATTCACGACCTCGTAACACACGCTCTCCGGCGGCTGACCCCCTGCGCTGGGGCCCCAGACGAAGACCCCTTCACGAGGGCGCACACACACTTGCGCATTCCACGCGGCGCGCGCGGCCCTTGACCTGCTCGGAACTGGGCCTCCCTGGTTCCCGTGGGCAGCCCGGCACTCCTGCGGGGCCTCTTAGTTCTGCTCCCTGAGCAAAGACAAAGGACGGGAGCATACTTGGCCCGGAGACACTGCGCCCCGACGGTTACCGCGACGGAGTCTTTGTGCACATGGAAGCCGCAAGATGGCTCGAATCCAAGCATCCTGAACAAGCAGCTCCTCAAACTGCAAATCCACATAAAGCTTAAGCAAGGCAGCGGTTTTGAATAACGAACTCTGTTGTCTTAGTTTCTCCACCAAGCAGAGATGAGAATTCTCACAAACCACAACCTGGGAAGTCAAGAAGGGGTTTTGAACAGATGGGAAAACCTCCCAAACTTCCTCACTGACTGTTTTTTGGTGAGAGATGGAGGGAGGGGCAGAGGGAGAAGGAGGGCGAATCTCCTCTTCTTATTGGAGCCCGATGCAGGGCTCGATCCCACGACCCTGAGATCATGACCTGAGCCGAAACCAAGAGTCGGACGCTTAACCGACTGCGCCACCCAGGTGCCCCTTACTGACTGTCTTCTGAATAACTGAATTAGTAGGAATCGGTCTGACCAGATTGAACCCTTCGTGTTTTCGTTTGAAGAGAAAGTCAAGCAGATTTCACCATTGCCGCGCCTTCCCAAGGCTGTTCTATAAGATGAAATACAAACAGGCTGCCTCGAATCAGAGATGGTGGAGCAAACTCCCCGAGGCTCTGGAGTCACAGGCCCTGGAGAAGTGCTTCCTTGTTTCTGTTGGCAATACCAGTTTGCAAAACGAATCCTGTTTTCTCCCACCAACTATTGTTCCTAAAATGCCCTTCCTCCCTTTTCTGCCTGCTGAGATCCCACTCATGTTTTAACATCTTCACTGCTATTCAGCAAATGTTTACAGAGTGCAGACCAGTCCTTCCCACGCAGAGTTTACATGCTAATGGGTGCACCGGAGTTTGTGTGCTCTGTGCTGGGAAGTAAGTCGGTGAGTCAGGGCAGCCTCAATGAGAAGCAGGCGTTTTGAGCAGACACGCGCAACACCAGGAGAGGGGTCTCACAGAGAGCTGAACAGAGGTGCCACAGGTGCAAAGGTCCTGAGGTGGCCAGGCTGGAGGACAATGGGCGTAGCCATCCCGTGAGGGACGAGGCCCCTGTGGCCGTGAACACAGCCTTGGCTCCGCCCGCTGTGGACACAACACAGACTCCGAGGCGGACCCTCCGGAAGGTTCTGGCACAGGAGCGTCCAGCCGCTGGGTACAGAGCAGGCCGTTGGCCAGGATGGCAGGGGAGCCCAGAGGTGGTGAGCCATTGGAAGTGCCCACGCAATGTGCAGTGAGGATGACGTGGGGCGAGAGGGTCAGGAGTCCAGTGTGAGCAGTGCAGGTGCAGTGTGTCTCAGCCGACACAGAGGAGGCTGCGGTTTGCTTCTGAGGCCAAGGTGGACAGGTCTGTTGGGCATCCACATGGGCCAGCTGAAGAGCCAAGTTGAAGTGCCCAGAATGCAGGGCTGATGGATACAGGGGACGGTCTCATGGAGTGGACACTCCTGCTGCAAACCACCCTTGTCCAAGCCTCTTCTTGGCACCCTGGCAGGAAGCGCAACCGGGGCCAACAGCCTCTGCCTTGGGTACCTATTTCCTCCCCAACCCGGGAAAACCCTGGGACCTTCCCGCTCTGGGATGCATTCCCAGTGCTGATCTGAGATGTGGACTTCGTCGGGCTTCTGAGATGTTGGGGAAGGACGACCTTCACAGCTCTCCAAGGGGAATCATAACAACATGGCATGGATGGACGAGCGACGCTCAGGCTGCCCTCAGACCTACTAAAAGGACAGCACACAGGTCACACACACACACACACACACCCGGGGCCCCCAGGCTGATCTGAAGGACAGCACACAGGTCACACCGACCCCAGGGAGCCCCGGGCTAATCTACTAAAGGTCAGGGTGGGTCACACTGACCCCGGAGCCCCCAGGTTGATCTACTGAAGGTCAGGGTGGGTCACACCGACCCCGGGCCCCCCGGGCTGATCTACTGAAGATCAGGGTGGGTCACACCAACCCTGGGCCCCCCGGGCTGACCTACTGAAGGTCAGGGTGGGTCACACAGACCCCAGGGACCCCCGGGCTGATCTACTGAAGGTCAGGGTGGGTCACACAGACCCCGGGGCCCCCCGGGCTGATCTACTGAAGGTCAGGGTGGGTCACACCAACCCTGGGGCCCCCCGGGCTGATCTACTGAAGGTCAGGGTGGATCACACTGACCCCGGGGAGCCCGGGCTGACAGAACGGGGGGAGCCGCGGGGTCCATCTGGAGCAGCTCCAGACACAGAGGCGGATGGGAGGGCTCGTCCACACTGCATTCTCCAACCAGGACGAAATCCAATTAGGAATTAGCCCAAAATCCCGGAAATCCCCCAATATGTACGAGTTTATTCCCCGTCCGTGCAAAATGGAGAAAATCCGTGCGCCACCGGAGTGACAACGGAAGTACCAGCCCGGGCGGTCCTACAGGGTGCAGCCGGACGCGAGCTCGAGCGAACTCATCTCATTCTCAGCCAAGGAGTTAGGAAAGCACGAGTTCAACAACAGGATTAAAGGCAGGAAAAAATAAGGAACAGACAAAAATCAATGAAAAGAGGTAGTTTTCGAAAAGATGCATAGAATCCCAGCCAGAGCACGCAGGCGGCGGCGGCGGAGGGGGATCTGCGCCCGACGATCCGCACGGCGGGCCCCGCAGGCCGCAGGCGGGAACCAGGGATACGCCAGGGACAGCTGGGCGCCTCGGTCAGGGCACAAATGCCACCGCGGACACGACAGGAGCTCCCTGAGCAGAGCGGAACCCCCTCACCGCGCTCCTCCCAGCGCACGGCCGGGCGGCGCACCGACGGACACAGGATGCCCGCCCGCACGAGGCTCCACCCACAGCGCGACACCAGGTGCCCAGCACGACGTCTCGCCCACCGGCACCTCGCCTCATTGGGCGGCATGCTAACGGTCGCCAACCGCCAGCCGGCAGCTGCTAACGGCCGCGGCGCGTGCGGCGAGCCCATTGGCCGAGGGTGTGAGGCGCAGGCGCAGGCGCGAACGCGCCGACCCCATTGGCCGAGGCCGCGAAGCGCGGGCGCAGGCGCGGGCGCGCCGACCCCCATTGGCCGAGGCCGCGAAGCGCGGGCGCAGGCGCGGGCGCGCCGACCCCATTGGCCGAGGGCGGCGGGAACCGCGCGGCCGCGTGCGGACACCCGCAGGCGGCGGGCGGTGCGCGGTCTGGGCGGCGGCCGGGCCATGCTGCGACTCGCGACCAAGCTGGTTGCGTTCTTCTGGAGGAGAGCGGACGGCCCCAACGAGGACGCAGGGCCGCCGGGGTCCGAGCTCGCGGAAGGTGCCTCGCGGGGCGCGGCCGCGCTGCAGCCCGTGTCCGCACGCCGGGGCCCGGGGCGGGCGGGGAGGGAAGGCGGCCGGCGCGCGCTGCCGGCTGCGGACGCCCCGGGAGCGCGCCCCGCCCTGGACGGGCTCCCGTCCCGGCCTGACTTGAAGAGGCCTTCCGCGGGGGCGCCGTCGGTTGAGCAGCGACGCGCTGTCCGCTCGGGTGCTGACCTCCGGGTCGTGGGACCGGGCCCCGTGTTTGGCTCCACGCGCGGCGTGGCGCCTGCGGTTAGAAAAGCACCGCGCCTGCCTAGCACGCCTGTGTCGGGTCAGTGCGCCTGGCTTGGAGCCTGCGTGTGCGGCCGGCGACGGGCAACATGTGTGCGCACGTCCTCCCTGGGACTTGCGGTTCCGCGTCGAGGAGGCTCTGGATCGGCCAGCCCGCCTGGCCCAGCTGTGCTGCTCCCGGGGGAGGTTGTGTTTGAGCGCAGGGGAGCACGGTTCTGTTCTCCTCCCCGTGAGGATTGAGTTCGGGGGGTGAGTCTCGTGGTTTTCCCTAAGCTCTGAGAAAAGCAGCCTCCACGAGAGGCCAGAAGGGGCAGAGGTGGAGTTGGCCTGTTGCAGGCAGCATGCTAAGAGCCGCCTGCGCCCAGACTTGCTGACGCCTCCAGGGCCGGCCTTGTAGCCTGGAGCCGGTCCAGCGGCAGTCTGGGTCTTGTCTGTTAAATGCGGGCTTTCAGAAGCAGCTTGAGCTCAGCTCCGGGCTGCATTTGCATTCCGGTGAAGGCAGTGGAAGGAGCAGCCAGGGTGCACTGGGGACCCAGAGAGCCCTGGCTGCTGCAGGGGCCGGTGCTGGGGACAGTCACTGCTCCGATGAGGGCTTGCCCGGCCCGTAGGCCAGACGTAACTGCCAAGCCTGGAATCTCTTCTAGCGCCTTGCTTGGTGAGGTAATACAGAGTCTCCTGACACCATTGCTGATGTTCTTGGTGACAGAGGAAGGTCATGGGAGTGATGACAGCTCGTAGTAACGGCGCCCAGATGCACCCTAGCCTGTGCGCTGTGCGCTGGACTCGTTTCCCCAGACAGCCCCCTTGGGTAGAGACTGTGACTGTCTCTGCTTCACAACAGAGAACAAGCGCAGAGTGCTTGGTGGTTCAGGACCTAGCCCAGAGATGCACAAGTGGCAGTAGAAGAGCTGGGATTCGAACCCAGGTAGTCTGGCTCTGGAGTCCACCACGGTACTCCTTACAGGAGCCTGGGCCACCTGCCTCACAAACCCTGCTTTCTGAAGACTGTCCCCGCCCCGGGAGGGTTTTCCAGCTCAGAGAGCTCCAAACCACCTGGACCCTCCTGCACTCCACCTTTCTCTGTAACGTAGGCTTGCTTTGCTGTTAAGGTCTGTATGATCTCTTTGTTTATGCATCTCAGGTGACACCGAGTTGAAAACTGTCCAGGGTGTTGTGACAAGGTACTGCAGCGATTATGGCATGATTGATGATTTGATCTACTTCTCTAACGAAGCTGTGACCACCAAAGTGCTTCTCAGTGTTGGACAGGAAGTTATTGCCGTTGTGCAAGAAGATAAAGTGTCAAATGGACTGAAAGCAATTAGGGTAAGGCCTGAGTGGTTTGCGAAGTCTCTCTTCATGGTGGGGCTTCGTGTTTAGTTAACCTCTCAGAGACAACGTGGGCAAGGCAGAGTGGAATGTACCTGCCCGGGGCTGCTTTTTTTTTTAATAACGGTTTCTGTCTTAAAAAATCAATGGCGGTTATTGTATATTGTTCAAACAACATAGAAATTTATACTTCAGAATGTAAAGCTTGTCTAATTTTATGTCATGGCAAAGAATGCTTAACATTTTTATTCTAGTATTTCAAAAAATTGTTAAAAATTATAACCATTGGACCCCCCTTTTTTTTTTAGAAGAGAACAAATCTACACCCTTACGTATTTTTCAGTGAGTTTAAATCTTTGAGGGGCACAGCATCACACGGATTCTGTGGCCAGTGGCTTTAGCAGGAAGGTTGCTTCAGAATTTGGCCCAAACCATATCTCTGTTTCCAGGAGCACAAGTTACTTTTCCCCAGATTACTCTGATTTTGTTCAGTTTGCCACCGGGAGTCACTGTGTTATTCTTTGCTTTGCACAAAGAAGCGCATCTTCTGCCTAGGATGGAATTCAGTTTCATCTGAGCATAACACCTCCAATTTTAAGAAGAGCTGTGTCCTCCTCTGGTTCCAGAGACCCCGCTTATAGCCAACAAAAATGGCCTAGACCACAGCCTTCCAAACATACTTGTCATTTTAGGAGTCCTGTTCCAGCAGACTCCACAGGCTCCAAGGTGGCAGAAAGAGTGGACCCTTGTAATGCAGTTAGCAAAGATAATTAGTAGATTCTATTCAGCAATTGTGTTCATTTAAAAATAGTATTTTTTGTGCTAGAAGTCTTAGAAGTGGAATTGTTAGTCAAAGCATATGCACATTTAACATTTCAATGGTTATCAGATTATCCTTTAATAAGGTACAAATTAATTTATACTCCCAGGAGCAAGATGAGAGACTGCCTGTTACCCAGAGTTGGCAAAGATGTGGATGTTATCAATCTCTGAAATCTTTGCCAATCTAATAAGTGAAAAGTGACTTCATAATTTTAATTTGCACTTAAGTCTTAAAGTAGATTAATTTTCACATTTTTTCTAGGAGTTATTTTCATATGCTTTATACTTTTTTTTGTTTAAAGTTTTTTTAAATTAAAGTTTCTATATTAGGGAAATTAGAGCTTTTTTCCTTTTTGTTAAGAGTTTTATTGAGACAGGGGCACCTGGGTGGCTCAGTCAGTTAAGCATCTGCCTTCGGCTCAGGTCAAGATCCCAGGGTCCTGGGATCCAGTCCGCGTTGGGGCTCCCGGCTCAGCGGGGAGTCTGCTTCTCCCTCTCCCTATGCCCCTCCCCGCTGGCTGTCTGTATGTCTCTCTGTCTCTCAAATAAATAAATAAAATCTTCAAAAAGTTTTATTGATATATAATCTACATACTATACAGTTCACCCCTATGAAGGTATACAATTCAGTGTTTTAATATATTCAGAGTTATGCAGCCATCACCACAATCTGCCATAAGCTGTTAGAAATATAATAATTAAGAACTTTTTCTTCGGGGAAAATTCTCCTCTGCATAGCTTCTTTTTCAGGCATGATCTCAACATGTCAGCCTGTCCAAGCTTCATCTCTCCCTCTCCCCATTCTTGACTTGCTGGTCTTTTAGGAGGGACACTACAAGGGTTTAAAATTTATCTGTGAAATGTCGTTTTCATTTTAAAAAAAAAATGTTTTTTTAAACTTAATCACCATCACCTTTTTCACCCATCCCCCCACCCATCTCCCTTCTGGTGACCATCAGTTTGTTCTGTATAGTTACAAGTCTGTTTCTTCGTTTGTTTCTCCTTTTTTTGCCCTTTGCTCATTTGTTTTGTTTCTTAAATTCCACATATGGGTGTAATCATATGGTATTTGTCTATTTCGTTTAGCATAATATTCTCTAGTTCTATCCATGTCATTGTAAATGGCAAGATTTTGTTCTTTTTGATGGCTGAGTAATATTCCATTGTATGTATATATACCACCTCTTTTTTTTTTAAGATTTTATTTATTTATTTGACAGAGAGAGAGTGAGAGCAGGAACACAAGCAGGTGGAGTGGGAGAGGGAGAAGCAGGCTTCCTGCCGAGCAGGGAGCCCGATGCGGGACTCCATCCCAGGACCCTGGGATCATGACCTGAGCCGAAGGCAGATGCTTAACGACTGAGCCACCCAGGCGCCCTATACCACCTCTTCTTTATCCATTCATCTGTTGATGGACACGTGGACTGCTTCCATAATTTGGCTATTATAAATGATGCTGCTGTAAGGATAGGTTGTATCCTACCTTTGTATCCTTTGAATTAGTCTTTTTGTGTTTTGTGTTTTGATTACTGGATCATAGCATAGTTCTATTTTTAACTTTTTTTTAAGATAAGGGTCCAGTTTCTTTTATTTTTTTTTAAGATTTTGTTTATTTGGGCGCCTGGGTGGCTCAGTTGGTTAAGCGACTGCCTTCGGCTCAGGTCATGATCCTGGAGTCCCAGGATCGAGTCCCGCATCGGGCTCCCTGCTCGGCAGGGAGCCTGCTTCTGTCTCTGACCCTCCCCCTTCTCATGCTCTCTCTCATTCTCTCTGTCTCAAATAAATAAATAAACAAAATCTTTAAAAAAAAAAAGATTTTGTTTATTTATTTGACAGAGAACGAGAGTGCATGCGCACAAGTAGAGCAAACATCAGGGAGAGGGAGAAGCAGGCTCCCCGCTGAGCAGGGAGCCCAATGCGGGGCTCCATCCCAGGACCCTGCGATCATGACCTGGGCCAAAGGCAGACGCCTAACCAACTGAGCTACGCAGGTGCCCCCAATTTTAACTTTTTGAGGAACCTCCATACTGTTTTCCAGAGCGGCTGCACCAGCTTGCATTCCCACCAATAGTGCGGGAGGGTTCCGCTTCCTCCACATACTCGCCAACACCTGTCGTTTCCTGACTTGTTGATTTTAGCCAATGTGACAGGTGTGAGGTGGTATCTCATTGTGGTTGTGATTTGTATTTCCCTGATGATGAGTGATGTTGAATTCTTTTCATGTGTCTGTTGATCATCTGGATGTCGTCTTGGGAGAAATGTCTATTCATGTCTTCTGCCCATTTTTAATCAGATTACTTATTTTTTGAGTGTTGAGTTTTACCAATTCTTTATGCATTTTAGATAGTAACCCTTTATCAGAGCCTTTATGTCATTTACAAATATCTTCTCCCATTCAGTATGTTACTTTTTAGTTTCATTGACTGTTTTCTTCGCTGTGCAGAAGCTTTTTATTTTGATGAAGTTCCAATAGTTTATTTTTGCTTTTGTTTCCCTTGCCTCAGGAGACATCTAGAAAGATGTTGTTATGGGTGATGTCACATTACTGCCTGTGTTCTAAGATTTTTATGGTTTCAGGCCTCACATTTAGGTCTTTCATCCATTTTGAGTTTACTTTGTGTGTGGTGTAAGAACATGGTCTAGTTTCATTCCTTTACATGTTGCTGTCCAGTTTTCCCAACACCATTTGTTGAAGAGACTGCCTGTTTCCCATTGGATATTCATTCCTTTGTGGAAGATTAACTGACCATATAATTGTGGGTTTATTTCTGGGTTTTTTATCCTATTCCCTTGATCTTTGTGTCTGGACCATACTGTTGTAATTACTACCACTTTGTAATATAACTTGAAGTCTGGAATTGTGATGCCTCCAGTTTTGTTTTTCCTTTTCAGGATTGCTTTGGCTAGTCGAGGTCTTTTGTGGCTCCATACAAGTTTTAGGATTGTTCTAGTTCTGTGAAAAATGCTGTTGGTATTTTGAGAGGGATTGCATTAAATCTGTAGGTTGCTTTGAATAGTATAGACGTTTTAACAATATGTTTCTTCCAGTCCACGAGCATGGAATGTCTTTCCATTTCTTTGCAGCATCTTGAGTTTCTTTCATCCATGTTTTAGCGTTTTCAGTCACCTTTTGCTTAAGTTTATTCCTAAGTATTTTATTGTTTTTGGTACAATTGTAAATGGGATTGTTTTCTTAATTTCACTATCTGCAGCTTCATTATTCGTGTATAGAATGCAACAGATGTCTGTACATTGATAAGTATCCTGCGACTTTACTGAATTCATGTATCAGTTCTGGTAGGTTTTGGTGGAGCCTTCAGGGTTTTCTGTATACAGTATCATGCCATCTGCATGTGGTAAATTTTACTTCTTCCTGACCAATTTGGATGTTTTTTATTTCTGTATGTTGTCTAATTGCTGTGGTTAGGACTTCCAGTACTATATCAAATAAAAGTGGGAAGAGTGGACATACTTGTCTTTTTGGGAAATTAGAGCTTTTTAAGGAAAATTATTATATGAAAGGGTTGTAGATATCTCCCCCAGGATTATGTTTTAACTTTTTTTTTAAAGTTTTGTTTTATGCAGTTAAATGTGTCTGTCTTTTCCATGTGGCTTTGGCCTCTAAGAATCCTTAAAGAGGCTTCTTCCACTCTTAGACATATGCACTCAAGTTTTCCTCTGAAAATTGTTTCTTGACATTTAAATATATTTTTTTAAGATTTTATTTATTTATTTGAGAGAGAGAATGAGATAGAGCATGAGAGGGGGGAGGGTCAGAGGGAGAAGCAGACTCCCTGCTGAACAGGGAGCCCGATGCGGGACTCGATCCAGGGACTCCAGGATCATGACCTGAGCCGAAGGCAGTCGCTTAACCAACTGAGCCACCCAGGCGCCCTTGACATTTAAATATTTAATCTGCCTGGAATTTATATGCTATACAGACTGAAAGAGGGAACCAGACATTTCTTTTTCAGTAGCTGACCAGTCATCTCACTTTTTTTCCTTCTGAACAGGAATGTCCCTTTATCACACACCAGAACCCCATGTGCATGGGGCCCCCTTGGTCCCGATGCCTATGTGTGGGCCCTTGTGGCACTGTCTCATCCATGGGTGGTAGGCAGGTTTCCCTCCTCGATGTGGATGGAATTCTCCCACTCTCTGGTTATTCTGGATGAACATTAGAGTCATTCTTTTGTTTCTCCTACTCAGCTTAGAATCGCTTTGGACAACACTGAGTTTGTGGATCCATTTAGGCTAAGCAACATGTGGATCATATATAGACTTCTCCAACTACAATTTATCCAATTATTTAAGCTCTCCTTTATGTTCTTTTTACAGCTCAGTAGCTTTCTTTACTTAGGTTCTGCAAATTTCTTGTTTATTTCCAAGAATTTTAATGTTTATGTTCCATTATCAATATAACTTTGTTTTGTATTTTTATTTATTTTTTTAAGATTTATTTATTTTAGGGCACCTGGGTGGCTCAGTTGGTTAAGCGACTGCCTTTGGCTCGGGTCATGATCCTGGAGTCCCGGGATCGAGTCCCACATCGGGCTCCCTGCTCGGCAGGGGGTCTGCTTCTCCCTCTGCCCTCTTCCCTCTCATGCTCTCTGTCTCTCATTCTCTCGCTCTCAAATAAATAAATAAAATATTTTAAAAAAAAGATTTATTTATTTGAGAGCGAGAGAATGAGAGCATGAGCAGGAGGGGGAGAGGGAGAGGGAGAGAGGGAATCTCAAGTAGGGTCCATGCCCAGCGTGGAACCCAATGCAGGGCTCAATGCCACAACCCAGAGATCAGACCTGAGCCAAAACCAAGAGTTGGACACTCAACTTACTGTGCCACCCAGGTGCCTCCTATATTTTTAAATTAATGGTTTTCTTATGTAGGAAAGCTGCTGGGTTTTGTTATATAATTTGGTAGCTGGCAAACTTAGTGAGCTCAACTCCTTTTTAAAAATGGTTGAGATGAGGAGTACCTGGGTTAAGGCTAAGCATCTGACTCTTGATTTTGGCTCAGGTCGTGATCTCAGGGTTTTGGGATCGGCACCGTGTCGGGCTCCTTGCTCGACACTTTTTCTCTCTCAAATAAAATCTTCTAAAAGATGTTCGAGATGTACTTTATTACTATTTTAGTTAATGCTTAATATTATCTTTTTAAATCTTAAAAATAGTACATTTAAGGGCGCCTGGGTGGCTCAGTCGTTAAGCGTCTGCCTTCAGCTCAGGTCATGATCCCAGGGTCCTGGGATCGAGCCCCACATCGGGCTCCCTGCTCGGCGGGAAGCCTGCTTCTCCCTCTCCCACTCCCCCTGCTTGTGTTCCCTCTCTCTGTCAAAAAAATAAATAAAATCTTTAAAAAAAAGAAAATAGTACATTTAAATACCAAATCTTAGAATTGCATCGTTCAATATGATAGCATCAGTCATGTGTAGCTATTTAAATTTAAATGTATTAAAAGTAAATAAAACTTAAAGTTGCTCAGCTTCACTAAGCACATTTCAAGTGCGAAATGCAGCTGGTGGCTACCAAATTGGGCAGCACAAACATAAACCGTCTCTTTCATTGCAGAAAGTTCTAGTAGGTTGCTCTGGCCTACGGTGCTACCAAAAAAAAAAATTTTTTTTTTTGCATATACTCCAGCTGTGCTTTATTTCCTCAGACCCAGTGCTTTTCTTGGTTTCTGTTCTTAGCTTTTCAGTAGATTCCTGAATCACTTGAACAATATGCTTACACCTTTGCTTGATTTGCCAACATTAGGTAGTATTACTGATTTCATGAAAGATGTGGAATTCCTTGCTTATTTTTTACATAGCTTTACTGTGGTGAAATAGACATAAAATTTAACATTTTAACCATTTTTAGGTGTACAATCCAGTGACAAGTACATTCGCATTGTTGTGCACCCATTACCACTATTTTCACAACTTTTTCATCATCATTAAAACAATAATTCACTGTTCTACTTTCTGTCTCTATGAATTTGACTGTTCTAGGTATCTCATACATGTGGAATCATGCAATATTTGTCCTTTTGTGTTTGCATTATTGGACTTAGCATATTTTCACGGTTTATCCATGTAACCCATCAGAATATTACTCCTTTTTATGGCTGAAGAATATTCCATTGTATATAGGCTACACTTTGTACACTCTGTTGATGGACACTTGGGATGTTTCTACCTTTTGGTTATTGTGAATAATGCTGCTTTGAACAAGTGTCTTTGAGTCCCTGTTTTCTTTTGGGTATATACCTTGGAGTGGAATTACAGAGGTCATATGGTCATTCTATGTTTAGCTCTTTGAGAAACCAGCAAACTCTTCCATAGTAGCTGCACCATTTTATATTCCCTCCAGCAATGCACAGGGATTCCAGTTTTTCTACATCTTCACCAACACGTTACTTTTCTTTTTTTTTGACAGTAACCATCCTAGTGGATATGAAGTGGATGTATCTTACTGCGGCTTTGATTTACCTTTCCCTAATAATCAGTGATGTTAAACATCTTTTCATGTGCTTATTGGTCATTTATATACCTTCTTTGGAGAAAGGTCTATTTAAGTTCTTTGCCCGTATCTTAACTGCCTTGTTTATTTTTGTCTTGACTTATAGAAATTCTTTATATATTCTGGATCTTAATCTTTTATCAGATACGTGGTTTACAAACATTTCTCCCATTCTGTGGGTTATCTTTTCAGTTTCTCTCTATAGTATTCTTTGATACACAGATGTTTTAAATTTTGATGAAGTGCAATTTATCCTTTTTTTTATTCTTTTTTTTTTTAATTTATTTATTCATTTGAGAGAGTGAGAATGAGAGAGAGTACATGAGAGGGGACAGGGTCAGAGGGAGAAGCAGGCTCCTTGCCGAGCAGGGAGCCCAATGCGGGACTCGATCCCAGGACTCCAGGATCATGACCTGAGCCGAAGGCAGTTGCTTAACCAACTGAGCCACCCAGGCGCCCATTTTATCCTTTTTTTAAGTTGCCTGTCCTTTTGATATCACAATGAAAAAGTCATTGATTGATCCAAGATCATGAAGATTTTCACCTTTGCTTGCTTCTAAAAGTTTTATAGTTCTAGCTCTTAAATTTAAGTCTTTGATCCATTTTGTGTTAATTTTTTAATATGATGTTGGGTAAGGGTTTGCCTTCATTCATTTGCATGTTGATACCCAATTTTCCCAGCACCATTTTTTTTTTAAAGATTTTATTTATTTGACAGACAGCGAGAGAGGGAACACAAGCAGGGGGAGTGGGAGAGGGAGGAGCAGGCGTCCCACGGAGCAGGGAGCCCGACGTGGGGCTCGATCCCAGGACCCTGAGATCATGACCTGAGCCGAAGGCAGACACTTAATGACTGAGCCACCCAGGTGCCCCTTCCTAGCACCATTTTTTGAGAGGACTGCACAATGGGTTAAACCTTTTCCCCCTTGAGTGGTCTCCCCACCCTTGTTGAAAATCACTTGACCATATCCTATTCCATCGGTCTTAAGTTTGTCTTTACGGCACTACCACACTCTTGGTTACTGTAGCTTTGTAGCATGTTTTGAAATCCTCTAACTTTGTTTTCCTTTTCAAGATTGTTTTGGCTCTTTGGGGTCCCTTGAGAGTCCAGGTGAATTTTAGGATGGGGTTTTTCTATTTCTATTGAAAATGTCATTGGGATTTTGAGAGGGATTACATTGAATCTGTAAATCACATTGGATAGTATTGATATATCCATATTAGGTCTTCTGGTCCATGAATACTTTGTCTTTCCATTTATTTGTGTCTTTTTTTTTACTTCTTTTATCACATTTTGTAGTTTTTAGTGTATGTATTTCATCTTTTGGCTTAACTTTATTCCTAAGTGTTTTATTCTTTTTGATGGTATTGTAAATGGAATTGTTTTCTAAATTTCTGTTTTTGGACAGTTTATTGTAAGTGCACAAGATGCGACTGATTTTTGTGTGTTGATTTTGTATGCTACAAGTTTGCTGAATTTATTGGCTGTAACAGATTTTTTATGGAATATTTATTCCTATAGAAAATATATTTCAACATATAAGATCATGCCATTGCAAACAAATATTTTTTCTTTCTAGCTTGGATGCCTTTATTTCTTTTTCTTGCCCAGTTGCTCTGGTTAGGGCCTCAATACTTTTTTTGAACAAAAGTAGCAAAATCCTTGCCTAGTTCCTTATTCTAAGGGAAAAACTTTCAATCTTTCCATCATTGAGTGTGATGTTAGCTGTGGGTTTTTCATACATGGGCTTTATCACTTTGAAGAAGTCTCCTTCAATTCCTGGTTGGAGTGTTCTCTCATGAAAGGGTGTCGTTTTATCAAACGTCTTCTCTACATCAGCTGAGAATTTCTTGTGTTTTTTTCCTTTGTTCTACCAATGTGTTGTGTATTATATTGATTAATTTTCATATGTTGAACCATCTTTGCATTCTGGGTAAACTGGCCTTGACTGCAGTGTGTAACCCTATTAATGCACTGTCATATTTGGTTTCCTAGTATTTTGTTGAGGGTTTTTTTTTTTTTAAGATTATTTATTTATTTATTTATTAGAGAGTGAGCAGGAGAGAAACAGCATGAGAGGGGAGAGGGTCAGAGGGAGAAGCAGGCTCCCCGCCGAGCCGGGAGCCCGATGTGGGACTCGATCCCAGGACCCTGGGATCATGACCTGAGCCGAAGGCAGTCACTTAACTGACTGAGCCACCCAGGCGCCCCGCTTGTTGAGGATTTTTAATATCTGTATTCATGAGAGATACTTGCCTGTAGTTTGCTTCTCTTGTAGTCCTTTTATTATAGTTTGAATAGCGGTTTGTCTTGCAGGTGGAGGCTGTCTCTGATAAGTGGGAAGACGACAGCAAAAACCATGGCAGAGGGCTGTCCGACTCCAGCCCCCGAGTGCTGATTGGCTGTGTGACTTCGCTGATGGAGGGTGCTGGCTACATCAGTCAGACCACATACTTCTCTCTGGAGAGTGTTTGCGAAGGTATGTTAGATGGGTTTCTGCTCACATTTGAGGTGAGGTTTTGTGTATTTTTTTTAATTTTATGAATTAGCTTTGAGATGGTTACACACATTGAAAGGGCCAAATTTGAGCATGCTTTGTTTTTTGAGAAGGTTTCGGACTAGAATGCCTTCACCAGGTGTTGGCTCCAAGCAGTAGACGGTGTAGACTGCTGTGGTTCGTTTTGTGTCATTCGTTGAATGGAGTCACTAATTTCTGGGTAATTGTTCCTTTTATGTAAGTATTGTTACTGATCTAAGTCAACAGTGTCACAGATGTGTAAGGCAACTGCTGTTTTTACAGTACTTCAAATGTTTTAAAAGAGGACTTGGGGATAACTTTGTCCTTCCCACGAATGTATATCCGTTTTTTATTGCGTTTGTTTTTAGCTATCTAAAATTTTGTTTTTATGCCTAAATATATAATTTGTTAATGCCATTCTTGAGTTTAACTCAACAACCATTTGTTGTGTACCTGCTGTCTACAGTGATGGGTAGGGAGCTAGGTAGTAGGAGACCAAGATGAGTAAGACCCTAGATCTTCCTCCCAAGGAGAAACAGACCTGTACTTGCCTTGGAATCGGGCAGGATTGGAAAAGCTGCATGGGTGAGGTACTTCTTGAGCTGAATTCCAGCTGCTCACCCTGCCAGCCACACGTGGGCGGGGGAGCCGCAATTCTCTCCCACCTTGGCTGCCAGGGAGCCCAGTGCAGGAGGGCGATTAGCTCAGCCCACCCGGCCACTTGCTGTTCTACGTTTCTTAGATGTAAAAGCCAGGACTCTGACCTTGATTGCTAACCCTGGAAGTTTCCAGAATGAAATTGACAGGTGGCTGGGATTTTAAAAACTCCGTTCTGTCAGAAAACTCTCAATTCTGGAAAAACTGATCGTGCAGTTGCTCCAAAGGGAATCCCTCGGTCCCTGTAACTGCTGACAGGAAGTGACTCCCAGACAGGGACATGGTTCGTGCCGCAGACACTGCTGAGGTGCAGAAGTAGTTGACCGTGAGGACTGGTACCTGAACACAGGTGGAGGATTTCCAGCACAGTCTCAAGTCTTCTTGAGCTGAGAGGGTCCAGATAGCTGCAGCCTGACATCCACAGCAAAAAGAACATTCTTGAAAGAGAAAACACGGTGTGGAAAAAGGTAACGGGAGTCCAAAACGAAGGCCACCGACCTTTTCTGAGACAGGCCAGATTGTAAAGCTTGTGGGGCCCGTGGTCTCTCGCAGCTCTTTAACCTCTGGGCTGGTGGTAGCGTGAGCACAGCCATCAGTGGCAGCGAAGCAGAGAGGTGTGGCTGTGTCCCTGTCAGGCTGTATGTACAGAGACAGGCGGCAGGGTACCATTGCACGTCTCTGACTGGAAGATGAGAAGAGGAAGAACTGGGCTAGATGTTTCATTTACTTCAGGGAGAGCCAGACCGCGTTTCTTTCTTGGCATCGATTCAGCAAATACTGGAAGGCCTTGCCCGGGGCCTGTCGCTGTCTTGTAGGATGTGCTCTAATGGGAGGGAGAGCGGCAGGCCAGGGTCTTCTGCTGTGCGGGAACAGTGCAATGTGGCACGGCGGGAGGTGGGCCAGTCGGGGGTTCCTCTGGGGCTGGTAAGGCCCAGTCTCCCTGCATGCAGGCGGACCAAGGGCTCTGTGAGGAGGTCCAGGTGAAGCACAGATTGTGTTCTGACCCTTCCAGGGTGACCCGCGTGAGTCTGGCTCAGCTGTGCATGGGAGGTGAGCAAGCTCTGACTGTTTTAGGAAGGGGTGGAGAGGAGACAGCCACTGTCAGAACACGAGGTGGGGGCGTGACCCTGACCTCTCTCCCCTCTCTTCTGCCAATCGGTGGGTGCTCTCCTGAGGCTAATCCCAACCAGAAGCCAGAGGGCAAGGCTGGGTGGTCCATACTGGGCAGGCCTGGGGGCAGAGTGGGGCGGTTGTAGAAAGGCATCAGAGACCGTCCAGTTCCAAAGGCTGAAGAACTCCGGCAACGGGACAGGGTGTCAGAGGGCTGGGCTTCGACCCGGGAAGGAGGGACCAGCTGCTGGGTAGAGGTTTTCAGACAGAAAATCTGCGGACCTCAGGGATGCAGGCAGAGGAAGAGCAGGGCCTGAAGTGGCCCCCTGATCACTAAGGCGCACCCCGACACAGGGCACAGCACTCTGTCCCGGAAGTGGCACAGGTTCTTGGGCCTGGTGAAAGGGCTCAGGGAAGATCCACGACACCTGCTCTTTATCTCACAGGTGGGTCCATAAACCAGTTTCATCTGCTAAGAAGGAAATAACCTGACTTGTGACCCAGGCTGGGAGCGCGGGCCACACTGGTTACGTGGATGTGTAGATGCTACAGGGCTATCCACGGCTTACCCTGGAAAGAAAGAGGAAAGAAGCAAGTTCGTCATACACTCGGACTCTAGACCCCGCTCTTAGGCCAGTGATTCCTACCCAGGGCCATTCTGTCTCCCAAGCCATGTTTGCAGACGTTCTGGGTTCTCTCAGCTGGGGGATGGGATGGCAGTTAGTGGGTAGAGGTCAGGGATGCTGCTAAACACACCCCACAGTCCACAGGGCAGCTACCACAATGGGATGGGCAGCCTCAGATGTCACAGGGCAGAGCACGAGAAAGCCTGCTTTAGGCTGAATGCCCAGTTCCATTTTAGCAGCCTTGGCCAGAAGGTTAAGGAATCACTGGATATTCACGTGTAGAACAGCTTGGGCTCTGCTACTGATGTTAAGAATTCTCATGAGTAGGGAGGAGGGCGCCTGACTGGCTCAGCGGGTAGACATGTGACTTTTGATCTTGGGGTTGTGAGTTCAAGCCCCATGCTGGGGACTGGGGGTAGAGTTTACTTAAAAAACAAAACAAAACAAAAAACCCCCCCAAAAAACAAACAAAACAAAACTTGAAAAACAGAAAAAGAATTCCCATGAGTGTTGTTTGTGGGCCTGGATCTGAAGTGTCATCCACAGAACTGGGCTGATGGCCACCACTGCCTCTACAGTCCGAGACTGAGGGGACTCTGTGATCCTGAGACCTCACCTCCCACCTTCACACTCTTCAATATTCACAGGCTCACGGCAGTCCCTGGTGACACCCCTCCTCCTGGTCCCTCCTTCCCGGGTCGAAGCCCAGCCCTCTGACACCCTGTCCCGTTGCCGGAGTTCTTCAGCCTTTGGAACTGGACGGTCTCTGATGCCTTTCTACAACCGCCCCACTCTGCCCCCAGGCCTGCCCAGTATGGACCACCCAGCCTTGCCCTCTGGCTTCTGGTTGGGATTAGCCTTAGGAGAGCACCCACCGATTGGCAGAAGAGAGGGGAGAGAGGTCAGGGTCACCCCCCCACCTCGTGTTCTGACAGTGGCTGTCTCCTCTCCCATGGCCAGAGCTATAGCCAGGTGACCCTGTCAGTGTCCAGACTGGTACACACTGAGAAGTGGGAAGGGGTGTGAAAATGGATTAAGTCATTTTTTAAACACTTGCATATCAATGAACAAATTGATTTTACTGTATTGGCGGACCTTTAAAGTAGCGTTATTCAGAAACTGTTTGCAAAACAGTTTTTTTTTTTTAGAAAAAGAATACTTGGATCCATTAAAACAACTTAATATTATTCAGTCATTATATTCTTGACACATAATAACATATTTTAATTTTTCAGTATTTCTAATAGCATGTCACTGGTATTCTAAAAAACATACATTGGGGTTCATGCGTGGCTCAGTTGGTTAAGCGTCCAACTTGATTTCGGCTCAGTTCATGATCTCAGGGTTGTGAGATCCAGCCCTGCTTAACTGGGCTCCACACTCAGCTCAGCGGGGAGTCTGGTTGAGATTTTCTCTCTCCCTTTCCCTCTGCCCCAACCCCCCGCCATGTGCATGCCTTCTCTCTTTTGCTCTCTCTCAAACCAGTAAATAAATAAAACCTTAATATTTAAAAAAATTAAATTAAAACAAAATTTTTAGTATCTTAATTTTATTTTTTTTAATACAGTGGCTTGGAATCTTCTTCAAAGCTGCATATTTTATGGTTGATGAATTTGAAACTGAAACTTTTGATTGGCTCTCCTTGTAGGCTATAACATTTTTAATTGAGGAAATATTAGTAAGCTCAGAGCAAATTCTACTAAATTCTTAAGTCCAGTATTTTTCTTTTTTTTTTTTTTTAAAGATTTTATTTATTTATTTGAGACAGAGAGAATGAGAAAGAGAGAGCACATGAGAGGGGGGGAGGGTCAGAGGCAGAAGCAGGCTCTCTGCCAAGCAGGGAGCCCGATGCGGGACTCGATCCTGGGACTCCAGGATCATGACCTGAGCCGAAGGCAGTCGCTTAACCAACTGAGCCACCCAGGCGCCCTCTTTTTTTTTAAAGATTTTATTTGACAGAGACAACGAGAGAGGGAACACAAGCAGGGCGAGTGGGAGAGGGAGAAGCAGGCTTCCCGCCGAGCAGGGACCCCGATGCGGGGCTCGATCCCAGGACCCTGGGACCATGACCTGAGCTGAAGGCAGATACTTAATGGCTGAGCCACCCAGGTGCCCCAAGTCCGGTATTCTTCTATTGAGACATGTAACTATGTCAGCCCAAATGTTTTTACAGGTACTATTTGTTTGCCTCTATGAGCGTAAAGGTGATCAAATGCTATCATCAACTAAAACTTGTCAAATAAGTTGTCTTATTTTTTTTAATGTTACATCAAATGTGGATGCTGTAAATTTATGTCTGGTCCATTTCAATCATTCCATTACAGAATATCCGTTTATCCAATTAAATATCGAGGGCTTTGTTGGAAGACTTGGTGCAAGCTGGGATAGTGTGGGGTCCAGTCATACCACTTCAGCTTTAAGCCATGTGCGCCGTACAGGCCTCCTGGGGCCTCATGGCTTCGTTTCCTCTGTTGCTTTGGTGGAGAGCAGTGTCACTGTCTTCCTGTTTACAAGCTGTATATTCAGTGACTGCAATTTATTTTTTAAAGGTTTTATTTCTTTATTTGAGAGACAGAGAGCACGCACATGTGAGAGAGAGCAGGAGCAGGGGGGAGGGGCAGAGGGAGAAGCAGGCTCCCCGTGGATCAGGGAGCCCGACGCGGGGCTCGATCCCAGGACCCCGGGATCCTGACCTGAGCCGAAGGCAGACGCTTAACGACTGAGCACCCAGGCGCCCCTGAGTCCATGATACTGATGGGGAAAAAAAATCAAACTATTATTTCAGTTTGCTTCACTGTTTTTCTCCTTGAAATAACTGTTTATACAACTAACACATTGCTTCATTTTTCACGTGTATCTGAAGAGATTTGGACTAAAAAATTAGCAGAATTAATGTTAAATATTTGATAAAGTCATGGTTTGTAAGTCAACATACAAATGTGTCCTACAGCCTGTTGAATTGTGCTTCCGGGCCTGTCCTCTTAAAATGCCACCTTACCCAGAAGTCGGTGCTCCAGCAGGTTTGTCTCTTCTGGATTCATACCACTGGTGTGGTGGTACCACGGTGGCCCTCGTGCTGATCAGTAGCTGTCAGATGTTCGGGCTCTTAGGGGTTTATCACCAGCTTTCTTGAGAAGCAAACTCAGTTTTAAATTAAACGCTTTTGGGTTTTGTTTATTTATTTTTTAAAAATTTTATTAGAGTGCTTGTGTGCAGTGGGGAGGGGCAGAGTTTGGAAAGTGAGCGAGAATCCCAAGTCTGACTCGGGGCCTGAGATCATGGCTTGAGCTGAAATCAAGAGTCGGACACAACCGACTGAGCCGCCCAGGCGTCCCTGCACTTCTATTTTTGAACTGATTGCTGTCCAAAGTATTTGTTGCAAAATGACAAAAAGGTTATAACAGGTTTAGCGTCACGCCATGCGCCGTAGCAGATCCGCTCAGGCTGTGCTCCCTGTGTTACTGACGCATGGTCAAGCCACTGCGTGCCCTGAACCTGTCGTTGCCCAGCATTCCCGCCCACCCTGCCGTGGCGGCCCGGGGCACCTTGCGTCCCGCGGGGGCCGCAGTACAGCTGCCTGGCACACCCGGGGTCCGGCAGGGGCACTGAGTGCTCCCCCACCTAGGCTGGCATAGACACCCCAGCTCTCAGGTCGGAGTGCACTGCGCTTTGCCACCAAGTACCCTGTGTGTTCCCGATAGGGAGGAGCACTCACTGTTCCTGCAAAGAGTTGACAGAGAGGAGTGCCCATGTATTAGAGAAACTGTCCGCCACACTTGAGCCACATGCCCTAGAGGCTGGAGACTAAGAGATTTGCTGTTCAGCTTATTTGGCTGCAGTTAATAATAATACTTATGAAAAACATGGGGAACATTTGAAACCAGAGGGGATCCTGAAACTGTGCAAACCAGGTGTATGACCATGCAGGCTGCAGTCCTCCTGGCTCCCTGCCTTTGCCTGGGGGGCAGGAGAGGGTAAGGCTGCAGAAAGGTGGGTCTGTAACATCCTCTGCTCCATTCAACTGGGGAAACCCAGGAGAGAGCTAAGATTGAAAACGGGTTTCTTAGGTAGAACAGAAATGGTTTCAGTGTATCATAACTTCAGAATGAATTGTACACTTTGGTATAACCAACATTACCAAGTAAGCACCATGGTTTCCCTGCTTGGAGGTTTCGAGCCCTGCAAGGGAGACTGGGTGGAGGCGGAGTACTGGATCCGGCCGGGCACGTGGAACAGCGAGGCCATCTCAGTGAAGCCCCTGAGGTACAAGCGCGTGGACAGGGTAGGTGCTGGCCCTCACTTGTCCTTGTCTTCCTGTCTTTTCACAGCCCAGGCTTCTCCTGGGTGCATTGGGAAGTCAAGCTGTTTCCTCGCTGAGAACGCTGGTTTTCTTAAGGAGATCATTGGAGATCGCCTGGCATGCTCGTACAATGCAATCCTAGGTGCTGTAGTTTAACAGAATGTGGAAACGTTCTCACTGCTGGGACGAGGGGGTGGGTGAAGGGCTGGAGCTCGCCTGTAAAGGCTGGTGCACTCTGGCGTTGGAGACTGGAGTTTTCACAGAGTGAGGGTGTGTGCTGGGCTGGGACGGAGACACGGGGAGTGAGCCGTAGCAGATCCTTGGCTCTGAGGGCCTTACACGTTCATGAAATCTTCGGGGCTTTGCTTCTCCAAGACCAGGTCCCCGCTCCCCCTAGAGGTTGGACTTGGTCTGCAGTGGGGCCCAGGTGAGGTGGAGGCCAGCCCTCGTTGGGCTGGTTTGGAGAGGCCGGCCCCTGGTGCGGCACACATTTACACAGTCAATTACTGTGTTTGCAGGTCTGCATTTCTAGCCTCTGCGGGAGAAACGGGGTGATAGATGACAGCATCTTTTTCACCTTGGACTCTCTGAAACTTGCTGAAGGATACGTGCCTCGAAGACATGACGTGGTCAGTGCCGTGGTGGTGGAGAGCAGCCAGTCATGCTATGTCTGGAGAGCCCTATGCATAACCCCAGTGAAAAGACGGTAATGAGGAAATGGCTCTTCTTTGGGAGGGGAGAGGCCCAACTGAAGTGTGCTTTAAGAGTTGCTTTAATAAGCTCAAATAATAGCCTGTCCAAATCCTGAGCTGGGCAGTTAAAGGGAAAGTATCTTCTGGAAGGTTTTCGGTGATCTTCGTGGTTGATTAAAGTTCTAGTTAACAGTTCCTTCTTAATCCTTAATCTTATACTGGCAATTTTCACATTTTGATGGGGTTTTATAGCTTTTGTTCTTTTTTCACATGTTGGTATTTTTTAGAACATGTTGGACATAGTAGGTTCTTAATTTTTTTTTAAGATTTATTTATTTGGGGGGGGGGAGAGGGAGAGGGAAAGAGAGTCCCAAGCAGATTCCACACAGAGAGCGGAGCCTGATGCAAGGCTCAGTCTCATGACCCTGCGATCAGGACCTGAGCCAAAACCAAGAGTCAGACGTTTAACGGGCTGAGCCACTCAGGCGCCCCTTAGAATCGTTGAGTCTCTCATATCCACATTCTTCATTCTGTGCCCCAGCAAACTCGCACCTTGTCCACACATGTTTATAAGGCACCACGGGGCCCTCCCTGAGCTTTCCATGTAAGTGGCAACCCTGCCCTGCCTCGGCTCCCTTCCGTGGCCTGCTTTGTCTCCTTAGCACGTCCCTCCAGTGAGCTTCCTGTACGTTCTCCTCGGTTATCCTCTATATCCTCGGATCACCTGGAATGCAGGTTCCGTGCAGGGAGTTTGTGTCCTGTGTCCCTCTACGCACTGAGCACTTGCCTTGGCGTCTTTCTTTGTGCCCCTGGGGGCGTGCCTGTGGGGAGCACCACTGGCTATAGAAGACTCAAGAGGACGGAACACCTGGCTCAAGGCTGTGGAGGTGGGCTGGGGAGCCATGCCCCTGTCCCAGCCAGCAGACGCCCTCATCCTTGGCCACTCAGTGCCCAGTTGCCCTGCCCCACAGGACCCTGCTTTGCTGTTGGAGAATGACTCTGTCCCATCTGTGGGGCAGTGAAGCCAGATACATGGCCCTTACCCCCTCTCACCACCCACGACGGTCTGGCAGGAACAGGAGGTCTGGTTTTAGCTCCATCTGATGGACGCGGTGGTATGAGCATGAGACAAGGCAGGAGCTCATTGCCCAGTGTCTGTGCTGCAGGAGTAGCATGGCTCCTCCCTGTGTCTGAACCAGGCTCTTGGGCGTCCCGCTCGTTCTGTCATCTTCCTGGTAGTGAGCAGCCAGAAGCCCTGGGACAGAAGCCGGGAGGCCCGCTTCCCACATTAGGCTTCATAGTCACTGGGAGCCACGTGCCCAGTTTAAGGAAACCCCTATGCCAGGAAGACATGAGCTTCCTTGACTCTTCATACCCCGCAGTTACCTGCGCTCCTGATTGCCATGGGCACCGGAGGGTAGCGGCCAGTCCTGCCCCTCACTGACCATCAGAGAGAAACTAGTTGTCATTTCAGGCTTCAGGGCCAAGTGTATTCCTTGGAATGACTTACCGTTTGTCTCCAATTCTAGATTCTTACTGTCTAGTCTGTTGTGTTTTATAAGCACTTTTTCACACGCTCTGTGGCTTTTCAGTTTGTTATGTCTTTGAGAGGAGTAGTGGCTCAGAGCAGATGTGGACCAGCATCTGTTGAATGGGTGGGGGCACGACCAGTGGGCTCCCTCGCTGTGGCTGGTCAGTTTCTGGGGCGCCTCCTCAGGTGGCCCCTGGGCTGATGTAGGTCTGGGGTGGGGGGCTGATTCTCCTTGGGGAGGGGTCACTCCGATCCCAGGCACATTGCATGAAGCTTCTCCCTTGACTGCCTCCAGTAGTCATCTTCATAGGCAAGGGAAATTTTTCCACCTTCATCGCTGGATGCTGGCTGAGAGCCAGCCCCAAATCCTGTGACTTCAGAATTCCTCATAATGTCCTAATTAGAGTGGGGGATTAGAGGGTGAGTGGTGGATGAAGGGAATGTGCTGGGTCCCGGGGAACTCCCAGCCTGTGAGCGGTCAGTTCCCCTTTCCTGAATTTATAGTGGAAACGAATGTCCCGCCCTTCAGCAGAAGCCCAGCAGATGCCCTCTATGTGCCAAGCCCCGTTCTAGCCCGAGGAGTACTGCCTTGGACAAAGAAGAGCCATGTTTCTGCCCTGGGAGAGCTTATGTGCTGTCACCCCACTCAGGCTTCCTGATCCCTAAGGGGAGGCTGCAAGCGGCAGCTTGGGGCAGTGGGGCTCTGTCTGTGTGGGTTCCCTCCACGAGCTGGTCCACATTCCCCAGCATGAGCCCTGTGTGTATGCTCCACTCAGACCCACTGTCTGCATGCCTGGTTGATGTCGGGAAAAGCACCAATTAACTGCATGCGAAGCAGAGCTTCCACTCTCCTCCAGATGCAGCGTCTCCTGCCATCTTCCCCATCCCCATTCCCTGGGTGGCTTGAGCCAGAAACCTTCCAGTCATTCCTGACTCCCTTCCTTGCTCGTATTTCTCAACCCTCCATTAGCAGATGTTGGCTGTCTACAAGAACTGGGACTCTGCTTCCATGGCCCCCTGGGTCTGGGGTGAGGGCAGAGGAGGGACTGAGCTGTGGGAGGCACGGGAGGAGGAGTTAGCCGCTGTGGGAGGCATGTGTGGACGTGGCGGGGAGGAATGTGTGGACAGGAGGGGCTTGGGGGGCAGAAGCTGGCTGTGGAGGGGGCACTGGTGTGGTTGAGAATGTCACTGAGTTTGTGGCCGGAGCCCCATTTTCTGAATGGAGCTGCAGGCTGGGTGGGAAGGGGAGCGACGCCAGATTGCTGTCCAGACGAGCCCTGTGGGTCTGCAGTGAGGAGGACGGAGCTGCCTGCTTCCTGCCAGTGTCCACGGAATGAGGGGAATCGGAGGGTCTATAAAGGGAGGGTGCCTCCCCTCACGCCTCCTGGCAGCCCTAAGAGGAGAGGATTGAACGCTCCCTCCGCGGCATGTTCCCAGAATCAGGAACTCCTTCAAGAGGTCGCCACTGTGTTGCTTCCTTTTTTCTAGATCTTAGAGAATTTGTCATTTTCTTCTTCAAGATGTTTTGCTGTCCTTCTCCGAAATTCTAAGTATTGTAGGAACTCTGTATGTAGTTTTGTGGCCATACGTCCCTGGGGGACGTTGGCCCTGCAGTGGGTGCGGCGCATCTGGAAGGAGCGTGGCCGTGGCTGGGAGGCGGGTGGTGGAGCTTCGGGATGCCTGCCACCGGATGCTGTTCTTTGGGTGCTCTCTGCAGGGACCCCGCTGCCTGTGAAGAGGCTGCCGATGAGTCCTGTGGAGCCCTTTTACTGAAAAACAAAGGTGATATTGAAGTCACGAGGATGACAAATTTTGGAACATTAAAAGAAGGAGGAAGTAAAAATATGGTGGTCTGGATAGAGTAAGTTTGTCACTTAAGTTATGTTAATGAGTTTTAAATTGTTAATTGTGATTTAAGAATTTCTGGGGGAAAAAAGAATTCTGTAGAACCAACTTTATTTTGGTTAATGAACTGTTCAGTTCATTTTTTCCTTTATGGAGATCTTTTAGAAGTTTTTCACCCTAAAACATCCTTTTTATTTCTATTCATAAAGGTATTTACAATCATTTTTCACTGATAAGATTGAATTCTGTGTTTTATGGTAGCTGATTATTTTAGCTTCAGCAATCTTGTCTGTATTCATGGCTTATTTTCTTTTTCCAGGAATAAAGGAGATATTCCTCAAAACTTAGTCAGCTGTAAACTAGCTGGCTGGGATAAAGCTAAACAATTCAGATTTCAAACACCGGATAAAACCCAAATGTGCCCAGTAGGGTCTCTTGTTCCTGTTTCTGAGAAGGAGAGGAATCTTTCGGATGAAAATATTAACTCACTAGATAGCTACCAAAAACACACAACCTGTCAGGCATCAGAGAGCAGTGCGGTGAACATCACAGAAGTCTCTCCAGGTAGACGTTTCTCCTGTTACCGTGTTAGGTCAGCCGGCCGTGAGCCCCGCGGGGTCTGCGCAACAGGGCGGCCGCTGCTCCCGGGGCCCTGGGCTGGGGCGGAGTGACCAGCGCACTCTAGCTGGTGCGCCCGTTTGTGCGCTGTTCTGGTTCTGGGCTCTTGTCTGATGTTTTGGGACTGAAGAGAAGATAAAAATAGCTTGACCGATACCCAGACGTGCTTTAGATGTGCTGCTTCCTGTGAGTGGCTCCAGACTCGGGAAGGGCTGCCTGCTGTCCACGGGTGTTTTTGTCACCTACTGTCTGGCGCTTTGTGTGTACGTGTGCGTTTCCACCAGCCTGCCACCACTGTCAGGGACCGCTTAGCTTCTGATCTAATTCTGGATTTCGTTTCCGTCTCCCAGACGACTGTGCTTGTGAAGGAGAAGATGGGGACAAAGAAGAGAGGAAGCCGGGGAAGCAGGTGACAGAGCTGGAGCCCGGAGGGTTCATCCCTCCCGGTGGAAGAGCCCCGATTGTGATTGTATGTGATGCAAAGTACGTGGCTGGAGGGCTGGGAGTGAGTTTATTTTGGGGCCATTTGTGTATTTGGATTTTTAGGCATCATGGGTGATTCTTCTAAGTTGGAGGTTCTAAATGTATTCCTGACTATTCTAATGAGACAAAACCGTAAGAAAAAGCACTGGTGGTGAGTTTACCGACCGGAGCATTGCCTCCCCAAGCCTGACAAGCTGCCCGCCCCCACCCGCTCACCCCAGCTTCTGACCCTCAGTCCTGTTGGAGTCCATCCACTCTCAGCCCCTTGGCCACGGCTCCTCACCTTCCCTCCGGCTCCCTCAGCTGAGGCCTTCCTGCCTCTTGTCTCCAGCTGGGCTGCTGGCTGGGTACAGGGGGCAGGGGGCTGAGACCTCCCTTCCTGGGCGGACCGCAGATAATCCCAAGCTGCCACCACCCCACCCACCCCAGCATCTGGGTGGCAGGCCTCTTCCTTTCTCAGCAGCCCTCTACAGTTGCTAATTCTTAATCTTTTCTAAAAATGGGACTCGGGGGCGCCTGGGTGGCTCAGTCGGTGAAGCATCTGCCTTCGGCTCAAGTCGTGATCCCGAAGTCCTGAGATCAAGTCCCGCATCAGGCTCCCTGCTCAGCGGGGAGCCTGCTTCTCCCTCTCCCAGTCCCCCTGCTTATATTCTCTCTCTCTCTCTCAATCTCTCTCAAATAAATAAAATACTTTTTTTAAAAATGTGACTCTGATTAAACCACCACCTGCTTCAAGCCCACAGCCGTCACAGCTGGGTCAACCATTCGCACAGACCGCTCTTTAGCCAGAGCTGTGTGGTGCCACCACCTTAAATGATCTTTTAAATGTGACAGCACAGAAATCAGTGAAAGGCAGTAGGTGAGCACAAAGTGTGGCGCCTCCGGGAGAGCCTGCCTTAGAGAAGCAGCAGGAAATTGGGCAGAAAGCAAAGTAAAAGCAGTCTATTTTTGGTAACATTACACAATTCTGATTGAAACTTGAGAACGCTGACGGTGTCTTTCCTATTCTTAAGTTTGAGAATCACAGAATAGTTGAGGTGGCTGATTTTATTGTGGGAAGACATTCTTATTTTAGAAAGCTCATTTTCTCCTCTGACGAGAATTATTAAAAACTAAGGGTGACTGTGGTTTCGTGGCCGACTTTCCATACACGTACAAAGGGGAATTCTGTTGGATCCGCTTGTCTTATTTAAAATTAAATTGCTTTTTGTTTTTTCAAGGAATTCCGGCCGCTGCAAGGAGCTCCTTCTACTCTGCTTCTCCAACTTTGTAATTGGGCGGTTCCTTGAAGTGAATGTCGTAAGTGGGGAGGAGTCGCTAATAGCTGTCCGAGAACCATTTTCTTGGAAAAAGGCTAAAAGTTCCACCACGTTAACATCCACAAAAACTACAGTTGTTGTGACCACACAGAAAAGGTACCGTGAGCAGAAAAGACAATGAATCCAAATGCGTGCTTGAGGTGTGTGAGAGACGCGTGGGCCATGTCGCTGTTGAAGAGAGGCCAGCATCCTGGGATAAAGCTGGGGGCAGCTGGGCGGGCGCCTCTTCCTGTCTCCGTACTTGGGGGGAGAGGTGTGTTTTCATGCGACTCCTACAGTTCTGTCTCTGAGGAGGGCCCGGCTGTGTGAGTGTGAGGACAGAACAGTAGGCCGCGGCCCTCTGGGCCACCACTCCGCCCTGGCTGCTCCTGCCATGTCTTGTGTTCCCAGCAGCGCAGACACCCTGCATCTCACACAGGCACCCAGAGGCACCAGTTGGCAAGGGGTCCATAAGATGTGGCCAGTAAGCGACCACCCACACAGGGTGGTCCATGTGCTCTGTCTGCAGCTGCTGAACTGAAAAATCTCTGAAAAGCAGAATTTTTTTTAAGATTTTATTTATTTATTTGTGAGGGAGTGAGAACAGGCAGAGGGAGAAGCAGGCTCCCCACTGAGCAGGGAGCCCGATGCGGGGCTCGTTCCCAGGACCCTGAGATCATGACCTGAGCCAAAGGCAGATACTTAACGAGTGAGCCACCCTGGCTTCCCTGGAATTTTTTTTTTAAGTTTGGTGCCAGAAAATCTGGCCTAGGGATGGGAGGATATTTCCTGACTTTACTCTGTGATGGGAAAGCTCAGCCCTCAGCTGTGGGAACTGACAGGTTTAACTTAGGTACTGCCCAGAATCCCCTGGGGTGGTAGGTATTTCTCTTCTAATACTGGAAAATCGCGAATTTGAAATCACATTTTTCCCCAGTAACAATTCAAGGTGAGGTGTTACGGATTTCTCTAATTTGCAGGCTAGAGAAGAAATCTGTTAGCAGAGTGTTAAGTGGTTGGCTTTGGGGTTAGATCACTGCTTGGAACCAGCACTACCGCTGTGTGACCTTGGGCCAGTGTCAGAGCCTTTCCGAGCCCTAGTCTCGTTTGTAAGACGGTAGTGTCCCTCACATGGTTACGAGCATTAAAAACGTCCTTTCTGACAATGGAGCGATCAGTAGTGATCAGTAAGTCGTAAGAGCCACTGCTCATGGAAAGGGCATGCCCTGGAGATGGACCCGAGAACACGGGAGCCAGCAGTGACCATGGAAAGTCCTAAATGATTGGGTTTTAGTTACCGGAGCTTATGAGACCGCTCGGTTGTCACGTAGTGGTGTACCAGGCAACTTTCTAGTTAAAGTTTGACTTACCTAGAAAGTGAACTAGACCAACAATCCCCTGATCAGCTGTTTCCCTATGTCACTGTGTGGGAGTACCTCTAAAACAGGAGATCTTGGTTTTCTGTTGTCAACTTAGTGACCCGGAGTGCCTGTCCCGGTCCGCTTGGGTCTCCTGGAGCTCCCGGCACCTGCTTCCTGCCCTGTCTTTGCCCCCTGCCCAGAACAGCGTTGTCTGTGTGTTTGCTTAGCCAGTCTCTTGAGGACCTCTTTGTGCCAGGACCTTCTCGGCTGAATCTCTGACTATTCTAAGCTAGAAACAGACATGTTTTGTTAACTCAGCATGGATTTTGAGACCATGCGGTAAGACTGTTCAGGCCGTTTACCCAAACGTGTGTGTAGTGATGATCCTGTCCCCTTTGTCGTGTTCATGTTAGTAATTAATACTTCACTGTCGTTTACTGAACGCCCTGCTTCCACACATACTTGACGTGTGTGCTTTGGTGGAGCCCGTGACTCAGGGGGGAGGTGTTGGGCCTTCCCGGTGCTGCTCGTGGTGGCTCTGGGGGCCTTTCTGCCACAGAACTTCTCTCTAAGCAGCCTTCCCATCCAGAGCTGAGCTACAGGGATATCCAGGTGAGGTGACTGTGGAGTAAGGGGGTCGGGGCTACGTGTCTCCCACCCCCTGCACTCAGTATGAGCTGGAAGCAGCAGCAGTTAGAATGAGGGAGGGGGGCCCGTCTTCAGCGTGTGCAGGTGCGTGTAATCAGAGGTTCCCTGGACCTCCCTGGGACACGTCGCTTCTCTTCCACTGTCTCTTCTCCCGCTGTTTCCTTTCCGGTCACTTCTTGTGCTGTATTAGACCTGCCCACAGCAGCAGGATGTTCTTCATCCTGACGGTGGCCAACTTTGGTGACTCCTCCCTACAGCCCTTTCTGGGGAAAGACAGAAGCCTGAGGGTGAAACCGAATTTCCCCTGAGAAACTCCAGGCTGAAAAGCAAGAAGGCAGGACCCAGACAGCAGCCTTTACCGAATGTGTTCTGCATTCCTGCGGGAGTGGTTCTGATGTTCTAGGCTCATAGCGGCAGTAGGAGTTAGCGGGTGGGAGTTCAGGAACAGTGCTTTTCAGACTCACTGGTTCTGCGGGATTCTTGGGCGCGGCAGCCCTGCCCACCTGTTGGAGGGCACAAGAGGGCCCTGTGAGAGCCGGTGTGGGGGAGGGATCCCAAAGCAGCTGAAGTAAGTTTGCAAGGTCCAGACTGACACTAGCAGTTCACATTTGTTTTTGGTTCTTGAAGGACCTTTAGTCTTTCCGAAGCGGGAAGGATGTCTGAGTAAAAATGGCTTGTATGAGACACGGGGTGATTAAGAATTTTGACTTGTGCAATTTTTTTTTTTTTTTTAAGGAACTCAAGACGACAACTTCCAAGTTTTCTTCCACAGTATCCAATACCAGATAGACTTAAGAAATGTGTGGAACAAAAAATTGACATTCTGACTTTTCAGCCATTACTCGCAGAGGTAGGAAATACATCTGATGTGAAACATTCTTCACCACACTTGAGTGTTTCCTGATGAAATGAGGATGAACCCCGCTTGGGCTCAGACCTCGGACTGGTTTGTTTTTACCACAGGTAGCTGGGAATATCAGGTCAGTGAGAGAGAGGGACCACTGCTGTTGACGCTGCTTGGGGGGAACCCCACTGCCCCCCGCCCAGCCTGTCTGTGCTAGGCTGGCGGCCTGCCTCTGAATGGCTGGCTGTCCGGGATAAAACTCTGAGCCACTGAGAAGACAGGACGTGGGGTCTCAGTCCTCTTTAGTTAAGTTTAGCTAGGGAGCCACATGTGGAGAGTGGGGTTTGGGCAGCACAGGTGTGGGGCGTCACAGTCTGAGGGATGCTCTAACATGCCCAAGGGACAAGACCCCCACCGTGGCACCTTCTAGTTCTCTTTCCTTGGACTTTCTGCTGGTGTCATAAATTTGGCTTCTACATATGTTTCGAATTCCATGCTGCATTTTACCGTTTTTGCATTACATTCACGTAATCAGTTCTCTCTTAAAGGCATTTTAAAAGCTAAATCTTTTTTTTAAAGGCTTTATTTATTTGACAGACACAGTGAGAGAAGGAACACAAGCAGGGGGAGGGTCAGCGGGAGAAGCAGACTCCCCGCCGAGCAGGGAGCCTGATGCGGGACTCGATCCAGGGACTCCAGGATCATGACCTGAGCCGAAGGCAGTCGCTTAACCGACTGAGCCACCCAGGCACCCAAGCTGTCTTTTTTGACACCACGTAGTTAGCAACCTTGGTGCTGTGCCTGTCACTCCTTCGTGGGGACCCAGGCTCCCGTGGGGCCCTTGTGCTGAGCAGCGGGGGCCTCTGTGGTGCTTGGGTGCCAGCAGTCGGTTCTTTCAGCTCCTCTATGTCTGGGGAAGTATTCTGCCTCCGTTTTTGAAGGACATTTTGACTGGGTCTTGAATTCTAGGCTGGAATTTTATTTTATTTTATTATTTTTATTTTTTTGAAGATTTTATTTATTTGAGAGCGAGAATGAGAGACAGCATGAGAGGGAGGAGGGTCAGAGGGAGAAGCAGACTCCCCGCCGAGCAGGGAGCCCGATGCAGGACTTGATCCCGGGACTCCAGGATCATGACCTGAGCCGAAGGCAGAAGCTTAACCATCTGAGCCACCCGGGCGCCCTCTAGGCTGGAATTTTAAAGCTGCTGCCCCGCCATCTTCCGGCTTGCCGTGTTTTCAGTGAAACACCTGCTTTCCTTTAGCTTTTGTTCTTCTGCATATAACGTGTACTTTTTCCTAGCAGCTTCTAAGTTTTTTTCGTTATTACTATTTCTTAAAAAATGTAATTTGCAATTTGCTTTAGTGTAGTTTTCTTCTAATTTCTTGGCTTGGGGTTCTCTGAGCTTCATGGATATGTGGGCTTACAGTTGTCCTCAAATTTGGGTGGTTTCTGGCCGTTCTGTCTTCAGAGGCGCGCTCTGCCGAGCCCCTTCCTCAGATTCCCGTTGCTCGTGCATCGGCTGCTTGGAGCTGCTGCACAGCTCGCCGCCGCTCTGCTCACTCATTTGGGTTTTGGAAGCCTCCTGTGGCCAGTCCTCAAGTTCACTAGTGTCTTCCTCAGCAGTGTGCGGCCCCGTCCCGTGTGTTTTGATGGCACACGTGGTAGCTGTCAGCCACCGGTTCAGCGTGGTCTCTGCTTCCCGTGCTCAGTGCTTTCCTGCTCTTTGAGTAACAGCCGTTACAAGGTGCTCGTCTGCACATTCTGCCACGAGTCAGTTCTGGTTCCATGAGGGGTTTTCTCCCCGTTATGAGTTGTCGTTTCTGTTCCTAAGCCTCATAATCTTTGTCTGGGTGCCATACATTCTGGATTTTACCGTGTTGGCCGTTGGGGTATTTTTCTGTTCCTGAAAATATTCTGAGGTTTGTTCTGGGATGCAGTTAAGTTACTGTGAAACAGTCGGATACTTTCAAGCCTGGCTTTAAGGCTTTGTCAGGTGGGACCAGAATGGCGTTTGATTTAGGGCTAATACCCTTCTGAATACTCCGTCCATTGTCTCGTCTATTACAAGTCTCTCCATTTGGGCTGGTGGGATTCACGCTGTTCTCGGCCCTGTGGGAGCTCTAGGAATTATTCCCTCTAATCCAGTGCTTCCCAACAGGTGACAGTTGCCCTCCCAGGAGACATTTTTGGTCGTCCTGGCCGGGGGTGGTAGTATCAGCAAATGGGTAGGGGCCAGGACCGCCGGTAAATACCCTACAATGCACAGGACGGCCCCCACCCCAGAAAAGAGTGCAGCCCAAGTATTGGTTGTGCCGGGGCTGAGGAACCTGCTCTTATACCATCAGGTGGGCGTCCCAGCAAGAAACATGGCTTCTTACACTGGTGCACTGACCAGTGCTCAGCTGACAGTTCGGGGGGGGCCCTCTGAAGCTCTGCAGACCTCTCTCTGTGCTGCTCTCGCTTCCTGGCACTCTGCCCCCTTGGCCTCCTTGGACCCCAGCTCCATCTCCTCAAGAGACCACACGGCTGCTGGGCTCTCTGCCTAGGTGGTAGCCGGGGCAGTTGCGGGCTCACTGACGTAGCCTCCCCAACCTCAGGGCCGCTGTCCTACGCTGCTTGCGGGTCAGTATTCAAAAGCCAGTCTCTCCCTGTTGGCTGAGTTTCAGCAGCCCGGACTTAGCCCCTCCAGCTAAGCTGCAGCTGCCTTCCTGGACCGCGGGGGTGTTGGACGGGTGACTCTGCTCTCACTCACTCGCTGGTTTTTTTTTTTTTTCAGCTTTTGAACATGTCGAACTACAAGGAAAAGTTCTCGACTTTGCTCTGGCTTGAGGAGATTCATGCAGAAATAGAACTGAAAGAGTATAACATGAGTGGGGTCACCTTGAAAAGAAATGGTGACCTGCTGGTTCTGGAGGTCCCAGGATTGGCTGAAAGTAGGCCTTCTCTGTATGCAGGTGGGTTCGTTACGTGTCACATTTTACTAGAGGGACCAGCAGACGTTGAACCCCCGTCCGGGGAAGAATGTTTCTGTTGGCAACACTGCAGTCACGTCATCTCATTTCCTTTGCTTTGGGTTAGAATTTTCTGTAAAACTTGGTCAGCACGTTGAGGGCATCCAGCACCTCACTCTGGGCATACTGGTGCTGGTTTTAAGCAGCTCATTCCAGGGATGTTTATTTTACTTTTTCAAAGTGTTTGATTTTAGAGTTACAGTGGCAGAATTGGGGGATTTTGTAGTTTTACATGTGGTTCTGTATTTTTTAACTAGGTGATAAGCTGATTTTAAAAACTCAGGAGTACAATGGACATGTCATCGAGTACATCGGCTATGTGATTGAGGTGAGAGGTGCTCCGGATCTGCTAGTGCGGGACCAGCCCTTCCAGCCGGCCAGCTTCCTGCCGGGGCTGGGGCAGGGTTGCTCCTTCAGCCTTTGACAGGATTTCAGAAAATTCAGGATAAAGTGAATATTTAAATAAATTTGATGTACAAAGAGAACTTAACAAAAAAAATCCCTATAATTTTCAATCATGAGAGCCATATTTACCTTTCATCACGTGTAAGTCGTGGTGTTTGCATTTAGTCCAATTTGGACATTCTGAACATACTGCAGAAGAGAGAGCCTCTGAAGGAAAAATACACTTAAAAGTTTGCAGTTCTAAATGTTTTTGTGGGGAAGTTTTGCTGACTTCTCTCCCTCCCTCCTTCCCTCCCTCCCTCCCGGTGCACCACATGCTTCTGATCCTCCGGCCGGTCTCTCCTGCTCCCACCCTGTGCAGAGCACCGCCTGCCACGTCTGGGTGAAGGGCCTGATGCCGAAAGCTACCTGAGGAAATGCCGAAGCCCTGCCCTGGGTTGGGGGGCGGTTGTAGGGACTCGAAGAGTCTGGGAAGGGTTCAAAGGAAGGGCGGCATCTGGCCTCTGTGGCCGTGTTTGCTGCATTCTGCCCCGAAATACTGGGCACCAGCCCTTGCCAGTGCAGCTGGCCGTGAAACCAGTGCTAGGATGACTGGGGAGGGGCTGACCCTTGGGACCCCAGCAGCTGTCCCCCCACACTCTGCCCAGGCACGTGGCAGCCGCTTAGCCTGAGCTGGAGGGCCCACCAGCTCTGCCAGCCTTGACACACTTGAGCTGTTGACGAAGACGCCGGGTGACTCTCTTACCTTCCAAAGGGTAGATCCAGTTGTGCCCTCGGGGAAGATGCCCTGGGGACGAACACCCCAGAAGCAGCAGTGCCAGAGATGCCAGGTGTGGGGTCCTTGGTTCCTGAACACTGGTTGAGGGGTGGCCGGCGTCATACGCCGACAAATCCAATTTTAGGGTATGTGCTGCCGAAGCGAACACCATAGGCTGACAAATCCAGACCGAAGCTACGAGCACCCCAGCCTGGGGGGTGTTGGGCACCCTCCTGATCTTTGGTGGGATATTCCATGAGGTCAGCCGCTTCTGAGTGATGAAATTCATGGTCGACTTAGTAACTTCTACAGGTCTCCGCCCATTGCTTTTCTCGAGTCTCTGTAGTTTAGTTGTTGGCCAGGGCCGCGGTGTGGGAGACCATGATGGTACAGAAGGCCCTCAGGAGAGCCTCACAGATGGTGCGGTGGGCAGAAGACACACATCCAGGTGACACTCACTCCGTTGATGTCAAATTGGTGTTTCCACAACAGGTGGGCAGGCGGCCCAGTGCCATCAACCTGGCACGCGGTGCAGGGGGCGTCCCAGCGGGGCCGCTGCTGCACTCATGCTCGTCTGGGGGCCGTGGGACAGAAGGCTCCCCACCTCCACAGAGGGGCCTCTTGTCGCCAGGAGCACGTGTCTGGGAACAGATGTCGTCACTTCCTGTCATCCTGCTCCGTTATCTCAGCATGGTTTTCGTCTCCATGTGCTCTGCCTGATTCATTAAAGCTGCCCTGTTGTTTTTTCTATTGTCCTGCTTATGTTTTTCTTTCTGGGTTTTTTAAAAATTTCACACATAGTTTTTCAAGTTTCTGGAAATGACAGTGGCAGTATGTGATGTCCTTGGGGCCCAACTCTGTTGATGGCTGTGCTGACCCTCACGCTTGGTGATTTGCTTCTTTGTGTGCTTTAACCGGTGGTCTTTAACCGCAGGTTCATTTTTGCCAGTCTTGGCCCCCGGGACACCTGGGACCTGGGCTGGGCTTGCTCTCCTTTTGAGGGGATTGTGGCGGCTTCTGCTGCAGGGAGGGCCCTGCTCCCAGGGCAGCCCCCGTGTCCGTGTTCCCACCACCCGGCTCTGGTCGCCTGGCCCTTGGGAAGCCCATGCCACCTGGCACCGCCCTAGCTGCGGCTGGAGGGTCCCCGCTCTGCTGGAAGGGGAGTCCTTGGAATGACCTCTTCGTGGAGGCGCTGTGGCGGCAGGCACCCCTCGCTCTCTCGTTTGTGGGCTGGTCTCCTTCCGGGGCCTTGGCCTGTTTCCTCGAGCCCGGATCTCTGGAGCGTGGCCAGGGAGCAGCTCGGGGTGAGCTGGTGTGGGCGCCTGCAGGGGCCAGGTCCTCCCGGGTGGGTGATGTGACAACACCGTGATTTAATCCTGATGAGTTTGGCAAGGGTTTAAAATAGCAAATTTTAGCTCCAGTCTGTAAAGTGTTTCATGACGTGTTGCTAGATGAAGATTGTCCCAACAAATCAAATGTGAAGTATGGGAATTAAATCGTTACGTTTCCTTTTCAGATTCATGAAGAAGATGTAACTCTTAAACTTAACCCAGAATTTGAGCAGGCATATAACTTTGAACCTATGGATGTGGAATTCACATATAACAGGTAATGCTCTCGGTGGTTGTTCCTACAATGTGTCTTCATTCCTGGTGGGTAGCAGGCTTCCTCTCTGTCCGTCCCTGCGCATCTCAGCGCTGGTGTAAGAAATGCAGTGTGGGAGTGTCCCTGTTCCTGCTTCACTCCCAGACAGGTTTTAAGATAACAAAGTCACGAACATTTGCTGTTCATTCTTTAATGGGCCTTAAGTACACAGAGATGTGGTCATTTATGACGTTATGAGCGTGGGGCGGTGACCCTGCCAACCTACCATTCCCTCCCTGTCATCCACTATGCCCCCAACTGTTTACTGGGATTTTGCATTTGTCTCTCCCTTGCTTTAAAAAAAAAAACAAAAAACAGTTGTGTGTCTTTGTACACACACAGAAAAATGTATTTTTTGGTTTTATTTTGAGCTGTCAGTCTCTGGTTTCCAGGAGGTTTTCACTGATCTGTTCCTAAGATTCTCCGTGTTGTGTGTCACTGTTCAGCGTCTTCACCACTGCCCACGCCCCAGCGTGAGTCCGCCACACTCCCTGTTCTGCGGATGGACATTCACCCCATCTCTACCCTGAAGGCACTGCTGTGAGCACCTTCTCCTTCCTTGTGCACAAATGCTCATGTCCTCTTGGCTGCACACTCGAGAGTGGGTCTGTGGCTTCAGCCATGGTGGCATCAGAGACCCCCAATACCAGCGTCTGTAACAACCTGTTAATCCACACCATCCCAGAACCTGGTTTTGTTAAACTTCTAAATTCGTGCCGACTTGGTAGATAGGTCATCTACCTCCTTAGGGTCTGGACGTGCATTTCTCTGACTGCATATAAGGTTGAGAATTTCCATGTTTATTGGCCATAAAACGTCTTCATCTATGAAGTGCTGGCTCATGTCTTTTCCTGAATAATTTGGGTTTTGTTCTCTGTAGGAGTCTTCTCTGTGTTCTTTGTGCTGGACTCTTCTTGGATAGGCAGGCTACAGATAACTTCTGTAACTTCTCCAGGTCTGTTGCTTGTTTCGCTCACTTTGTAGAGTGTCTTTTAGGAATCAGAAGGTGCTAACTTTAAGATTGATCATGGATGTTTAATTTTGTTTGAGAAATGTTTGGGTGTTGGGGCTGCTACCAGATCAAAGTGTGTTGAGTGTGAATGGGTTGTGGGTCAGTGGGGAGAGGCCGTTGTTTGGCCATGGAAGCTGAGCAGGCGGGATGGAGAGCGAGGTGAGGTCCAGGAAGGGGCCGTTTTTGCTGTTTGAAATGAGAGAAACTAGCTCAGCGGAGCCCCTGCGATAGCGGGTGACTGGGTCAAGAAAGTGTGTGCCGGAGGAGGTGGGTCTGGCCAGGTGGGGCCGGGGTCATCGGCAGAGGGTAAATATCCTCCTCAAGGTGGTCGGATGAAAGAGGTGAGAGCTGATTTGTATCTGGACATTCCTGACCGTGTGTTACTCTGGAACATGTGACAAGCCCAGTCAAAGAGGAGGAGGACTTTGGAGGAGGAGAGAGGAAGCATGGGATGAGGGTGGTGCAGGAGTGGACCTACCGAAGGAAGCAGGACACAGATGATAGGCGTGACAGGCCATGGGGTTGAGCCAGAGAGAAAGTGCCCAGGAAAAGCCAGAGGGTACCAGCAGTGAGGGGCTGTTGGAAAGACAGGGTGATGAGAGAGGACAGGACGTTGGGCTCAGTGATCTCAGACACGAGGCCCAGGTCTTGAGCAAGCATGTGTGCGGCCAGGTGGAGTGTCGGAGAGATGAGAGGCCGGGGTGTGGGAGCGGCGGGCTGCCACATTTGACACTCAGAGGCTTTGCTTGCCCCACGTTAAGTTTTTAGGTTGTTTACATTAAGTTACGAAAAACCAGGAGATTTCCCATTTAAAAAAAAAAAAATCTGTATTCCCCACTTGTTTTGAACCATTGGAAGATGGGGCAGGCCCGCAGTGCGGCAGGCCGGATGGCACTGAGGGCAGAGAGGCTGCACTTCCTCGTGTTACCTGCTGGCTCCCTGTAGGTGTTTCCCCTTTTTTTAACAAACAGGTCTAGTGAGACAGAATGTAGGCTAACTATGCCTTATTAAAGTACACAGTCTGAGAGGACTTTGAAACCAACTCCACAGTCAAGAGAAGGAGAGTATCTGCCACCAGAGATGCTTCCTTCCTTCCCCACCCTCACCCGCACCCCCAGGCCCCAGCAGTGCTTTCTGTCGCTATAGATTAGTTTGCATTTTGTAAAATCTTACATAAGTGGAAATATACAAGACTTACTGGTTTTTGCCTGGCATCTCTCTCTGACTTAGCATAATTATTTTGAGATTCAACCTCACTGTTGCATGATTTCATTGCCTTTTTTATTGAATTATAGTTGACACACAATATTATGTTAATTTCAGTTGTATAACAGGGATTCCCATTTTCTTCCCTTTTATGGCTGAGTAGTATTTCGTTATCAGTATCTACTACAGTCCATCTATCCAGTCACCTTGGCTAGAGACTGGGTTTTTTTTCCATATTTTGGCCATTACAGAGAGAACTGTGAAATCTGTGTACAAGTCTTTGTATGGACACGTGTTCCTTTCTCTTGGGTAAATGCCAAACAGTGTGATGGCTCGGTCCTATGGTGAGGGTGCACATAACTTTAAGAAAGTGCCAAGCTCTTTCCCAAAGCAGTTGTCCTCCGCATTTCCAGCAGCTTGGGTGAGGGTCCTGTTGCCCCACAGGCTCACAGCCCTGCTCTGGTCAGTCTTTCTAATTCTAATCTTTGGAATAGCCGTGAGGTGGTGTCTCACCAAGGTTTTGGTCTGCATCCCCTCACGGGTAGTTGTGCTGAACACCTCAGGTGCTTTCCCATGCATGCGTGTTCTTTGTTGATGGTGAGTCTTGGAATCAGGTAGTGTAAGGCCTCCACTTTGTCCATTGTTCGCAGAGTTGGTGTGGCTCTTCTGGGTCTCTGGTGTTCCTGTATGGATTTTAGCTTTCAGCTTGTTGGTTTCTACAAAAAACCCATAGAGATTTTGATGGGGACTACACTGAATTTTTAGATCCATTTAACAAGAATTGAGACCTTAATATTGAGTCTCCCAGCCCTTGAAAATGGTACCTCTCTCCATCTAGTTAGGTCTGTTTTTCATTTCTTTTAGCAGTGTCTGTAGAGGGCTCTACGTATCTCCTGCCAGGTTGGTGTGACTCTTAAAAAAATGTAATGCTGTTGTAGACAGTAATCTTAACTTAAATTTCTAGTTGCTTCTAGCTAATGTTTATGAATGCCATTTATTTTTATATATTAATCTAGTATCCTAAGAGCTCGTCAAACACACTTCACGGTTCTAGTAGCTTTTTACAGGTTACGCAGGATTTTCTGCTTGTACGATCTTTTTTTTTTTTTTTTAAGATTTTATTTATTTATTTATTTAAAAGATTTTATTTACTTACTTGACAGAGAGAGACACAGCAAGAGAGGGAACACAAGCAGGGGAAGTGGGAGAGGGAGAAGCAGGCTTCCCGCGGAGCAGGGAGCCTGATGCAGGGCTTGATCCCAGGACCCTGGGATCACGACCTGAGCCGAAGGCAGACGCTTAATGACTGAGCCACCCAGGCGCCCCTATTTATTTATTTGAGAGAGCGAGAAAGAGAGAGACAGAGAGAGAGCACATAGGAGGAGGAAGATCAGAGGGAGAAGCAGACTCCCCGCTGAGCAGGGAGCCCGACGTGGGACTCGATCCCGGGACTCCAGGATCATGACCTGAGCTGAAGGCAGTCGCTTAACCGACTGAGCCACCCAGGCGCCCTGCCTATACAATCTTTATGTTCAAATAAAGAGCTGTACTGCTTCCTTTCTTATCTGGATGCATTTTGTTTGTTTTTCCTTGCCTCACTTCTCTAGCCAGAGTAGCATGTCACAGAAATGGCCTTGTTTCCAACCTGAGGTTAGCGTTCGTTCAGTCTTGAACCGTTAAGCACAGTGTGAGCTGTATGTAAGTGGTTTGTATTCGGCCCCCTCCTGGTTGAGGAGCTGGACTCCACGTGTGCTCCAGTGTTCGGTCATGGCTGGGTGTGGGATTTGTTCAGATGGCTTTTTCCGTATCAAGGTGACCACGTGGTTTTCCTTTTTTAGTCTATTAAGATAGTCAGTTATACTGATTGGTTTTCTAATGTAAAATTGATGTGGTTTGAAGTGGTGGGGTTCAAAGCCAATGACGACCAAGAAAGAATTCTTGAGACATCTTCAGTGCAAAAAGGGGTTTTTTATTAAAAGCACGAGAACAGGACCCCCGGGCAGAAAGGGCTGCTGCCCTGGGATTATGAGGAGCAACTGATCATATACTATGGAGTTGGGGGAGGTGAAGACATAGGAAGTTCCCAAAAGGACTTTCATCTGCTAAAGAAGACTCCCAGGATCCTGGAGGCCAGGCTGTTGTCAAGCTCAGGTTGTTTTTCCCTCTCAAGGCATCAACATGAAGACAGTTGGGAGTTCCTGGAGGCACATTACACTCTGCCCACCTCAAGTATTTGTCAATGGGCTGCAGGTTCTAAGGACATTTCATTTTATCTACATTTCCTTCTGCCTTTGTTCCCCACATCAAAATCAACTTTGCATCCTTGGAATAAGCCCCACTTGGCCATAATGTAATTTCTTTTTATATATTGTTAGATCTGATTTGCTACAGTTTTACTAATTTTTGCATCTGTGTTCATGAGGTGTATTGATCTATAGTTTCTTGAAATTATCTTTTGTCTGCTTTTGGTATCGGGGTGATGCTGACTTCACAATGAGTTAAAAAGCATCACCTCCGGGGCGCCTGGGTGGCTCAGTCATTAAGCGTCTGCCTTCAGCTCAGGTCATGATCTCAGGGTCCTGGGATCGAGCCCCGCATCGGGCTCCCTGCTCGGCGGGAAGCCTGCGTCTCCCTCTCCCACTCCCCCTGCTTGTGTTCCCTCTCTCGCTGTGCCTCTTGTCAAATAAATAAATAAAATCTTTAAAAAAAAAAAAAAAGGCATCACCTCCTCCTCTGTTTTCTGGGATAATTTACTGCAAATTTGATTTCTTTAGTAAATCAGTAAGCATTTAGGTTATCCATTTTGTGTGCAGTGAGCCTCAGTAGTGTGTATCTTTTAGGGAATTTGTGCATTTCATCCAAGTTATCTAACTGTTTGCATGGAATTATATTATTATTTCCTTAGTAGTAGCGTTCGCTGGATCTGTGTACCGATGTCACCCTCTCGACTCCCGACAGTGGGAATGTGTACCTTCTCTTCCTCTCATCAGTCTGGCGAGAGGTTTATCATCTCAGCCTTGTGAGGGAATCAACTTTTGACTTCATTCATCTTTTGTAGTGTCTCTCTTTTTTATTTCACTTATTTCTGCTCTGGTGTCTGTGATTTCCTCTCTTATGCTTACTTTGGGTTCCATTTGCTCCTCTTTATCTAGTTTCTAGTGGTGGAAGTCAAGGTCATTGATTTGAGACCTTCCTTCCTTTGTGATTTTGGTCTTTGGTGCTGGGTGCGTGCTGTCGGGTTCCCAGGTGTTTGCTGTTAGATATAGTGAAGCAGTAAATATTCTTACTTCTCTCTATGGTGGTAGGAAAGTGGAGGGAGAATTGGCATCTTTGCTGCTTGGAATCTCCTTTTCAACAATAGTTTGTACTTAGGAGAGTTTTCTTCATTCTTTTCCTTCAAGTCTTTGTCCTCCTTTGGAATTCTTGCCTAGTGTTTGCTCCCCTCCATGTGTTTTATTTTTTCCCTCATGGTTTTCCATCTCTGTGATTTGTTTCGTATGTTAGTGCAAATACCTCTGGGATTTTACCATTTAGTATCTTGCTGTTCTTTAGGTTAATCAAATTAGAAAATTATTCATCAACTTTTGTTTTAAGCTATTAGACTCATTGCCTTTTTGGCATTTCTTGAGATTATTATCATCTTCAGCCTGTTTGTAAGATGAAGTGTTTCAATTGGATAACTTCAGATCAAACCTTTCTTGTATGTCTAGAATGAAAAACATAATGTTATTTTTATTTTGGTGAATTCCTCCTTTAATGTGCTTCTAGGATTTGTTAAGTACTATTCTATTTCTGTTTTTCATGCTACTGGGAAGTAAGGCAGTGATCTTCAGGCTGACACAGTTATCTTGTTGGCTTGGCCCAGGTCCCAGTCTTTGTTGTGCCTTTTAAAAGATTTCTTTTTAAGATTTATTTCTTTTAGAGGAGAGAGCAGTGGGGAGGGGCAGAGGGAGAAGGAGATTCTCAAGCAGACTCCACGCCCAGTGTGGAGCCTGACGCGGGGCTGGATCTCACAACCCTGAGATCATGACCTGAGCCAGAATTAAGAGTTGAATGCTTAACCAACTATGCCACCCAGGCGTCCCTGTGCCTTTTAAAAGATTTTGAAATCTTTCTTCCTTCCTTTCTGGAAGAGGTGAGATGGCCCCGGATCACCCAGGCACAGATGTTGGAAAGCCTCCCAGTGGAAGGGGAGCGAGGTGTTTAGTCGTTTCTCAGCTTCTTCCTCTTTAAGTGATCTGCTTTAGGTGCTGTTCTGGTTGTTACTCATCTTGGATGGATTTATTTTTTCCCAGGCAACTATTTGCCAAAGGTTACGTTGAAGGAACAGAGTGGGGCTGCCAGGAGCCTTCATGCCTGGGACCCTAAAGGGAGGGTCTCTGAAGGTTGGGCTTGTGCACTCAGTTTTTCCAGCTTCACACCCCCCCCAATTCCATACTGTGCAGATGGGTCCTGGGGGTGACCTCTCAGCGTGTGCTCTGCACCTCGCGATTCAGGTGAGAAACGATTGTTTGGTCTTTGGGCTCCTGAGTCTGAACTGTCCAGACACCTGTATGTGGCCCGCATTCTGAGTCGGTGTGCAGCGCTTGTGTACCTCTGCTTGTTTGAGGCCCGATGCTCTTCATTGAACAGATACCCATCTGCACTTGGGCTTTGGAGCTTTGTCATCTTGCTTCATTGAAGATGAGGTTTTATTTTATGGTTTTTATTCTTTTTGTTGTGTTAAGAAGCAAAACAGCAGGCCCACAGCAGAGTAGCTTGTGCTAAGCCCCATGTCACCAAACCCAGAGGGAATTGCAGTTTGGGCTCCCTTGGAAACGGAATCGTAGGCCGGTCACCTGGCAACTGCCTGGTCAGGACTGGTGAGGTACTCGGCCTGGCAGACCCCTGCCCACCCCTGAAGGAAGGGAGCGTGCGATAACCAAGCCCCTGTTTTGCCTGGGATAATTTCCCTGTGCCCGCTCCCTTCTGGCTGTAAAAGTCCTTCATGTTGGACAGCTCCTCGGGGCCTCTTTCCATCTGCTGGCTGGGTGCAGCCTGGTTGGAATCAATTTTTGCCCAAACTCTTAAAATTATTAGTAGGCCTCAGTTTATCTTCTAACAGTTGTGAATTTCAAAAGTTTAAATCTTTACAGTCAAAATTACTTTGCTGTTGATGTAGTAATGTTAATATTTCCCTAATACCTCATAGGCTATGTTTATTTTTTTTTTCCTAGTTGTGCTCTTTATGTATTTAAAAGAGAAATATTCCCAGAAAGGAAAGAGTCCCTGCTGTCCTGATACATGGGATGTTTCTGTTTAAAGTTTTTCTGTAAAACTCCTAATGTTGTGTATAGATACACACTGTAAAGTGAGCCCTCGGAGCTCCAGGCTCCCCAGCAGGGCCTGTGAGAACGTCGGGAGCTCTGACTCTAATGTGGCCCCTTTGTAAGTACTGTGTAAAGGTTACATTAGCAGGTTGGCTCGGGTTATGTAATCAGATTTCCGTGACCAGGGCTAGGCTTAATGTTTCTACACTGGGGGTGAATTACTTCACGTTGTCCTCTCTCTGGCAGGACCACAAGCAGACGGTGTCACTTTGCTCTTGAACACGTCCTCCACTTAGGCGTTAAAGGTATTCTTTTTGTGGAATAATAGTGTTACTTCTTCCCAGAGTATTTTTAGAAGCTTCATGTAAAATATGGTGTGAAGCACAGTCTTTTCAATCATATGTTACAAGTAAAACTATGCAGTCCAAAGTTTTCTTCCCATTGGCAAGTTTCAGTATTTTCTTACTATTTCAACTGTATAAAAACAGCTTGCTTAAATTACTGAAAATGAAGTCATTGCAGTGTGCTTTTCCCCTCGGAATATAATTCACTTTTGTGGCTCCAGATGGGCCGATGGCTTCATTACGAACTATGCATGGTACTGGTGTTCCGCTGTAACCTAGAAACCATGTACAGAAGCCAAAAAGGAAAGGAAGGCATAGGTGTGAACTACTTAGGTGGCCTCTCTTCGTCTTTTAAGTTTTTCAGTAATACCTGCCTTCTTACTTGTTTTAAAAGTGTTGTTCCCAGAAGAAATCATTCTACAGTCTCCCCGAGTGACAGGGAATTGGAACCATGCTCAAGACACCAAAAACGATGGACAGTCCACCCTCAAGGTATTGATTTGATTCCTTTGAAATATTTAAATAGATAATATATTAGTTCTCAATTGCCTGGGGTGTTAGAGGACTATAGTTCACAAGTAACCCAAGATCACAGCTCAAATAAAACTAAGATATTCATACTGTGGATTTAGTGTAAAGTTTGCGTACAACATGTACGTAGGACTAAGGTGGCTGCCATAGATAAGTGGGGAAAACCAAGATATGAATCCGTTTGTATGAGCTTATCATTTTACTTTAAAATTATATTCTTTCTGTGTACATTCAGGCACACGTCTATGATTATATACTGCATAGAAAATGTCTGGGACGAATACACGTGCACCAAGTTGTTAACGTTTGTAATCTTTATGACCCTTACAAAGATAGTTGTTCTATGAATAGTAACGTAGCGCCTGTTAGGTGCCAGCTATTGTCTTAGGCTGTTCCATGTATTTTTGTGAGTAAAACAGAAGTGGCTTTATTTATCATTGTGTTTCCAGTGATGAGCAGAATTCTCCATGTCTGTGGGAGGTTTTAACCTTAGTTCTGTGCTGTTGGAATTTGCTTTTTTGAGCATGTTTTAAATTTATAATAATACAAATTTCTAATTATATCTAATATTTAGGAACTCTTTTACCATTTTATAGCTTCTCTCAAAAAGTACAATAATGAGAGTTTTGGAAGGCCTACGTATTCACAAAAAAATTCTATGAAGGAAAGAGAAAAATGTTTGCGTTAAAATCATCTTTATTTCTTACCTGATCTAAAAGTAGAAACAGGTCCTCATTGAACAGACACAGTGTCTTCTGCAAACTCTCTCCATCACCTCACTCCCTGGTCCACTCCATGGCCTGATTCTCAAGGAGGGTTTGGGATCCTGATGGGAGATGTGAGGTGGGGGAAGTGTTGCTGTTTGTGTGGATTACATTCCTGATTAGCTGAATCTTAATATTTTTAAATGCAGAACATTACCTTCTTATGGATTGGCTAGGTTGCACATAAACCCAAGGGCATTCCACACATCAACCAAGACGGAATCACAGAGACTGAATTTACCTTCCTACCTTAAATAATTAAAAATCAGACAAAACACATGGCACAACAGTTTCAGACATTTGCACATCAGATATCATAGGGCAGTGATTCCTGAGAGAGGAAGCATATTAGGTGACCCCTGTGATTGCCCCAGCTCACCGTCTTCAGAGTTCCCAGGCCAGGGAGCAGAAAGGGGGAGGCCTGTGGTCTGCAGAATTGAGGAGAGGCACCTGGCGGTGCAAGGACGAGGTGGATGGAGTGCACGGGGCAGACGGCTGGAGGAGAGCACAGGAAAGAGAGAGCTCTTGGGGTCTGCAACAGGACCCCTTGAGTTTTCAGCCCAGGACTCAGGAATGCATGCCGGTGAGGAAAAGACCTGAGCCCCGGAAAGCAGCCCTGAGAGCAGAGAGGAATCCTGAGTCCCCACAGTGCTGGGCGTGGTTTGTTCCTATAGCCAGAGAATTCACAGGGTAACAAGCAGAGTCCTCAGAGGATGTTGCGTGAAAAGTGGGAAGAGTCTGGTCCCACGCTGCCTGCCGCCCCATCCGTCTGACAGGCTCTCCAAGTAATGCAGCCACATCCCACAACAAAATTCACGGATAGTTGCAGGAATACAAAAATATACACCCATCAAGGTGTTAAATTCACAATGTCTGATATCTAATCCAGAAATAAACTGAAAAACACAACTCATTATAAGAAATTTCAATCAGGGGCGCCTGGGTGGCTCAGTTGTTAAGCGTCTGCCTTCGGCTCAGGTCATGATCCCGGGGTCCTGGGATCGAGCCCCACATCGGGCTCCCTGCTCGGCGGGAGGCCTGCTTCTCCCTCTCCCACTCCCCCCTGCTTGTGTTCCTGCTCTCACTATGCCTCTCTCTGTCATATAAATAAATAAAATCTTTAAAAAAAAAAAAATTTCAATCAGTTGAAATCAACTCAGAAAAAAAAAATGTAGCAATTAGCAGACAAGGACATTAAAACAGTTACTATAACTATACTCCATATGCTCTTAAAGGAGAGGAACACACAAGCATGTTCAGTGGAGATACAACCAATAAAAGACAAATTTCTCTTCTAGAGACAAAAAATTCGATGTCTAAGATGAAAAATAGTTAACAGCAGACTAGACACTACAGTCAGAAAGAAACTCGACAAATGAAACAATAAAAAGATTTAAGGGGAAAATAAAGCTTTAAAATATACAGTGTATTAAAAAAAGAAAAGCAATTGGAGTCCCAGAGAGGGAAGTGTAAGAAATACTAGAAAAAATAGTGAGTGGAAACTACCCTGATTTGATGAAAACCATAAGCCCTACATATTCAGGAGACTTATTAACAGACCCGAAGTATAAGAAATCTGAAGAAGAATGCAGTGAGGCACATGACAATCAAATTCCTGAAAGTCCTTTATAAAGAGCAAATCCTAGAAACAAGGAAAGTCTCATTGCTGCCGAGGAGAAACAACAAGGCCAGTGGCAGACTTCGTGTTGACAGCAGGGTGCGCCAGAAGACAGCGGGGCGGCTCTTGACCGTGCCGGCAGGAGAAACTGTCAGCCCAGAACTCTGCCCGACAAACGCTGTAGAAAGGAAGGAGAAGTAAAAATTACTCAGACAGGTTCAGGCTGAGAGCTGGGGGTCCATTACCTGTTGACCTGCACCACGGGACACAGGAATCTTTCAGCACACAGAAATGATGCCAGGTGGGCAATGAGGGTCTACCCAGAGGAATGAGAAGGGCCAGAAATTATAAATAGGTACACACATTTAAATAACTTTTTCTTTAAAAAAAATTCTTTAAAAGATAATTGACTTTTTAAAAAGAAGGAAATCCTGTAAAATGTGATAATGTGGGTGGACCTGGAGGACACTGTACTCAGAGAAATAAGCCAGTCACAGAAGGACACATCCGGCTTGATCCCTTTCATATGAGATCTCTAAAAAATTCAGACTCCTGGAATCAAAAGAGTAGAATGCTAAGAGGGTAGATCTGAAGTGAAATCTTCTTTTTTTTAAGATTTTATTTATTTGACAGACAGCGAGAGAGGGAACACAAGCAGGGGGAATAGGAGAGGGAGAAGCAGGCTTCCCGCGGAGCAGGGAGCCCAGTGGGGGGCTCGATCCCAGGACCCCGGGATCACGACCCCAGCCAAAAGCAGACGCTTAACGACTGAGCTACCCAGGCGCCCCTGAAGTGAAATCTTCTTAACCATGATAAAATTTCATAATTTTAAAAGATAATTGACTTTTAAAGCTGAAATAGTAACAATATATTACAGAGTTTGTAACATGTAGATCTAAAATATGCATAATAGCACCAGGGATAGGAGAAGAGAGTTTTATTTCTTACACCAGATTATTATAATTCACTTGAAAGAAACTATGATCAATTAAAGATATATACTCTAAACCTTAGAGCAACTACTAAAATAACAATATAAAGAGCTAGGCCAACAAAGGAGGTAAAAGGGAATCACAAAAATAATTTGTTCAAAAGTCAGCAGAAAAAGAGGGACACACGGACAGCTGTGCCCTGACCTGACTGACTTCCTGCCCCCTGGTCCAGTGATTTATGTCGACGGGGTATTGGCGTCTCTGGCTCTGCTTGTGTAACTGGAGTAAGACAAGTAGCAAGGTGAGTGCGTCAGTCTAAGTGTATCAGTGGTCACATTGCGCGTGTGGGTCTAAACACAGATGGTCACACTGGATAAAAAGGAAAGACCCAACTATATGCTGCCTCTAAGAAACACGTTTTAAATATAAAGACATAAATATGTCAAAAGTAAAAGATGGGAAAAGATACAATCACAAGGAAGATGGAGTAGCTGTGTTGGTGTCAGAGTAGGTTTCAGAGCACAGGTAATCAGGATAAAGGTGGTGTCATAGTAACAGAGAAGATCATCATCAGGAATGCATAACAGTCCTAGACACATACGCACCTAGAAACAGCCTCAAAACACATGAAACGGAAACTGATAAAGCTGCGGAGAGAACCAGACAAATTCCCCATGACTGTCAGCGATGTCGGCACTCTTCCCTCCGTTAATGACGGAAAAGAAAGGCAGAAGATGGGGCGCCTGGGTGGCTCAGTCGTTAAGCGTCTGCCTTCGGCTCAGGTCATGATCCCAGGGTCCTGGGATCGAGTCCCACGTTGGGCTCCCTGCTCCGCGGGAGGCCTGCTTCTCCCTCTCCCACTCCCCCTGCTTGGGTTCCCTCTCTCGCTGTCTCTCTCTCTGTCAAATAAATAAGTGAAAATCTTTAAAAAAAAAAAAAAAAAAGGCAGAAGATGGACACAGCAGAGTGACCTGTCAGCCACTGTGATCTAAGGGGTGTTCGTAGAGCACACCGTGCAGAAAGAGCTGGATGCATGCACTTGGTGTAGAAGTGCACACAGAACATTCACCATTGTAGACCTTATTTGGGGCCATAAAACAAGGCTCAAATTTAAAAGGATTAAAGTCCTACAAAATACATTCTCTAACCACGTAGAATCAAGTTAGAAATCAATTGCAGGAAGATCTCTGGAAAATCCCCAAATATTGAGAAACCGAAGACACACTTATATGTAACCCACAGATCACAGAAGAAATCAATAGAGAAATTGGAGTGTTTCTACCAAAATGAACGTGACACTGCAGCATACCAGAAACCGTAAGCTGCTGCTAGAGGGCTCTTCAGGGGGAGTTCATAACCCTGAATGCCTGAACTAAAGAAGGATAAAGGTTTCAACTCTGTGACCTCAGCCTCTTCCTTAGAAACTAGAAAAATAAGAACAAATGAAATATGAGCTAAGCAAAGGAAAGAAAATAATGAAACATTGGCAGAGAAATCAGTAATATAGAAAACAGAAGAACAATAGAGGGATCCATGAACCCAAAAGCTGGTTCTCAGAGATCAATGAAATTGTTAAACTTCAAACAAGACTGATGAGGGGAAAGTGTGAAGACACAAACTCCCAGAATCCAGGAGGAGAGAGAGATGTGACCTCACTATAGACTCTGCAAATGGGAAAGAAGCCGGGGTGGGTGGTCAGTGGGATGTGCCAGCTGGCCTGGGCCCTGGGCTTCTGTGGGACACCTGGTTAAATCTTGTTTCTGGGTGAGATTGGCATGTGGGTGGGTGCCCTGGTTGGGGCAGGGGGCATCCCTCCCGTGAGACCTGAACAGAGAGACAGTTTCACAGGGATTCCTCCTGCCCGACTCTCCTGAGTGGAACCGTCAGTCTCTTCCTGCCCTCTGTGTCCAGCTTGCCAGTGGCATACCTCACACTTCTCAGCCTCTGTAGTCACATAAGCCAATATCTTACAATAAATCTTTTTACCTACATATACATCCATCCTATTGATCGTTTTTCTAGAGAACTCCTATATGTATGTATGTATAGGTATATATATGAGAGAGACCAGGAAGGGTTCATCCCAGGAATGAGAGGCTGGTTTAACATTCCAAAATCGCAGTCAGTGATACTCATCATGTTAACAAACCGAATCTCCATAGACACAGAAAAAGCATCTGACAAAATCCAATATCCATTCCTGATCAAAAAGTTTAGCAAACTAGAAACGGAAGGGAACTGCCTTCACCTACAAAAAAACCTACACGGTGAGTGACAGAATGCACTTTTCCCATGAAAGTCAGGGCACTTCCAGTCCTGCCACTTACTTTCACCACTGTACAGAAGGTTGTAGATGAGCAACTCAGCAAGAAAAATAAGAGGCACCTGTGTTCATGTATAAAATCTGACAGACTCTAAAAAGAAGCCATTGGAACTAATAGATTAGCAAGCTTACAGGATACAGAAGTAAATTCTATATAGGCTAGCACAAACACCCAGAATTGCATTTAGAATACCATATAAAGTAGCATCCAAATGTTCCAAACATTAGAGACAAATTTGACAGAAGATGTACAAGACTACACTAGAGACCTCACGACACTGATGAGAGAAACTGCTGGTGTGTCCGAAGACCCAACCCAATCTATAAACTCAGTGCTGGTCCAGTCGAATCTTAGCAGACGTTTTTGTAGAAATTGACCAGCCAATTTCAAAATTATATGGAAATGCAAAAGGCCTAGAATTTTCAGAACAACTTTGAAAAAGAACAAGAAACTCAGAGAACTCACACTACCTGACTTGCAACTTTTCACAACGTTACAATAATCAAGACGGTGTCGCACTGTCATCGAGATAAACATGTACAAGTGGAATGAAATAGCCTAAAAACAGACCCATGGGAGTTTGGACAACTGACTTTCTACAAAGGTGCAAAGGCAGTCAGAGTGGGGAAAGGAGAGTGTCCTTAGCGAAAGGCACAAGGACAATGGGGTGTCTGTATCCAGGGGTGTGCGCCTGGATCTGTACCTCACTGCCTTCACAGAGATTAAATCAAAATGCATCGTAGCCCTAAATATAAAGCCTGAAACTAAAATTTCTAGGAAACATTAAAAAACCCTTTCATTTTTGAGAGAGTGCAAGTGGGGTGGGGGGCGATAGAACCTTATGCAGGCTCCACGCCCCTGCACAGAGCCCAGTGCGGGGCTCAATCCCACAACCCTGAGATCATGACTTGGGCTGAACCAAGAGTTGGACAGTTAACCGACTGAGCCACTCGGGCACCCCAAGAGAAAATCTTAATATCTTTAGGTAAGGCAGAGTTTTTAGATGTGATGCCAAAAATGTGATCTATAAAGAAAAAATTGATAAATCTGGACTCCAAGAAATTAAATATTTTGCTGTTCAAAAGACATGGTTAAGACAATGAAAAGCCAGCTCATCACTGGAGCATGAGACTCAACACTGAACCAAAGACATAAACAGAAGTAAATTATATATACTTTACCGAAGAATATACAGATCTTCCTTGGCTTACGGTGAACCCGGCATAAGTTGAAAATACCATCAGTTGAAAATGGATCTAATACACCTAACCTACCAGTCACCACGACTTAGCGCCGCTAACCTCAAACATGCTCAGAACAGTGGGGCAAAATCAGCTAGTGCAGAGCCTGTTTATGATCAAGTGCCGAATACCTCGTGTAAGGTACGGCCTACCGTCCTCAAAGAGAAACAGCATGGCTGCTGTCAGGGTATCGGCTGGTGATCGCGTGATCGCGGGCTGACTGGGGACTGTGGCCGCTGCCCAGCATCACAAGAGCATGGTACCACATACTGCCAGCCCAGGGAAAAGATCCAAATTCAAAATCCCAGGTACGGTTTCTGCAGAACGCGTAGCGCTTTCGCACCACCGTAAGACAAACCATCATCAGGGACTGTGTATGCAGACGGTAAGTAAGTCCCTGCAAAGACGTCCGGCATTAGTCTTAGGGAAACAGTACCACAGTGAGCTGCCACTACACACGCGTCAGAGTGACCGAAATTAAGTGAAGAGGACTGACCAGACTAAGGGTCATGAGCATGTGCTTTTGAGAAGAATTCCTTGGGAAAGCTCGGCCGCTTCCCTCCTGGCGTTGGCCCCAGAGACGAGAAAGCCCACGTCCGTCCACACGAGGGCTGGTGCGGAGACGTTCACGGCTGCGCTCTCAGCAATGGCCAGCACTGGACACAGCCCAGTGGCCGTCCACCTGGGGGTGGAGGGAGGGAGGGCAGTGCGCTGCTCTGGTGGAACCACACTCAGCGGTGACAATGGTGAGCTGTCGATGGCACGGGGCAGCGAAGGTGGGCCTCAGCGGTTGCTTACACGGTGGAAAGATGTCAGACAAAAAGTGCATAACCTCGACTTCCACATATGAAGCATTCTAGAAAACGTAACCATGCTCTTGGCAGCGGGGGTGCATTACAGGGAGGCGTCCTGTGGGCTCCGCAGGTGTTCAGCTCGTCCCATGTGTCCATGTGTCACAACTTGTCGAGTTGTGCACTTTACTCGTGCACACGTTACTGTGTGTCAGTGATACTCTTGAACACTCCTGATCGCGGGGAGGGAAATTGCTGTGACCTTCTGGACTAAGTTTTGGTAATACGTATACCATTTTTAATGTGAAACTTTTAGTAACAATTTTACTTCTAGAATTTGTCCTGTGGAAGTAATCGTGTTAGACTGATGAATGGTTGAATAAAGCCAAGTAGATCTTAAAAAAAAAAAAAAAGTAATCCTGTGATTTGCACAGAGATAAATGTGCAAAGCTGTTTATTACAGCATTGTTTGTAATAGGGGAAACTTGGAAACCAGTTTCCTCGGTCCAGGACAGATTCAGTTTGTTTAAACACCCACAGAACCGGTTCTTGGGCAGGATGTGGAGCGCAGTTGACCAGGAAGCTCTGCCAGCCCGTGGCAGCACCTGAGGCACGTGACGGTCCCCCCAGAGCTGGCTGGGCTCGCTCCCGCTGCGGAGGAAGGGGTTTGCCTGAGGGCCTCCAGGGGAGCAAGGGACCAGGATTTGCCTTCAGCCACTGCGGGTTTCCCTTTGTAGGTGAGCAGGAGAAGGATGCAGGAAGAGAAAAGACGCCTCGTCAGATAAATGTCACCCTTTGATCTGACATCACTACACAGAATTTAGTTCATTCGTGTTTATTTTTGTAAGGGAATTCAAAAAAGAAACAAACCTTTTTAGCAACTTTTTTGTCAGATATTCTGTATTTTTACTGTGTTTTGAAACATATGACCTGCAGTGCGTTCAAAGAGCTATTAAATAAAACACGTAGAACATTGGCAGGTGTTTATGTTCACTCTTTAAACCTGTGTAAATTCAAAGCTTTTTTTAAGGCCATTTTTCTGCATGATTATTTCTAGAATAGGAAAGCCATGAAGGACCACACTAAGCACGCAGCCAAGGAGAGGCGGGCTGGTGCCCGGGACACGCCGGGGCCGGCGACCTTTGCTGAAAAGTCAACTAATCTGGGTGCGTATGGTGAGGGGCTGCCAGGGCAACCTCGGGAACCCTTACCTGGAAAATAGGCCCCTTGAGAAGCTCCCTTCTGCCCAAGGGAGACAGGTCGGGACGTGTGTGTGGTGTGGTTGCAGCCAGAGAGATGGATACTCTTGTCCCGACTGGAGACGGAGTGGAGACGTGAGGTTTCATGCTCGGTGCTTTAACGTGACCACAGGCTATTTCTGTTGGCCTTTTCCAGACCCCATCTCTGCCGTCTAGGTTAGGTGATGCTCCACCTATGAGGGGGAACAATAAACTCAATGACTCTCAGAGAGCGAAGTTAACTTCCCTGACCCTGCCCAATGAAGTGGAGGTTATTGGAAAGCGTAGCTCAGCAGCGGGCTCCTGACCGGCTGGGTCGTGGCCGTCCTGGTGGCCCGTGCTGACCTGTGTTCCTGCCGTGCCAAGGTGACCTCTGCCTGACGCCGGTTCTCATTTTGAATACAGTAAACGAAGTTCAGATCCCCAAGGTGAGAGAGAAGGAATTTTTCAATCCCTTGCTCAACGAAAACCAGAAGTTAGCAGTTAGAAGAATCCTGAGTGGCGACTGCCGCCCGCTCCCGTATATTCTCTTCGGACCTCCTGGAACCGGGAAGACAGTGACCATTATAGAGACTGTCTTACAGGTAACCACAGGAAGTGAGTGGCTCGGCTACCCAGTGGTGTCGGCCGCGTGCCATGCTCATGTCGGCAGGAAGTGGAAATGAGCTTAACAAAAAATCCCAGTTATTTCATGTTTAGCCAAGTTTGTTTTACATTGTTTATGGGAATATGTAGGATTTTCAAAGCTTATTTCATAGGTTTAGAAATGACTGTTCTTAGTCTGGTCGACCATCGTGGAGCACCTGACTGCTCAGTGGGTGGAACACACAGTTCTTGATCTCAGGGTTGGGGGTTCGAGCCCCACATTGGTTGTAGAGATAACTTAAAAATAAAATCTTTAAAAAGAAAAAGAACGGTTGACCATTTGATCACATGAAATTTTGTTGCAGAAAAGAAGTTCCCTTTACAGTAGCTGAGCCACCATTCTGCAGAAGTTTCTGGTGTCTCCATCTTTAGAATGGCGCTAATAGAGCTAGTGTGCAGCATTTGTGTTGTTCAGGATTCAGATTAGCAACCACGTGCTGAGTGCCCAGTTGGCATGATCCTGCAAGCCACACACATAAGAACCAATATGACGCTGCCTCTGCCTTGGAGGGTGGGGGGTAGGTCAGGGTCCTGGAGGTCTGGGGAGGTAGGTCAGGGTCCTGGAGGTCTGGGGGTAGGTAGGTCAGGGTCCTGGAGGTCTGGGGGTAGGTAGGTCAGGGTCCTGGAGGTCTGGGGAGGTAGGTCAGGGTCCTGGAGGTCTGGGGAGGTAGGTCAGGGTCCTGGAGGTCTGGTGGGGGTAGGTCAGGGTCCTAGAGGTCTGGAGGGGTAGGTCAGGGTCCTGAAGGTCTGGGGGTGGGTAGGTCAGGGTCCTGGAGGTCTGGGGAGGTAGGTCAGGGTCCTGGAGGTTTGGGGAGGTAGGTCAGGGTCCTGGAGGTCTGGAGGGGTAGGTCAGGGTCCTGGAGGTCTGGAGGGGTAGGTCAGGGTCCTGAAGGTCTGGGGGTGGGTAGGTCAGGGTCCTGGAGGTCTGGGGGTGGGTAGATCAGGGTCCTGGAGGTCTGGGGGGGTAGGTTAGGGTCCTGAAGGTCTTGGGGGGTAGGTCAGGGTCCTGGAGGTTTGGGGGGGGGGTAGGTCAGGGTCCTGGAGGTCTGGAGGGGTAGGTCAGGGTCCTGGAGGTCTGGGGGTGGGTAGGTCAGGGTCCTGGAGGTCTGGGGGGGTAGGTTAGGGTCCTGAAGGTCTGGGGAGGTAGGTCAGGGTCCTGAAGGTCTGGGGAGGTAGGTCAGGGTCCTGGAGGTTTGGGGGTGGGTAGGTCAGGGTCCTGGAGGTCTGGGGGGGTAGGTCAGGGTCCTGAAGGTCTGGGGGGGTAGGTCAGGGTCCTGAAGGTCTGGGGAGGTAGGTCAGGGTCCTGGAGGTCTGGGGAGGTAGGTCAGGGTCCTGGAGGTCTGGAGGGCTAGGTCAGGGTCCTGGAGGTCTGGGGGGGTAGGTTAGGGTCCTGAAGGTCTGGGGGGGTAGGTCAGGGTCCTGGAGGTCTGGGGAGGTAGGTCAGGGTCCTGGAGGTCTGGAGGGGTAGGTCAGGGTCCTGGAGGTCTGGGGGTGGGTAGGTCAGGGTCCTGGAGGTCTGGGGAGGTAGGTCAGGGTCCTGGAGGTCTGGAGGGGTAGGTCAGGGTCCTGGAGGTCTGGAGGGGTAGGTCAGGGTCCTGAAGGTCTGGGGGTGGGTAGGTCAGGGTCCTGAAGGTCTGGGGGTGGGTAGGTCAGGGTCCTGAAGGTCTGGGGGTGGGTAGGTCAGGGTCCTGAAGGTCTGGGGATGTAGGTTAGGGTCCTGAAGGTCTTGGGGGGTAGGTCAGGGTCCTGGAGGTTTGAGGGGGGTAGGTCAGGGTCCTGGAGGTCTGGAGGGGTAGGTCAAGGTCCTGAAGGTCTTGGGGGGTAGGTCAGGGTCCTGGAGGTCTGGGGGGGTAGGTCAGGGTCCTGGAGGTCTGGGGGGGTAGGTGGAGGTAGGTCAGCATCCTGAAGGTCTGGGTGACGTAGGTTAGGGTCCTGGAGATCTGGGGGGGTAAGTTAGGGTCCTGGAGGTCTGGGGGGGTAGGTCAGGGTCCTGGAGGTCTGGGGGGGGTAGGTCAGGGTCATGGAGGTCTGGGGGGGGTAGGTCAGGGTCCTGGAGGTCTGGGGGGCGGTAGGTTAGGGTCCTGGAGGTTTGGGGGAGTAGGTTAGGGTCCTGGAGAACAGAGAACTCTCACCCCCTCTCGTGTCTTGTTGGCACGTGCACGTGAGGGGCAGAACCATCCCTGCATGTGTCAGTGGCCAGGCCTCAGGCACAGAAGGGGCGGGCGTGAGCCCACGTGTCCACGCCCGCATGGTGAGCGCGAGCACTTGACAGGTTGACATTTATCCCCATGTGTCCTGTGTCCTGGTTGAAGGTGTACTACGCTTTGCCGGACAGTCGGATATTGGTCTGTGCGCCCTCCAACAGTGCGGCCGACCTCGTGTGTCTGCGGCTGCATGAGAGCCAGGTGCTGCGGCCCGGCGCCATGGTCCGTGTAAACGCCACCTGCAGGTTTGAGGAGGTGAGCCGTCAACAGCCAGCTGGGATAGAAAAGTCCTGCCCACCCCCGCCTAGCTTTAACTACATTCTCCTTCCTCTGTGAGACGGGCATTCTCAGCGGTTTTTTGTCAGAGCGGGGGAGGGGCAGAGGTAGGGAGAGAATTGGAAGCAGACTCCGTGCCCGGTGCTGAGCCCGATGCGGGGCTCGATGTCAGAACCGTGAGATCATGACCCGAGCCGAAATCAGGAGTCGGAGGCTTAGCTGACTGAGCCACCCAGGCTCCCCTGGCATTCTCCGCTTTATTAAATCCTGGCGTTCCTCCCCTATTTACACCGAATTGTGTTGTTCTTTCTGGGTTCTGTTTTATTGATTTATCTGTAAATACCTCTTTAGGAGAATTAGAAGTTCTTGGTTTGGTTAACAAAAGAAACTGAATCTAGGAAATGTATACAGTTGTCTGGGGGAAGGATCTGCAGGATTTTGTGTTCTGGTCATGGCCGTAGAGTCTGCAGAATGTGGACGAAGTTGACAGGAAAATGTAAAATATTCTAGTTCAAGAAAACAGTCTTAAGTCATTACTTAGTCATAACTAAGAAGTGGGAGTAGGACGTTATCTTTTAGAATGCTTTTCAGCTTTGTGACTGTGTCCAATTTAAAGAAACAATGTTTTGAGAAGTAAGCTGGCCCCATCCTCCCTCCAGACAGTCACTGACGCCATCAAGCAGTACTGCAAAGATGGGGAAGATATATGGAAGGCCTCGCGCTTCAGGATCATCATCACGACGTGCAGCAGTGCGGGGCTGTTTTACCAGATAGGAGTGAGGTAGGCACGGCACGGCTCGGGGTGCTGGGGCCCACAGAAATAGTGTCTCTGTCCTCATGGAGCTTCCGTGTGGGGCAGGATACGAGAACATGGGCTGGGGGGAGGGAAGACCCCAGAGGATGAGGAAGGAGCCCACAGCAGCAGCTGGGAGGCCGACGGGCAGCTGGGGCTGCACAAAGCTGAGAAGGTGTAAACACGGAACAATGTGGACTCATGAAAATAACTAAATAACTGACTTATTAAAAATTGAGAAGTGCTTATATTCTAAGAAAGATACATAGTGTGGAGTTTCTTCAGCAGGAATTGGGACATGAGGTAGGAAAGGAAGATGGAAGCATGCGATTTCCTCATCTTCCATACGGAGGGATCTGGGGGTGTCGTGGTAGGGTTGTAACCTGACTCCTGGTGGAAAGACAAAAGGTGGGGACCCAGAGCTGCTTCACTGCACACCAGCGGGCTCTGATGGGGTCCCTGTCGGGCTCAGTCCAGAGTTTGTCCTGTCACCAGCAGTTCTGGGGCTTCCGGCACGGTGTCCCTGCGGCAGATCTTTTCTCTGGGCTTCCAGTGGGGCAGGGGCTGCCCGGGGCCCAGAGCACATGCTCAGCACTCTCTCCTGGACCCCTGGGGGTCTGGAGCACTGGGGTATCGTCCTAGCTCAGAGCATGCTGGAGAGCACAAGTCAGGGAGGGTAGCAACCACCATGTGGGGGCGTCACTCAGCTTGACCAGCTCACCCTGTTCTCACATCTGCCATGTTGGGGAAACTGAGGCACAGAGGCAGTGCCGCCTGCCCAGGATCACTTGGTTTGTGGGCAGTGGAGCTGTGTTCCAGCCGGGCCTCAAACAGGTGTGGGGAGCATCTGCTCTGATGTGAGTCTCATTAGTTTGCTCATTCCCACCCCTCATCCTGTTTGCCTCTGGATCCACTTAAACACCGACATGTACAGAGCCCCAGGCGCTGGTGGCCTGGAGTTGGTCCAGACCAGGTGAGCCCCACCTTCCTGGGCCAGCCCGCCAGGTGCGGCTGCAGAAGTGGCCATGCAGTGTGTGTTGGCTGTTGCTTGCCAAGACACTTGGACAGAAATGACCATGGAGAACATCTTTGGTCTAGAGTCGGACATTTTACACACGTGTTTGTGGACGAAGCAGGACAGGCGAGTGAGCCGGAATGCCTTATTCCACTGGGGCTGGTTTCAGATGCCAACGGCCAGGTAAGGCCTGTTTGCTATGTGGTCTCCTCCCATTTTTCCTGCACTGGTGGGTGCTCTGGACGCCCGACCTCAGTCTCTGCACAGGACAAGCCCAGGGTGACAGGCTCAGGTGCGGTGCCAAGGACCCTGAGGCTCTGAGGCGGGGGCCTTGTGTTTGGCCACATACTTCATTGCTTGTGCACAGGGAAGAAAGGGTTGCTCTGTCTTTGGATTCGCTTCTAAAACAGCACTAAGAGCTGTGCGGCAGGGCAGGGACATCCAGGCATTGCCCTGGCTCGCTGCCCAGGACCTGACCACTCTGCCCCCTTCCACTGCCCCTCGGTGCTCAGCCCAGTTAGCCGAGGCTGATGCTTTGGCTCTTTTCTTGCTCACACCTGCTGCCTCCTCCAGTACTCACCCTGGGACCGACCTGTTAGCCTGCTCTCTGCACCTGTATATACTCACCCGAGAAGGGACCTTTCCAGCTTCTCCTGGTCCCCCAGACACCTGCCTCCTCCCATCGCGATTGTCAGGTGCAGGGGCTGCACAGAGACAGAGCAGGGAGCAGACATAGTTTAGCTGCTGCATGGGCCGGGGGGTGACAGGGTGGGCGGGAAAAGGGCAGTGTCCAGGAGGAAGGGCAGAGTACTTCCAGAAGACTGGGGCAGAGGCTGCCCAGCCAGTTTGTTCCTTCACATCCCCCACTGCTCTTGTCTGAGTCTCTGCTCCCTCACTCAGGCAGCCATGCCGCCTCCCCGTCTTCTGCAGCTCAGGTGATTGTGGGGGCCCGCTGCCTCCCACCTTATACTCAGGGAGCCTCGGTTGGCCATCAGAGGGCGGGAGGCCAGGCCGTTGCATGCATGGTGCCCCCACACCTGTTTCCTGAGCCTCCCTGGGCTGTGGTGGTGAGTGTGGGTGACTGTTCTAGTGGGGCTGCCCGTCTGTGTGCCACAGATTGTCCTTGCCGGAGACCCCATGCAGCTCGGACCTGTCATTAAGTCCAGACTCGCCATGGCCTATGGGCTGAATGTGTCTATGTTGGAAAGACTGATGTCCCGGCCAGCGTATCTGAGGGACGAAGACGCTTTTGGTGCTTGTGGTGCCTACAACCCCTTGTTGGTAAGCACAGACTCCTCGTGGCCCCTGGCTCCTCGTGGGGTCCCACCGCGGTCCCTGTAGCAGCGGGCTCCGCTCCATGCGTGCACTGAGCCGCACCCCGGGGAGCGGAGGAGGCCGACAGCTCACAGTCCCCCTCCCATCTCAGAGGGGACTTTGGCCAGCACACCTGTCCCAGCCACTCAGACGGGCGCTTCACGGCCCCAGAGGGATCCACAGTTCCAGGCAGTCCCATCCAAGGCTGATGGTGGAGGTTCTGTGGGGCCAAACACAGTATGAGTGAAATCTGGATTAACGTGGGAAAATGGGAAAGAGCCCTGTAACTTCTCATCTGAAAGACAAGGCCACGTGTCCCCCTGTGGAGCTAGTCTGCTGGTTAACCTGCAGATTCCCTCAGCCCAACTGGGACTGCTCTGAGGGATGGGCCTTGCAGTCTGCAGTTTAGCCCACCGCCCCGCCTCCCAGCACACTGGAGCTCGGGAACCTTGGGTTGCTGGGATTGCTCATTAAGATGAGCCAAGTAGTGTGTTCTCGAATGCCTACGGCATGAAAACAAGGACAGTTCCTTCTAAACTTTAACAGTGAACAGAAACGAGATGCAGTGATGCTGCACAGATTTTCCTGGAAATGGCTTGAGACCCACGCCAGGCTGTTGGTCATCAGGGCTTTTACCCCCTGGAGAATAGAGAAGGCAGGAGAGCATGTGGGGGGTGGGGGTGCTGGGGAGCCCTGGACCTTCGGGAGGTACTGAGGACCGTGGCCCAGACTGGGCAGCAGAGAGCCCCATGCCTGTGGGAGACACCTCCGTGTCCCCAGCATTCATGTCCCCAAGGCTGACAGGCAGCTGGAGGAAGGGGAGGCCTCCAGCCAGGGTCGGATGGCAGAGCTGCCTCGGCCTGAGTACACTGCACCTCCTTTCTCCCCAGAGGCCCTTGAAGCTACAGCAAGTGTCTGGGGGCAGGGCTCTCTTCTGGCACCCTATAGGCTGACGGAAGGCCTGGCTTGAGGGAGGGAGAAGCTGAGATGCCAAATTGAGTTTGGGGTTTTGGTTAGCATCTTGGAGATTGGACACGCTGTAACAACTGAGTTGACGTTGGCTGCCATCAGGTAGCAGAAAAGTCCTGGGGCCTCCCGTGTCCTCCCCGCAGGAACAAGGGAGGGCGCCTTGTACTGAATGACACCCCGGGCCAGTCGGAGGCAGAACATAGGTGGTTCTTGCTCCCTGCACTGGTGACGTCACCGCAGCCCTCCACAAGGTCCCGGAGCTGGCTGTGGGTCCGGGGTATGTGCCCTTAGCCCCCGTGGCCTCACAGCCCAGGCGCCAATGGCTGCCTGCGGCCGAGCTGAGACAAGGCTTCGTGGGTTCATGTAAAGGACAGGGCTGTGAGCCAGTGAGTGCAGAGTGAAGCGTGCAGCCCGGCACACAGCCAGCCCCCCTGCCCCCAAGGAAGACCATCCGAGCAGCCCCCTCTCCGTCTGTTTGCCTGACGTTCACGTCTTCTGTTGAAACACAGAGCTTTGAGCCTGCCCGCGGGTTCGGAGGAGCTGGCTCCGGAGCACTTTCTCCTCAGCAAACCCGTTGTTCTCAGGAGCTGGGCAGTCCGAATGCATCTTGCGGGGGAAGAGTTCTGTCAGGGACATGCAGTCCAGTCAGGTGGTGGGCATTAAAATCCCTGGGCTAGAGGAAATGTGTTTCATCCCTGGCGTCAGTGAGGAGCCCAGTGGCGGTTAGGGCACCCTGGTGGCCGGCGGGGAGACACCGAGCATGCGTCGGCCTCGCTGTCGGGCCCCAGCTGCAGCCCTCACCACTGCAGGGACCGCCACGCATTGTGCAAAGCACATGGATGCTAGCAGGCCGCCTCCCCTCCCAGCAGCTGCCCTACCACCTGAGTTGCCCAGGAGCCTCCCCTCCATCTGTGCTGGACCAGGGCAAGTAGGGCAGTGACGGTGGATGGATGCACGGACGGTGCCTTTCTGGAGGCCGTGGTTGTGCCCAGGGACAGGGAAGTCACAAAAAGGGGGGGGGTTGGGTCAGGAAGTCTTGAGCCAAACAAGACAAGGGGGTGGGGGCGGCAGCGGCGGGGAGTGGGGCGAGAAAGGCGAGTCAGACTGTAGAGCCTCAGCATTTTCCAACCTGCAGAGCAGGAAGCACCTGTCTAAGGGGAAGGGTACCTGCAGCTCCCTGGAGAATGCAACGGGCCCCCAGGGCCTACAGATGGGGGAGTGGGACAGAGCTCCCTCCCTGGGCACCAAGACCCCAATTCCAGCCTGTGGGATTCTGCCCGCGCCAGCTCTTCTGAGGTGACCCATCCAGGTGGCCCTGAGACAGCCAAGGCTGGATTCAGGGCCATGGTCAGGAGGATTTATCAAACTGACAGGGACACAGGATGGACAAAGGGTAGGTTCAGGCTGGAACAGGGACACGTGTGGCTCTCATCCCGCTGTGGAGTGAGAGGATTCACTCTCCGACATCCAGCAGACAGTGTGCCTGCAGCAGTGACTCCGGGGCTAGGAGCAGCCCTTCCTGGGCCTGGACTAATCCTGCTGGGGCCCCGTGGTACCGTCAGGGAGGCCCAGGGCAGTCTGAACACAGAGCAGTGTCCTTTGCTCAACCTGCCGAGAGCCTGGCTGCCAAGTCCCCCCAAGCACAAGCAGCTGCCGCCTCCCGGGCAGCACCCGCCTGCCCTCGGTCCAGTCCATGGCCACAGACTCGCCCTCCTCCATTGCCATCCCTTTTCCCTGACCATGGGATGGCATGGCCAGAGACCCTTTTCCGGGGGCTGGGGACACGGGTGAGGAAGGTAGGAGGATGCTTTTCAGGGTGCCTCCAAGACTGCAGGGCAGAGCGGGGCCTGGAGGTGGAAGCAGCCTGCAGAAGCTGAGGGGGGAGAGCCCAGAGAGGCGCACGGTGGCCTGCCGTCCTTGCAGCTGCCTCCTCGCCTGGCTGTAAGCCCTCCCTGTTCATCACCTGCTCCGTCAGGACCACCACCGGGCAGCTCAGCTCAGGCAGTCAGCCACTCCTCATCTTAGTCCCCCAGCCAAAGCCCCATGATCAAGCGGAGGCTGCATGTCCACCCAGAGCCAGCCCTGTCATCTGCTCCGGGTCACAGGTCACCTACAAATCAGGGCCTCTCTCTAAGACCTGCACCCTCCCTGGCTCTGAAAAGCCAAGACCTGCTGATGGCATGTACTTTTCTTGTAGGGGGTCCTTTTAAGTCATGCTCACCTGTTTACCCTCCTAGTGAAATTTGTATTTTCTTACAAGGTCTTAAAGGGAACAGTTTAGGGGCACCTGGGTGGCTCAGTCGTTAAGCGTCTGCCTTCGGCTCAGGTCATGATCCCAGGGTCCTGGGATTGAGCCCCGCATAGGGCTCCCTGCTCCACAAGAAGCCTGCTTCTCCCTCTCCCACTGTGCACGCACTTGCTTTCGCTCCCCCCCATTCTCTCTCTCTCTCTCTCTCCCTCCCTCCCTCCCTCTCTCTCTCTCTCTCTCTCTCTCTCTCTCTCTCTCTCTCTCTCTCTCTCGTAAAGTAGAATCCTAAAGCGGGGCACAGCAGGGGGGACAGAGGGACAGGCCCTGTCCTAAATCCTCTCAAGAAAGGGCTGCTCTGACCTGAGTGTCCACTGATAAATGAATGGATAAAGAAGCTGTGGTATATACACAATGGAGTATTACTCAGCCATCAAAAAGAGTGAAATCTTGCCATTTGCAATGACGTGGATGGATCTAGAGGGTATAATGCTAAGTGAAATAGTTAAAGACGAATACCGTATGATTTCACCCATATGTGGAATTTAAGAAACACAATGAAGAGACAAACGGCTCTTAAATACAGAGAACACACTGATGGTCACCAGAGGGGAGGAGGGTGGGGGATGGGGAAAACAGTGCCGGGGATGGAGAGTTCACGTATCCTGAGCAACGTGCAGAATTGCTGAATTGTTATATCGCACACCTGAAACCCATGTAACACTGTAGGTTGTATTTCGATTAAGAAACCAAATCTCTGGGGTGCCTGGGTGGCTCAGTCGTTAAGCGTCTGCCTTCGGCTCAGGGCCTGATCCCAGGGTCCTGGGATCGAGTCCCGCATCGGCCTCCCTGCTCAGCAGGAAGCCTGCTTCCCCCTCTCCCACTCCCCCTGCTTGGGTTCCCTCTCTCACTGTGTCTCTCTCTGTCAAATAAATAAATAAAATCTTTAAAAAAAAGAAACCAAATCTCTTGTTCAGAAAGTCGTTGGAGGTGCAGGAGTTCTTCCTAGAAGGGGCACAGGGAGAGCTGGGGCTGTGATCTGAGGTGGGGCTCAGCATCTTTCTCCTGCACAGCAGCGCAGCATGCGTGTGCCGGCTCGGCCCTGGACCTGCCACCAGCCCTCTCCCTGCAGGTTACGAAGCTCGTGAAGAACTACAGGTCGCACCCAGCTCTGCTGGCACTGCCGTCCAGGCTGTTCTACCACAGAGAGCTGGAAGTCTGCGCGGACCCCAAGGGGGTGACCTCCCTGCTGGGCTGGGAAAAGTTACCAAAGAAAGGCTTCCCCCTCATCTTCCACGGCGTGAGGGTGAGTTGTGCACCGAGGGCGGTCCGGAAGGACGTGGCTCAGCTCCAGCGGCTGTTTGTGGGTTTATGCGTGTTCGTTGTGTATGTTTCACTCAGTTCAGTTGTCCGCGAAGCATTAACGGGTCGCTGGTGGGCTGATGGCCATGCTGGTGCTGAACGGTAAGAGCACTCGTGCCCTGCCAGACCGGCCTGTCAGCCACCCAGCTGTTCTGTATACAGAACAGACTCCAGAGGGTGCCAGCCACGTGGGCATCGGAGGGTGACACCGCAAAGGAGTTTACGGGGAGGGTATTAAAGATGTCGTGTAACAGTGGGAGGCTGGGTACCAGGAGCTCCCATGCCCACCAGGAGGCGCCACACACCTCAAGTGTCGATGAACGGATACGGAGTGGGGAGAGCCTCCGCCTCACTCACCATGGCCTCACTGGACGGGGGTCCCCCAGTAGGAAAGCGCTAGATGCTCAGTACCCCAAAAAACGACAAGTGTGCCCGAAAATCAGTTTGTATTGGAATTTGGTGGTTAGAACCAGAGTCATCTTTTGCATTAACCACCCCAGTTCTCATCCAGAACTGGGGCTGCACCCAGGCCCTGGGACAGGAGGAGCTAGTGCTGGGTGCCCCTGGGGTGGCGTCTGCCCTTTCCACCACGCAGCCTGCGTTCGGGTGCGTGAGCCCCAGCGACAGCAGCGCTGGCTCGTACCTCCGGATTTGCCTGCCCCCTCAGAGGTGGATGGGGAGGTAGAGGCCATGTTCAGGTGTGGCTGTGGAGGGCCTGCCTTTTGGACAAAGGAGAATTCAAGGCAAGGGGGTCCTGTGGTGAGACCAGCAGCTCCCAACTTGGAACGCTCAGCACAGGCCTCTGTCGGCTGTGCCTTCTCCCGGCCTTGTGTCTGTTCTCCCTCCCTCCCTCTCTCCCTGCTCTATCCATCCTCAGAAGCTTCCCTGTATATCAGAAAAACAACTGAGAAGCTGCAGCAGGGGATCAGCGATCTCTGCCATTACCTAGAAGTCAGCCTAAGGCGAGGTGAGCAGCGTTCCTGCAGAGTCAGAAGGCTTAACCTGAGTGCACGAAGCGAGACAGGCACATGATGTCCGTGAACAGAGACCAGTGTTGTTCTGCCCATATTAATTCATACATTTAATGCAATCTACATAGAAGCCACAGTGGGTTTTTTCATGAGAGAGTGATTATAAATGTGCAAATGTGTTTTAAGTGTACAGAAAGTGTTTGTAGAAGAATGAGATACAAAGCCAGCTAGATAACATACTACAAACTATAGCAAATAAAAGCATCCTTTCATAGATTCAAAAAAAAACCCCATAGGTCAATGGAACAAAGTCCAGAAACATTTATTTATTTAGTAAGGATTTTTTAAGGGCCAATTGTGTCCCAGACTCCACTCTATGCCCTGAGTATAAAGTGGGGACAAGGCCTCTGGGGCTGGGTTGCAGAGAACACGGTCTACTCCCTTCATTGGAGCAAGAAGGGTTTTATCACCAGTTTAATGGCCTCAGGATTGCTGGCAAGGCCTGGCCCTTGCTCTCCCCTTGCACACTCACTCCCAAGTCTCTGGCGTGCAACGTCAGACACACTCCCTGGCAAGTACCCCCTCGTGGGAGTGTTGCCTTGACGTACACCTTCCCCTGGGGATGCTCTAGAAGGACCCCTGTCTGACTCGCTGCTCTGTCCCCATGTCCAGCAGAGGAAGCGCAGTAGAACACGCCGCATGAACATTGTAGGGCAGGGCTGAGCCCCAGGGTGGCCCAAGGAGGGGCCACCAAGGTCGCTGTGGTCTTGTCCTGGTAAAGAAGGAGAGTTGGAAGCCTGCGCCTCAGTGAACAGGTGGCTGATCTCTGACTTCTTTCTGCTGTGGTAGAGTTGAATAGGACAGCACAGCACTGTCAAAGCCTGAGGTACTGTCTGGCCCTTCACGGGAAAGATGACGCAACCCCTGGTGTAATTGAGAAAAGCCAGCTTTGGACTTACTTATGTTTTCTCTTCTTTGTTTTGTTCATTAGTTTCAGCTTTGTCTTTAAGCATCCCCCTTACTAACTTCATTATTTGTTTTCTTTGTTGTAATTCCCACAAGATGGACACTTTATTCCCATACTCCTCATCCTCTTAATTAGGAAGGCACTGGGGATGCCATCCTGTAGCTTTCTCTTTCCACGTATGTCTGCTGAGAGATCCTCCTTTCATAACTTTCTGGACATTTATAACTTTATTTTCTTTTTTGATCCAAGGGTTATAGAGAAGTATTTTTCTTAATTTCCAAGTGGCCAAGAATGCTGTTTACCTCTTTTTTTTTTATTTCTAATTTTATTAGTTTCTGATCAAGAACTAAGGTCTGTAAATTCTTTGCTTTTAAAAATGTATGGCCAAGGGCGCCTGGGTGGCTCAGTCATTTGGCGTCTGCCTTCGGCTCAGGTCATGATCCCAGGGTCCTGGGATCGAGCCCCACATCGGGCTCCCTGCTCCGCGGGAAGCCTGTTTCTCCCTCTCCCCCTCCCCCTGCTTATATTCTCTCTCTCTCTCTCTCTCTCTCTCAATCTCTATCTCTCAAATAAATAAAATCTTTTTTAAAACTCCTCAAAATTAATACATTCTAATTGCTGTATCTGGTACTCTTGTGTGTGTGCGTGTGGTAAAATACGTATGACGTAAGTTTACTCCATTAGCCGTTTTTAAGTGTACAATTCAGTACTGTTAAATATATTCACATTGTTTTACAACCAATTATTAGAACTTTTCCATCTCCGCAAACTGAAACTGTCCCCATCACCCACTCTCCCCCACAGCCCCCTCCCCCCCGGCCCCGCCGTCTGCTCTCTGTCCCCCTGGGTCTGACCACTGCAGGTGCCTCCTAGAAGTGGAACCAGACAGGATTTGTCCTTCTGGGTCTGGCTTGTTTCAGCACAGTGTCCTCAGGGCTCCCCCGGGTCGTGGCAGGTGTCAGCAGGCTGAGTACTACTCCACGATGCCGATGGCCACGTTTTGTCTGTCCCTCCGGCCGGCGGGGGACAGCGGGGTTGCTTCCACATGTTAGCTGTTGTGAGTAGGTGCTGCTCTAAGTACAGCTGGACAGTACCTCTCTGAGACCTGCTTTCATTGCTTTTGGGTATATGCCCAGAAGTGGGATTGCTGGGTCGGAACGTATTTCTGTGATTAATTTTTTGAGGAGCCTCCACACTGTTTTCCACGGTGATTGTACCAACTTATGTTCCCATCAGCAGTGTATGGGGGTCCAGTTTCTCCACATCCTCATCAGCACCTGTTTTGTTTTTTCATAGTAGCCATGTGTGAGGTGGGATCTTGGGAGTTTTGATCTGTGTCTCCCTGATGATGAATGATGCTGAGCACCTTCGTGTGCTTGTTGGTCTGCTGCATGTCTTTGTGCTGGTTGGCTGAGCAGGCCCACACCTAGATGTGGGGAGGGAGTGGGGCTCTGAGTGCGTGGTCCCCTGCCTGGCCTGTGACAGGGCTGTCCTTGCCACCTGCTGAACTGACCACAGCTGGCCAGATGCCTCTCACCCTGGCCCCCTAGGCTTTGGCTGCCCTGGTCACCTTTCCCTGTTTCTAGCATGCCCTCCTGTACATGCAGCTGTTGGTGCAGGCCTCGCTGACCGTCCACTCCTGTTGCAGCAGATCACACGCCGCCCCCAAGCAGCCCTTCTCCTCTGGGCTCTTGTTGCGGTTGTGGTGGGTCTCACCGTAGCTGAAGCCAGTCTGCCTGCTGGAGAGCGGGGTATTTTCAGTCTTACTCACGCCGTACTCCCAGCACCTGCTTCTGCTCCTTCCGTGTTCGTAGTCCCCTTTACAAGGGGGCTGTTGAGGAAATGAAGTGTTGTGATGGATGTCCCATTCTCTTGTCTCCTAATTAACTCAGGGCAGTGAAGCTCGTGAAGGGAGGAGCCCGTCGTGGTTCAATGCGGCCGAAGCTGTCCAGGTCATGCGTTACTGCTGCCTCCTGGCCAGGGGCATCTCCAGCCAGGTGTCTGCGAGTGACATCGGTGTGATCACGCCCTACCGAAAGCAGGTGTGGACCGTTGAGCGTCCTTGGTCACAGAGTCTGGAAGGAGATGGGAGACAAGCTCCTTTACGTGGCACCGAGTCCTTCCACAGCCACTGCAGGCCCCCGCCCATCGGGGGGCTCCCACAGGCTGGCCCCACACCCAGACTCCCCGTGCTCAGACCTGGGGGGTTGGGGGGAGCTGCTGAGCTCTCGGTCTGGTTCACCTGGCGGCAGGTGAGGGGCCACCCTCCATGCCCCTGGGGGGAACAGAAGCTTCCCCCTGCGCTGAGCTTTTCTCCAAGATTTCAAAATGGTTTTTCTTTTACCAGCACCCCTCGGAGAGCCTTGTCTCTAGACAAGCAGCGCAGCGTCCTGTTTCCGTGACTCACTGTTCCCACTCACTCTTCACAGAGACATCTCCCTGCCTTCCTGCTGTGGTTGTGCAAAGCCTGCTTCCCGGCCTCTGCCCGGCCGAGGGTCCCCGCACTGTCCCCATGGAGGTGGCCATGTCCACCGAGCAGCAGGCCCATGCCCCCACCCTCGCTGCTGTGTGCCCATCAGGACGGGGAAGCCTTGCTCCCGACACACGCTGCCCCCTTTCCCCAAGCATTCTAAATCAACTCCGATGAAACAGGGTTGGTTAATATTTGGCTTATGCTTAAATATATAAAGAAATGGTCTAATTTGTAGTTTTAACCTTTATCTGCTTCAAAGGTGGAAAAAATCAAAATTCTCTTGCGAAATGTTGATCTGATGGACATAAAGGTCGGATCAGTAGAGGAGTTTCAAGGGCAAGAATATTTGGCCATCATCATCTCCACTGTAGGTATTCCTGTTTTTAGTGGGGGTGACAGTGTGTCTGAGGCCACTGATGTTCGTCGGGTTTGTGGTACATTCCAGTAGAAAGTGGCAGAGGCCCGTCGGCGCAGAAAAGCAGTTGCGGGATGGAGGGCTCATCTCAAGCCCTAACTGTGGGAGCTCCTTAAAATACTCAGCCTCAGACACAAAAATAAAGAGATCCAGGAATAAGTGGCAAATATGCTGGAGAAGAGGGACAGGGTGTTGAAAGAGAAGGGGACCAAAGGGCCGAGCGGGAGACGGGCGCCCGCACGCGGGCCTCAGCGGCTCAGCTGCCACCCGAGGGGTTCCAGCTGTAACTGTCAAAACCCCATGTTTCACTCGTAAATTCTCTTCACTGAGCAGCACATTTAACTGCAGATAAGTTAGAAGTGCAGGTAGGATAAAGGGACCGTGAGAGGGCCTCGTGAGGCTCCCCCCACAACGCTGGGGTTTTCCTTTTTTAACCAAAAATGGAGTTATACTGATGTCTAATGTTTCTAAATGCTTTTAAAATACCAAGTTTCTTTCTATATCAAAAAAACTTAAAATATCTTTTTTATTCATCTTTGTTTTTTTTAGGTACGGTCAAATGAAGATAGATTTGAAGATGATAGATATTTTTTGGGTTTCTTATCCAACTCAAAAAGATTCAATGTTGCAGTCACCAGACCCAAAGCCTTGCTGATTGTGCTGGGAAATCCTCATGTTCTGGTCAGAGTGAGTCACCTGAGGAGGGAAGGGCTTGGGGACAGGGTGCCGCTCGGATGGCTCGGGGTTTGAGGCCTGGCTCCTTGGTGTTTCAACAGGATCCCTGTTTTGGTGCTTTACTGGAATACAGCATTACCAACGGTGTCTACACAGGGTGCAATCTACCTCCCGAGCTGCAGGCCCTGCAGAAGTGAGCTCTGCTTGACTTCCCGCTCTAGCCCTGCCCCTCTCGCAGCCTGCCGCACTCGCCTCCTTCCTGTGCAGTCCTGGGACGACCCTTGGGGTCACTGAAAGGGACGACAGCCCCAAGCCTTGCTGTGGTGGTCCCCAGCACTCGAGCCTGAGCTGCTGTGGGGCGCCCAGCTCACTGGTCCCCTCCCCTTTGCCCAGCTGCAGCTGTGACTAGACATGCAGCCTGTCCCTCCCCACCCCACAGAGCCAGGTCCCCAGCCCCAGTTGGTAAGGCACGGCCAGGAGGCCTGGGACCACATCCCAGGGAGCTGCTGTCCTCACCTCTGGGCTGGGGCCCCTGCGGCCTGCCTTGTGTTCCGGCCTTGGCCACGAGTGTGGGGACCATGGGGTCAGATGGAGCCTGCTCTCTGTTCTCCAAACCAGCCCATTCCTGCTGCTGGGCAGTTACTGCAACCATCACCGAAATAAATGCTCACGTGGGACACCCAGTGTGGCTTTCCACCTTGAGAAGCACTGGATACTGGGAGGTGATGATGCTTTTGTGTGGCCTCTGACCCCTGCAGGCTCACCATGCATCTCCAGGCCCTTGAGCCAGCGTTCCCTTCCCGTGCCAGCCGTGGAAAGCCCAGGGCCTCTACAGGGGCTCCGCCTGGGGTTGGGCGGCCATACAGAAGTGGGGTCGGCGTCCTGCTCCCCTGGGACCCTGGTGCAGCTTGGTGGGGGCGTGCTGTCCCTCTGGCCAAGAGGCTGGCCCATCTGTGCAGGTCCTCAGGGACCGGTTTCCAGGAAGGGTTGGCAGTGCTTACATGCTGGGGGCTGTTCTGTGAACACCACCTGGCCTGGGGACTGGAATACCCAGGCGCCCAGGAAAGGTGCCGCTCTGGCTGTGCCTCTCAGGGAGGCGGGGGGCCCAGCAGTGTGTGCGGGGGGCAGGTCGAGCGGTTGGGAGACGCCCAGGCACGCCTTCACCAGCCACGAGCTGCAGACCCTGAGACATGGAGGCTCTTTTTTTTTTTTTTTTTAAGGTTTTGTGTATTTATTTGACAGAGAGCGAGAGAGGGAACACGAGCAGGGGGAATGGGAGAGGGAGAAGCAGGCTTCCCGCTGAGCAGGGAGCCCAATGCGGGGCTCGATCCCAGGACCCTGGGACCGTGACCTGAGCCGAAGGCAGACGCTTAACCGACTGAGCCACCCAGGCACCCCCACATGGAGGCTCTTGGTCTGGGAGGAAGACACAGACCGCTGTCCAGACACAGGCCCCACAGTGGCCGCAGTGCTCTTTACTGAGGCACATGACTGCTTCCTCCAGGAAGGCCGCTAGGGTGGCGGGAGGCCCAGGCAGAGCCCTCCCCGCACCCCAGATGTGAGGCCGGCTGCTCTCAGGAGGAAGCACCAGGCACCAGGCGTGACGAGAGCCAGCAGCTGTAGCCAGGGGCGGTGTGGACCTGCTCGGCCACCCTGGCTAGGCCGGCAGGTCCTCGAGTCTTTGCAACCAGAGCCCAGCAGTGCTGGCTCTGGGCTGGGCTTCTCGTGGGTGCTCACCTCCACTCTGGGGGACCCCTTTTCACAGTTGGGGAGCCTGCATCATTTTGGCGTCGGCCCTTTGCGGGCAAGTGGGGAACCTCCTCTGGCCCTGCAGGTCTGGGCCCCGGGCCGGTCCCCCAACGTATGCAGACACAAAGGGGGTCCCGTGGGGGTGGTTCGCATGCCTGCAGCGTGCAGAAGACCCCTATTCACTCCCAGGGTCTGGCCGTGCAGAGCGCTCTGGAGGGGTCTTTGCTTTTCCCTGCTTTGGCTGCAGGAGCTGGGGAAGGTGCCCTGGGAGCTGCTCCCTGGTGGTGGTTCTGGAACCCTGGGTGCTCCTGAATGTGCCAGGAGCAAACACGAAGGTTTAGGATAGGCTAGCTTGACCAGAAACTGCCTTGCCCACGCACCTCTTGGTGGCTGTGGGAGGGCTGGGAGGGGGTGATCACGCGCGTAGAGGACACGGAGCTGGTGTGAGTGATGGACCGGCTAGGTGTGTGCCCCAGAGCCACATTGTCTTTGGTCGAGGAGCCCATCTTCGGAGGGAGCAGAGACCGGGCCTCGGACACCGGGGACTTGTCCCTGACACTCCAGCTGGGGCAGTCCCCGCCCGCCCTGCCCCACATGCTGACCTGCAGTCGCCTGTGGAATTGACCTGTGGCCCACCTGGCCCCACAGTGCTGCCCAGAGCTGTCACAGAAAGGGGCTGTGGGCGCAGAGGCTCCTGTCCCACACTGCTCGTGCTAGCAAGTGGCAAAAGGGGAAATGGCGGGCGCGTGGGACCCAGTCCCCTTCTCTGGGCCTCAGGGACATCCGCCCTGCAGAAGCAGCCAGTGCCTGGCAGAAGGAAGGGTTGGGAACCCTTCGTGCGTCTGTGGGTATTCTGTGCTCGTGGGCCTCACGGGGCAGCAGACCTCAGGTACAAAAGGCCATCAGGGGTGAAACTATCGAGAACTTCAGACGACAACCGCCTCGGGAGAAGCTGGTGCCTCTGGGCTCTGGGCCCCGCCGGCCGGGGTGGGGATCCTCTCTGTGAGGGCGCCCTCGGCCCCTGGGCCTGGGCAAGGGCCCGTGCCCTCCCCACCACCAGCAGGTGTCATGGACCAGGCAGGGGGACGGGAGGCCTCGTGGAGCGTGAGCGGCGAGCAGCGTCCTGCCACAGACCTATCAGCCTCGCCGGAGCCCCAGCTGGGTGCAGTCCTAGAGGACTTCTGTGGGTCCTGCAGAGGATGGGGCATGGTTGGGGAGGGACAAGGCAGACCGGGCCCACACCCTAGGACCCCAGTGCTCCCTGGGACGGGCTGTCCCCACCCCCGCTCCCCAGGGCGCCGGGCTTTGTCCCTCAGCCCACCGCTGCAAACACGAGATGCCATCTTCCCGGGTACCGGTGGGGACACTGAGGCCCCGGTGGCCCTGAGGACGGGGCTCTCCTGACTGTGGACACCTCACACCTGGGTGTTGGGGGTCAGCTGGCGGTGGAGCAGCTGGACCCAGAACAAAGCTGAGGATGTGAGAGAATTCTGGTCATGCTTCTTCAAGAAATGGCTGCCCTTGGCCTCGTACACCGGCCGCCCCAGGCCCCACGTCCTGAGCAGCCTCACGCAGCAGCTGCTAGGGTCTCCGTGGGGTCATGCCCCCGCCCCCCGGGCTGAAACCCCACTGCCCTCTCCTCACATGACTTTTGTCCTCCGCTGTGTCCCCACCCCTTCTCCAGAACAGGGCAGAGTTGGAGGGCAGGCCTGCTCTGGCAGCAAGCAGGGACCAGGAGGGCCCCAGAAAGGCCTGGGGGTGGGGGCTGTGGGCAGAGCACACGTGCCGGGTCCCACCCTCGTTCCCGCCCGCACTGTGTCACAGGGACCTGTCGCCACCCCAGAAAGGTCTGCGCACCTGCAGCCGCACCTGCTCAGCCCCGCACAGCGCAGCCGGCCTGGCCCTGAGTGGCTGGGTGTCCTGGCAGCAGGTGCAGGGGTCACATCGTGGAGAGACCGTCCACACTAAACGCCAGGGAGAGAGCAGTCGGGTCCTGCAGGCAGTGAAGAGCTGGGCTGGGTGTCCCAGGCCAAGGTACTCCTCAGCAATGGTCCAGAGGTGTGTTGGGTGGTGGGAGACCAGGTTGGTCATTCTCTAGAGGACTCGGGGCACCGGGGTGCCAAGGGCAGGAGGCACCCCGTGCAGCCGCGCTGGGCCTGGAGCAGGCAGGAGAGTGGGTGGGAGGCCAGCTCCAGCGGCCGAGCAGGAGGCTCTGCTGAGCACAGGATGAAAGTGCATGGGGTCTGCCCTCAAAAGGATTGCTATCCATAGGAGGCCAAGCTGCCCAGACCAGCGTGGACTCCTGGGGAAGCGGAGCTAAGAGTTCCTGCAAGCAGGTGTGGCCTGCACTGGGTTTAACTTTTGTGCTTGGAGACCCCCTGAAGGAGACTTGGAAGCTGTGTACTGTCACTTGTTCTAGCTTACCTACCATTTTTCTGTCTTTTCAAACGGTCCGTTCCCAGCACGTTAAGTATTGACCATTCTGAAGCACAACACTTAGAGCAGACTTTTCAGTGTGTCCACTGGAATCAAAATGCATTTGCAAGTTGACACTCATCCTGGTCCACTTAGAAAGGACCGAGCAAGCTGCCCCTTCGTGGCTGGACGCTCTCATTCCTCCTTCCCCTAGAGCTTCGCCCACAGAAGTCGATGCAATGCAAAACGTATCGGGTGGAAAGTCGAGGACATCACAGACAGCCTGTTCTCCGGGGCACGTGATGGGGTCTGCGCTACCTTCCCCACCCCATAGTTGTGTCACCAGGCATGAGCTTTGGTCCCTGAAGAATGAGCAGAAATGACCTAGAGACACAAAGCTGTTCCACTGGGATGGTGGCCTCTCATCCCCAGAGTGAGGGGACAGATGGGGACAGCGCTCCCAGCCAACCCGAGATCAGTGTGGGCTGGAAAATAACCCTGTGCTCTTTTAAGCCACGAAAGAGTGGGGTTGTTGATTCCTGCAACTGACCCTTCTCCCTCCCGCTCTGCTCTTCTCCAGACAGATATGTGTATACATTGAGGCGGTCCTTTGTTTTTACGATTATTCTTTTTTTTTTTTAGTAATCTCTACACCCAACGTGAGGCTCAAACTCAACCCCAAGATCAAGAGCTGCACGCTCCTCCAGCTGAGCCAGCCAGGCGCCCTGAGGCAGCCATTTGTTTTGATTTGTGAAATCCTGAGACTGAACTTAGTGACAAATTCACCTGGATTGCTGTTCTTGTAGTTACTGTAAGTACTTAATCAGGATGACACGCGTGTGTTGTAGATCTTCGTGAGTAAACATGGAAGTCAACCTGAACTGGAATGGCATCGCCTAACGAGCTATCCATCCATCTTCATGGGAGAGCATGGCTTACAGCTGGAATGCGGGTCCATCATTCCATTTCTTTCTGGTTTTGTCTTCACATAGAGCAGATTAAAAGTTTTGCTACAGGGGCGCCTGGATGGCTCAGTCGGTGGAGCAGGCGACTCTTGATCTCGGGGTTGTGGGTTCGACCCCCACGTTGAGTGTAGAGATTACTTGGGAGGTGCCTGGGTGGCTCGGGTGGGTAAGCGTCCAACTCTTGACCTTAGCTCAGGTTTTGATCTCGGGGTCATGAATTCAAGCCCACGTTGGGCTCCACACTGGGCGTGGAGCCTACTTAAAAAAAAAAAAAAGTTTGCTACAGCACTCAGTCTTTCAAAAGTTCTTCATGTGTCAAAAGCCACACGCTAATGTGTGACCACAGGAAAGGACAAGCTGCTCCCCAGTGTGGTCCTCCCTGGACATGGGATTTGGAAAGAGTAGCCCTCCAATTCAGCCTGGGCACGCCAGCCAGCTGTGAGGAGTGTGGTAGCCCCCATTCTCCAGCCCTTCTGCATGTTCTCCTGGGGAGAGAATGAAGGAGAGAGGGCCGGGCTCCAGGTCTCTGCAGGGTTTGAGCCCTGTGGGGTGTCGTCAGAGACCACTGCTCACCACTCTGCTCTGGCCCCACCCAGCCCCACCCAGGCCTCTCTCTGGGAGTAACGACGGCATTTAAGACAGCAGCTGCAATGGGGATGGCGAGGATGCAGGGTCCACAGTGCAGTCCCAGCTCTGCCAGGGTGTCGC